ATGACAGATCCACTTGTTTATACCAAGAAGTTGCCTAATATAAGTATATTTAATAAACTAGATTTCGTTTAAATTACTGTGTGCATTGATTGAATTAATATAAATACAATTTTCAATATCCATGGCAACAAAAATAAATCTTTTGTATGAAAAACTATGACGAAAGCTATAAACAAAGATAGGCCTATATTTAAGTTTATGAATTAGTAATTCAGTATTTTTTACTACCTAATTTAAAAACCTGTCAAATTTCAATTGTGATATAATAACACGTTTTCAATGGTAAAAGAATTAATTTAGTGTTAACTAAAGCAAATGAGGACATTTTCTGTTAATTCACTACAACTAGTTTTTAGAGCAATAGATTATTTTTTAGCAAATAGAAGTGGTAGTGAATTCAACTTTGGTTAGGTTAGTATAGAGTTAGATAAACCTAACCTTACAACATTCCTAACCACAGTGGTAGTGAAATAACGGAGAAGGACCAGCAAATTTTGAGCTCCATCTCACTCTATAATAATCTCATTTTCGACATTTTACTAATTTACATACCGTACGAGTCTTGTTTCTATTGACAATTATGGTAGTGTTTTAGGGCAAACAATAATTACGCTAACTGACCTGAGTCAGGTAGTCGGGTATTCCTGAATTGCGCCAACTGGGTCTCATATAAAACAACATTTTCAGTAACAGGTGTGTTTTGCGGCAGATTCATGACCCTGTGCCTTCAATAGACCCTTTGTATTAGTTGTGAGTTCTCAGAACTTTGGAATCTCCCAAATCGCATAGGAGGCATTGTTATTATATGTGAGGATATTATATTATGTAGGAGGCATTGAGGTATAGATGCATGTTAAAATCAACAGGCCGCCGTGTTTGGGCACTATGTTTGACAACTATAACACGTGATATTCGATAACATTGCAAATGTATCTTTCACACAGTATCGGTACGTCCAGAGTCCACGTCGATTCAGATTTTCGGCGGCAGGAATGGCACATGCATTCAAATGGAAGTGGCCGTAGTGGCTGCCCGTTTCCGAGCCCGCATGCAGGAACCTGCTTACCGAATTCTTCATTCTGGTTTCAGATTTTGCTCGTATGCATACTATTTAGTTAAATAAATTATGTTTTATAGTAAAATATCTATTTTTTTCATTCTTACTTTTAGGTTTACCACTAAACGGTCTTAAGGTTTTTTTGTTTTGTAGGTGACATCAGTTTCTTACAATACGTTGTCCAATTTTAATATACATTTCGGTGGTTTCACTCAACGCAATATAGAAAGAAACTATATTATTTATAGCTATAGGAAAAGAGATATATAATATCATGAACAACATTTTTCACTGGCTGTAACTTCACAAAAGTTTCAGACCTTATCATTTCACACGTTAATCCCTCATCCGACAATTCCATAACGACTGACTCGCTTCTTTGCCAACCGAGTCAGTACCGGTGGCATATTTCCTGCTTCCACTGTGACCACCAACAAATCATCTGACTCAGATTAACCACGCGCTGAGAATTTGTATCTGAATCGGTGTGCACCCTAGACATACCGTATGGGTTTTCTACATTGAAGGATGTAAGAACCAGCATAATGGAGCTTTTTTTTGCTGCTTCTGATGTATTTAAAATGAAAAGCAATCAGTAAAATGTTCAAACGACATAAAGACCAACACAACAGCCATCTTCCGCAACTCTCTTGGGTAATACATATAGCATATTTCTAGAAAAATCCAATTAAACTTGAGAAATACAGGAATAAAACCTATTTGTTATGTTATAGTGTTAAGTGTGCCCTAAAAATGTCTCTTACCTGAATAACTGTTTTTTGTCTTCTTCTACTTATTTTCTTCCAGAGTCGGTTGAAAATATACAGGTTATGATATTCAGGTGATTTGCTGATCCCAAAAAGAACAGGGTTCATCAACTGACAAAGTAATTTTTTTGTCCATTACAAACCACGTATGTTGTTGGTTTGATCATTAAAAAATTTTTTTAATATGACAACATAAAACATCAACAATACATGAAACACAGTAAAAAAGGTGTCAGAATTTATAAAAGAACAAAAAGTCTTTTTTTATAGGCCAGGTATGTTCACACACACACACATATGCACACACAGGCGCTGGGGATTAGGACCAGCCGTATTTCCATTTCGTTAAATATTCTATTGTACTTAACCAATCAAAATAAAACTATTTTTATTTGTAACTTTACTTTGACTAAACGGAGTATTCGGTGAGGTGACTAATGGGATTTAGGCCTAGCCACCCCAGCTACTCGTCACCAGAGCAACTTACCCTGTCCCTTGCACCCTTGAGTGTGGGGGTGCATGAGACGGAACTTGACCTGGCCTCCATCGGCATTCTGAATTTGCTAATATTATAGTGCACTTTGCAGTCATGAACTAAATGTGTTGATTGTCTGCTTAAAGTATTTAATGTTACATATAACAAAATCAACTATTAAGCACATGAAGCAGAAAGCATGTAGCCCTATCAACAAATTCTTAGCAACTGTGAAATTTTATAAAAATAGAACACATGTAATTACTCTCCAATAAGGCGATCAATGATTCATTAAACATCATAAATAATAATTTATTAAGAATAAGATAATAAGCTTAATACAATTCTTTTTAACAAACCACACATGAAAATCTGTAAGAACAGCCCAAATTATAAAAATTTCAAAACTCTTAAGTGATAAGTTTGCATCTAGGTGAATTTTTCTAAGAGATTAGACCAGTCAGGATGTCCTTGATGTAGGTTGAAGGATCAGTGATTTCGTTCAGGAAACCTGAAACAAAACAATCAGGGAGTTTTAGTTCCACAGTTCTCTTGAATAAGGAAAGAAAAGGATTGTCAGTGACTCATTCTGTGCTGAGACCTTTGTTCCAAAAGAACCACAACGGTCTACAGCTAGATTAGATGGATAGCCTGAACGTTTGTTTTAGAAACAGATTGGAATGAAAGAGAATGTTAATACAATCACAGCAGGCATAGGTCTGAGAAGGGGTGACATACACTATTCAACTTATTTGCACCTATCATTGTTCGAGGCACCTCCCTCATGTACGCAGGAAATTTCTACACAGGATTCATCACATAACAAATTTTCAGTGTCAGGCAATAAGGTGAAATAAAAAAACCATCAACTATAGGTAGCTGGAGTCCTAACCCTCAAAAGACCTTGCTGAAGTTGTTCCAATATTTTATATCTTTCCAATGTCATTTAACAAATTGATTTATTTTGTTTCTGCTCTTCACATTACAATGACGTAACTTACCAAGGACGTCGCATATCTCCTCGAAGGACGTGGCAGGCAACAGCTCGTCTGTGTAGGCAGCCATCAGTCTCTCAGAACACTTGAGCAGAGTCTCGTCATTGTGTCTGATGTAGTCTGCCAGAGTGGTAGGCCATTGCTCCTCACTGCTTACTGAGATACCCTGCAATGGAATGAACATTGTGATTGTGAATATTCTATAAAATATAGGATGCAATAACATACTGACCTCACAAGTTTCTTGATGATTCTATTCTATAAGAACTGGAAAACATAAATTATAGAGCTTACCCTAGTTTTTCCATCAGTGACAATTTGTAAATTATTATAGCCTGTATTCTAAGTTGTCATGCGAGAATTATTTTATTCATTATTTTTATTTTACAAGCGATCCCGACCTACCTTGAAGTACTGCTTGTATATGATGTCCACCAGACCGAAGAAGACCAGTGTGCTCTTGTAGACACTGTAGTCAGCAGGCGCAGGGTCTGTGATGGTGTGTGCGCTTGAGTGTCTCACATGAGCCAGCACTAGCAGACGACGCAGGTGTGCCAGGCGAGTCACACGCCAGCGCCCAGGTGAGTGTAGACACAGAGACAGCGTGGCCCAGTACAGTGGACCCTCCGCCTCGTAGCTAGACTCTATCCACCGTTCTGTAGCGGCACACTCCAGGTAGGTGTTGAGGTTCTTCTCTTCTCTACTGCCACATCGTGTCCTACAGAAAAGAATTGTAGGATCAATAGCAATGTTGATATTATTCTATGTGGTGATTTCAATGTGGATTTTCTTGATATTGACTGTAATCAACGAAAAGAAGTAACTAATACATTTAATGCTTTTAATCTACATTTGGTTACATTAGAAATCACTAGGCCTAATATGAGAAAAGGTAAAATTGTCAAACTTGGAACTTGTATTGATAACATCGCAACCAACATTCACAGAGATAACAGGACTGGTTGTGTTGTTCCCACCCTTGTATCAGATCACTATGCAATTATGTTATCTACTAGATTACATTTCAGGTGTATGAATGGGCAAAATAGTTTTAGGATCTCACGGCCCATTAATAAAATGAGTGGTGTTATATTATGTTCAAATTTAAGTAAAGTAAAATGGCTACTAAGCCATTTTATGTTTTGTTTTAACATCATTTAATGTTTCTAATGAATAAACACTAGTTTATTCATTAGAAACATTAAATGATAAATTTGACCTTTTTTTGAATATTTTTTTAACCCTAGCAGTGGCCAACCGTCGTCTGGTTACGGTATGACGTTGATGCTTAGAATGGCCAAAGTCGTCTGGTTACGGTATGGGCCGAAATTTTTTTAACGGTAAAAAAACACTTACAATCAACTCAGATTAGAATAATATATATACCATTCGAAAGATCACATTCTGAACTTTCATTTGATTACATAAACAAACCCTGTAGCAGGTATATAACAATGTCACGACGATTAGAAATCAAATGAAATTTTGGCGCGGTACGACTTTTGCAGCCGACACTTGGGAACTGGCAAAACACGTCTTGTTTGGCATTACCCTGCTCGGGTAATTTTCGTCTTGGGATGTTGCGGGTGATACCACTGGATAGCCATTGATTTTATCTTCATTGTGGTAGTGATATTTATAACTAAATATTGATTGCACAATCGGTACGATTTTATGAAAACAGCTGTTTTCGAAATTTCTAACAAATGGCCAACAGTCGTCTGGTGACAGTATGGAAAATACGAATTATATACAGTGAAAGTTATTATTACTAGTCATATAGTATATCATTTTGAAGAGGAAGAAATTTAGATTCAGAGAGTGGCAGCCCTGCACTCAGGGTTATTTCTGTATGCTCGCATGTAGACAGTGATGTAGACGACGGAAGTGAGTCATTACTGCCACAGTCTGTCAGCTGTCTTGTATTGCCATTGTTTGTTTGTGTTGTTGTCGTAATACCGCGATTTATTACTAAATATGTTATTAGTTCGTAGTGTTAGTGTAAGTGAAGTGTTGTGTGTGTGTATAACAGTTATCTTCATGCATAAATATTACTGAATTGTGTGGAATAGTGTTCATAAAAGGTTGTATTTTGTTAGCATCATGTCCTAAAATGACGATTCTGACATTCAGAGATTGTTGTACCTATATAATGATATACCCAAGAACCCAAGGTGTTATAAATTTTTATAAAGGTAAATGAATACACTACAACATGTTTATAATGGTTCGGGGGTAAACAATTTTGTAAAAAAGTTATAGCCTATACTAAATAGGCCTACTACTGTAGGCTATTTTGTTAGCATCATGTCCAAAAATGACGATTCTGACATTCAGAGGGGTTATAATGATTTACCCAAGGTGTTATACATTTTTATAAAGGTAAATGAATACACTACAACATGTTTATATTGGTTTGGGTGTAAAAAATTTGGTAAAAAATTATATAGGCTACTAAATACTGTACACTCCATTTTCTCGAAATGCGCAAAAAATTCAAAACGTTCTCAAATCGATAGGCCTACATAATCATAGGTGAAAATAACTTTTTACCATCATACTTATGACTTTTTTGGATTCCTTACTTCATTGGCTTTACAAATATGTAGGCTACATATCATCAGCCTACATAATGTTTCACAACACAAGCAAACACTGTAGGCTATAGTTTACACTTATTTGCGGTTTTGCGGTTATTGTATTATTATGTCCCTATTACGTACCTACAAAAAAAATATTTCTAACATGTTATACATTTTTATGTTGGTAATTGAATACACTACAAGATTATTATGTTGGTTTGAAGTAAAAAGATTTGGTACAAAAGTTGTATACTAAGTACTGTGAATTTTGTTTTTCGAGAAATCGCTAAAATATATAAACATTATTTTATATACGTATGTTTATAGGTAAAAAATTATTTTTACCATAAACTTTATGACTTTTTTTGATTCCTTACTTCATTAGCTTTACAAACATGTATATATCATTATTAGTATACACATGTATTATAGAACTTTTTACAACATAAACTAACACTGTACGGTTCTCAATTTTTTCGGTTCTCCGTTTGTCATTATATTTCGCCCCAAAAACTTATAAAAAAAAAATATTTTCCTAACATGTTATATATTTCTATGTAGGGAATTAGATTTTCTACAAAATGTATATAATGAATTTCCCATAAAGAAATCCGTAGAAAAAAAATACCAAGGCCGCTTTTGAAATTTCAAAAAAAAAAATTCAAATTTTTTTATTTTTTTCACTTTATCGATAAAATACACTGTCTAAATCATTATGATATTACTATTTCTAGATTCTCCTGTTCTTTCTGAACAAAATGAATATGAGGTTGGCTAGGTTTACTTGTACGGTTGAATTTTTACGAATTTTCAAAAAAAGGTCTGCAAAATCGCCAAAATGGGTTGGCCATTCCCCACTTCTAACATTGGCCACTGCTAGGGTTAAGTGTTTTAGATTTTACAATGCCAATCAGATTGGTAGCAGATAAGAGAAGTGAGGATAAATATGACAACCGTTGGTATACAAATGAATTGCAGTGTTTGGAACAAAAATGTATTGAGTTTTTGGATGAATTTAAAATGACAGGAAATAAAACATGCAAAGAGGAATACAAGATAACTAAAAGAACATACAGAAAACTTATTAAAGAAGCAACAACAAACAAAATACAACTCAAACAATATATCTACAGCAAAGAATAAGTCGAAAGAAATGTGGAGTATAATAAATAAAAAAGTTAGTGTCAATAGAAAAAGCAAAAGTAAAAATTCTCTCGACCCTCAATCTTTAAATAACCATTTCTTAGACTCTGTAAACAATTTGATTAATAATTTATCAACATCGAACAAATCTTCTGAGGTCTATATTAATGTGTTGAGGGGTATGGACACAATGGCAGATATTAGTTTTAAATTAAAACCATTTTCTGTTGAACAGGTATTTGAGAAAATTAATAGGCTAAGCAGTAGTAGATGTCTAGATGTTTATGGACTAAACTCAGATATTATAAAAATGGCTGCAGTGTATATAGTTGAAGTACTGACTTATTTATTTAATCTTTGTATTGTCGAGGGTATATATCCTGATTGTTTAAAATGTGTTAAAGTAATTCCTGTACATAAAACCGGTGATAGATTAGATTTAAATAACTATAGACCCATCAGTATTATTCCTGTTATTAGTAAAGTTTTTGAAAGTTTGATAAATGACCAAGTTGTATCGTATTTTGAAGGAAATTATCTATTTAATTTTAGTCAATTTGGTTTTAGAGCAAATAGAGGAACGAAAGATGCAGTTCAGAATCTAATTTCTTATTGTTTAGATGAGTTAGAAATTCAAAATAATGTATCTTTGAAGTTTTATGATATTTAAAAAGCTTTTGACACTGTGTCCCATGATCTACTACTACAAAAACTTGCCTTTTATAAGTTTGAAGAAAATACTTTAAAATTTTTTGAATCATATCTGTATAGAAGATATCAAAGTGTTTATTGCAATGGTGTTTTTTCTGATTATAAAGAGGTGTTACATGGTGTCCCACAGGGCTCAATTTTGGGCCCAGTATGCTTCATCATTTACATTAATGATTTGCCTAAAAATATTCTAAACCTCAATGTTAAGCCTTATCTTTTTGCAGATGATTTAGCAATACAAATTCAAAGTGAGAATTTGCTAAATTCAACAGTAATGGCATACAAAGCAGATAGCTTAATCGAAGACTGGTGTAAGGCCAATAAATTGTTTTTAAATATAGAAAAAACTCAAGATTTATGTATTAGTTTTAATAATAGGCATAGTAAAAATTGTGTAAAATTTTTAGGTGTTTTTATAGAATCTAACTTAAAGTGGAAAGTTCATATTGATTATACAGCTAAAAAACTTAACAAAGGAATATTTATAATAAACATGCTTAAGAACAGTGTAGATTTTAATACCTTGAAATGCATTTACTATGCACATATACATTCCCATCTAAGTTATGGAACAATTGTATGGGGAGGTAGTAATTATAAAAAAAAACTTTTGTCATTGCAAAAACGAGCAATAAAAATCATGTACAATGTTGATTTTAGTACACACTGTAAACCATTATTTAGGGAGGCTAATATTTTAACTGTACAAGCAATGTATATTTTAGACTGCCTTGTGTTTGCAAAAAATAGTTTTAGTAAAACAGACACACATGAAAATGTACACAGTTACAACACACGAAACCGCTGCAATTTTATATCTAGACAGTGTCGATACAGCACCACAGCTACTAGTTTTATTGAAAAATCCAAACAGTATTATAATATGTTACCTAATACAATAAGATGTTTTAATTGTTTAAAATTTAAAATAGTACTTAAAAACTACCTGTTAAACCTGTGTCCATATAGAGAAATAGACTTCATTAATGATGTTAAATTAAACCTAAGTTAAAACCTTTAGTTCTAAGACATTTCCTTGACTGTGCCATGCATGTAAACTAGTGTAACGGCAATAAAGCATTCTTATTCTTATTCTTATTGTTATCGTTATCAGTATAAATAGAAATATTTCAGAGTTCATTTGGGACCTTTTTGTGAACTACCGGAACTTTAAACTGCTTAAAATAATTTCACTGATAAATTTTTAATTCCTGCACCCAGTAAATCAATCAACAATATAAATAAGAAAATACAATATTACATCATAATATTAAAAAAAGAAATGTGAAATAGCTATATAACTAGAACATTATTGAATGCATGTTTGCCAGGAAGGAACCTACCCAAAACAGATCCCACCGCTCAAGTAGACACACATTCCAATTTTGTTTAGTCTAACTCTAAACTGAGAATAGGTAGGTATATTATTGTTTATCTACGTTTTATATCTCATAGTGGCACAGGGTTGTAAATTTTACAATACATAGTAAAAATAAGGGATACATTATGAAATTAAAGTCAGGAGTGTGTATTAAATTTTTAGGTGTGTTGCTAACTTCTCGGCCTTTGGTGCAAAACGGACAGGTTTGATTTTCAGAATATCCACAAAAATTTAAAGAGGTTGGCACTGCTTTCCCTTGCACACGTTTGACTTTCTTACATATAAAAATTTAAAATTTTTTTTATATATGTGGTTTACAAAAATCTAACTATTGTGACATACTATACCATTGGGGGTTTTCACCCATTTCAAGTTATTTAGTTAACCAAACACCACAGAGTACTCACGTGTTGATCACATACAGCGCCATGTGCAGCAGGTAGGGTATGAGGTGCATGTTGGACTGCGGTCCACCACCTCCAGCATCCTCGTGAAAGCTCTTCTCCTGCGCGAACCTCAACAGCAGCAGTTTGAGATCATGAACCGTGGACACGTAGCTGATGTCTCTGTGACTAGTGCACTCCTGTAGATAGGTGTTGTGTCTAGCCAGACAACTGGCGAAGGCTGACTCTGGCACCTGAGGACCCCACAGTGGTAGTAGTCCGTTGCACCGGGTGTTGGCGTTCTGTAGAGCCGCTGACTCCCACTCGTCTCTGGCACGCGCCAGTCTAAAACACAAAATCTCATCAAAAACTGTCAGTTATTCGACACAGTAGAGCCTTAAACAAGCATCAAGGGTGAGATCAAATTAAAAAGCTTGGACACTAATGACTGTAAATAAAGTTTTATGTTTAATGCTAAGAAAAGGAGAGTTTGGACTGTTCTTATTCAAAAAACCTTAACACGTTCGCTGCGACGGATGTTCCGGAACGTCAGCGGGGCCACGGCGCCAGGAGCTAGGAGCGTTCCGGTACGTCACCGTTCATCGTTGTTTAACGTTTCCATGGATCAGGAAGCTCGTCACGAGCGTCCTATATATCTTTGCAGCTCGTGGGGACGTACTTTTCTGACATTAAAAAATGTAGTTTCCCAAAATCACCACCAGGGTTGTATAAAACAGGGCTTTGTCCCACCTCTTTCCTGCTAGATAGCGACATTACTTTACCGACTGCAACCTGGGTAGTGCTGCTATCTATAGACATCCCAAGAACAAAACAACCTGTGCAGAAACTAAAAGTACACGTGGTTCGCGCCGGTAGGTGTGGCGTACCATTCAAGCCTGCGCGGCTCGAAATGGCCCAGGGTTCTTTTGTTTCTGGTATGTCTATATCAGAATCGCTTGGTACTATATCCAAAGCCAGTTTTATTGCAGTGCAGAACATTGCTATCCAGTATAACTACTGTTGTTTTTACTACAATTCAGTGTATCATATCAACAGCAATGTTACGCAGCAGCGAGCGCTAGTTCAGCTCCTGGCGCCGTCTAGCGCTCAGCTGCGATCGTGTTAAAATGCCAATGTTGATTTTATAGACATAAAATAAAAGAAAGTTTGAATCTCACAGGCAAGACAGCAAGAATACAATTTGAGCTATAGAGACATGTTTTGTAAGGTAAACTAACACTAGGACAAATTCTGCAAAATCGTTATCTATTTCAGGGATAAATATTCTTACAATCCCTAACTTTATTGTTTTTATGATGGATAGGGTACTTTTTACAGTGACAAAATATGATTTTAGAGGTAATATTTTACTACAAAACAACTAAAAAAATAAAATTGTGTTTAAATAATCTTGGATATTTTAAAACAGCTGGGTCACAACTAGAAACTAGAAACATTGTAAATCTACAACTTGGATACAAGATAAGCTAGCGTACCGGACAGCATTCATGTGGCAGTCTACATGAACCACGTTGAAGTGAGTCACCGTGCTGTAGCCGATGGTCTTGCGAGCCTTAGTCTCAGCGTCGTCCACATTGCAACGCTTGGTGTACGTGTAGATACCCAACACCTGAACAGATAAATACATGTAGATGAGTGTAAAGACTTATGAATGTGAAAACATGTCTCCTTAAAATTTTAAACTATCCCTTTTGGTTTGAAAATTAAAACTATTGGTAAGTATTAGCATTGACTATTGGATACAGAAGAAGACATCCCATCCATATGGATCAGCTGTCGCCAATTTTTTTACTAAAAAAGAATGTAGTTGTGTGAGCCAGTCACAGATTGCGCTAGTGTCAAAAACTCTATTTTGTACCTTATTTTTTGTTACTGACATAGTTACTGGGTCACAACAGTTGCTATAGCTCATAATAAGTCATTCCATCAGTTTGACTTGGTAAAAACCATCATGTAGTCGGCAGAAATCAGTAATTTAGATCAGCGCAATCTGTAGGTGGCTCACATCAACTAAGACAAATTTTATTAAAAACCTGGCTACAACTTTAACATGGGGATAGAATGTCTAGTTGTATTAGTAAATTATTCATCAATTAGGAAAATTAGTTGTAGCCTAAGATTTGTTCAAGACAGGAAAAATCAGTAAATTATTAAAAAAATATATTTTTCCCTTTTTTCTGGAAAAGTTTTTTGATGATTTTTAAATTTTTTCACTACGGTAATTTCTAAAAATTATAACAATTGCAGAGGGTTCCAAGCAAAGTTTGCAAAATCAAAAATCCTAATGAAATGCAGTATTGTATGATCAAAAACTAGATATGCCAGTTGAGGTATAAAATCCCTCATAAAGTCTCAAAGTACCAAAAATTTAAAATTCCTTGATACCAGCTGTTTTGAATATTCAAGGGAATCGTGAATCGGAAATGGCCCACTCTGCATGATAGCAAGGTTAAGGTTTGAGTCAGATGCTGTAATCTTTTTTAAACAATAAGAAGTAAACATATTGCAGGCCTATACCTTGCCAGGCTGGAATTTGTAGCCTTCCCTGCAGATAACACACACGAGCCCTGTCTCTTCTCCGAGGTCTTCAATCTGCTGCAGAATATTGCTTTCTGCAGTCACCTACAAACACACATACAACATTACACTCGGATGTTTTGTGCAAAAACATTTCAACATAGGTACAATGATTATTCCAAGAACATAACTGTGTTTTTTTCTAGAAAGCCTAGCTGAAACAGCTTTAAAAGTTTTAGATTTGATTAAAGTCAATTAACACGTCGAGTGCGGCCCGCACCCCGCAAGGCCCAGTCACTGGTGCTCGGCCAGGTCCCACAGAAATAAATCAATCTTTGTGGTGCGGTCTTGAGGAGTAGACGGAAATTATTGTGTGTGCGATACTAGCATAACCTAACCTCTATTGTGTGTGTTTTACCCAAAGTTCCTGCGGCCAGGTGCTCACACGTGACCTGTAAATTCCTACTCACAAATTTAATAACTGCACATTTATTGAGGTACTTCTTTTGTGTTTTTTTTTTTAAATTGTTAAATGACAAAAAAATATTGTTTTATTAGTTTTTTTCTGTTGTACTTCTCCAGAAAACCCAGGATTACGCAATAGGGAATTGTGTCAACCAGTTCCACGATGCAGTTTGTGTTGTAAAAAAAACAATGGATGGGAGGTGTTTTTTTCCTAGCCTATATTCTATATACTTAAGATTTTCTTAATTCCATCATTGTGCTTTCAATCTTTCAACAGAACAAAACACTTCTCCACATCACACAAGCTTTACTTAAACCCACCTGTCCCTTGTCGTTGGTCCTCATGCCCAGAGCCCCCAGCTGTTTCTCTCTCATCGCCATGGCCAGCCGCTTCTTCTCGGCCCGTGTCTGCTCGCGCACCTCTTCTATACGGTTGGCCACACCTGTGTTGGTACGTAGAGCCTCCAACAGGTTCTCTGCTAGTGAGCCGACATGTTCGTCTGAACTCACCTGCTCCAGTCGGTGGATGATAGGAATACATTCTGCCGCCACAGCCAACTGGGAAACAAATTGTTTTTAGGAAATGGTAACTCAGTAATATTAACGGTAAAACATTTCCTGACCAATATTCATTATTCATTTCTTTGTAATTCTTGGACTCTACATCTACAACCGAAGAAGGAGGTAGTAGCTCCAAAAATTCTGTGTTTATTTGCGCTGTTTACCTGTGTAGGCTCGTGCTGGGTGGCCAGGCCAGTGAGCAGACGAAGGATGTACTTGAGTGAAGGTTTAGAGATGTACTCCTTCCACTCATCACTGTCTGCTCTCATCAGTGAAGGCTTGACTGGTGGAGCGTGCATCTGCCAATAACATGAATGGTTACTACACGTGGATGCAACAAATAGATTTCATACAGTTTGATTCTTGGAGAATTTTCTTTGAAATACATCAATTGACCCATGGAAATGGTTTATAAGGACTAAAATCAAAATCAGAGAAAAATGGAAATTACAGTTTTACACCACAAACTTGAGGAACTCGGTACTAATTTGACGATTAAATAAATTAATCACTGGCAATGTTTATGGCACTACATGACAAATAAATGCTGTGTAAAACAGATAGTTACTCTATGGGGGAGATGATTACTCTAAAATAGATAATTACTCGGGAAATCATACAGAAAACCAGATACCATATGTGCATAATTGCAATAATAATAAACGAGTGAAGTATGAAACCAATAGGAAACTTGGTACAAATAAGAAACTGGGAAACTTTGAGGGATAAATGATATAACAGGGACATAGGAGTATTGAAATAGCTTTTTTAGACAAAAATCTACTTGGATTAAAGTTCCGCCGTAGTAAGTAGTAGCGTAACTAAATGAAACTATAATAAAATATGTATAATATACTCACCGAAACATACTCCAGAGCTTTATCCACAATACCCAGGGAGACGATGTGATCTTTAAGTGTATTTCCAAGAGGTGTGTGGTCAATGCCAGCTGTAAGGTTACAGAACAACTCCATCTGCAAACAGTCAAACTTGATTAACAAATTGTCTTGTCTAACTTTTAAACCATATTTAACTGAAATAACAACTTATATTGTAAACCAAAGCGAAAAACCAACTCTTCTTTCCATAAAAACATAGCCACAGCAAACCCTGGATGGAATGTCCACTTCAGTTTCCACCGATGGAACTCACCTTTTGTTCGTTGTCTGGTGTGTGTTCCAGGTCGAAACGGTTGAAGTCTAATGGGTAAGGCTGGAAGTGGTCGATGAGGACAGCCATCTTGTCTTGATTACCGTAGGTGAGTGCTGCCAACACAGTGGTCAGATGGTGTAGGAGTGTGGAGTTGGTACGGACATTGACACAGGTCTCTGTCATCTCCAGCAGTGACCTGTGAGTGATACGTATAGAGTTACCAGTTGCGGAGACAAGGGAGATTGGAATGACTAGCTACAGAGATTGATTGATTGATTGACTGAATCCAATCATATAATACCCCCGCCGCAGCAAACCTGCAGACTAAGCGAATTTCCATTTGACTGATTGGATTTACACTGAAATGTCTACTTAAAAATATAACATTTATTCCCGATTTAAATAGAATTAGTTTAACAAGTACTTAGGTTTGCTGCATCAGGGAGGGTAAAACAGTTTTTTTTGTAAAATGTTAATAGTTAGTAAGAAATAAAAACATTTTCCAAATTTGATCAAAATATGTTCATAAACAAGCAAACTACAACAGTTTACTCATTCTCCATAAGAATAACATGGGAATTTTAAATTTACAATTTTTTGGAATTTTCTCCGTAACCATTAGGCGCATAATAACGCTTCAATATACTAAATTATTTGTTTTTTGAAGCTCTACAAAATGGTTTGGAAATAAATTGCTAAATTTTATGTTTTTTTGGGTCAAAAATGGGAAAAACCTATTTTTACCCCATAAAACCCCCCGTAAACACCCGTTCCCATAGTCCGATCATGCTGGATCGCGAACTCGTTCGAATAAACGTAGGTTTACACGTTTGTACCAAATTTCATCAAAATCGGATAATTTTTGCTCGAGTTATCGTGCTGACGGACACATATATATATATATATATATATATATATATAAATATATATATATATATATATGAATTTGAACGGATGGTGTTTTTGGCCTCTAGGGACCTCAAAACGAAAAAAAAAATCGGTCCCGCGTCCAGGTCTTACCATGAGTACTACGGTAATAGCTTATTCCCTATAAGGGAAATTCGCTAATAAGACTCAATACGAGAAGAAATAAAATAAAATAACCCAATTACTACTGTACTCTGATTTTGGCCAGGGATCCTCTAAGTTTATTTAAAAATTTTAATTACCAGAAGTGTCTTTACTCATAGATTTTGAAGGTGAGGTATGTTTGTTGTGGTGACTAACCTGATGTGTTCAGGGCCACCTAGTGTAGTGGCAAACCTGCTGAGCTCCTCTTGGGACAACAGTGACACCTTCGACAACACTGTTTCCATCACCTACAAACACACAATGAACACATCAAGTTCAATACTCTAGCTACTCTTCTACTCATGATTAGAGACAAGCTAGGTTCCTCAAAACCTTCAATACTAGAGATATCAAGCAATTTCCAAGATTGGATTCCATACAGATTCCTGAATGTACTGTAGTGGAAACTAAATCTTCTGTATCTCGCATTAAGTAACGTCATGATAATCTCTGGCGAATCACGGTGGCATCAAAATATTATCCACAATTTCAGCAACATCATGATGATTATTGGTAATTTTGATTTAGCGATTCAAACAAGATTTAACAAGATTCCTGAAAAATATCAATACTATTCAAATCCCACCTGAAAGAATAGACCCTGAGTTATTAAGTCTTAAGTAGAAATTATATCTGCTTTTTTTTATTTTTTTTTTGCAGAAATTTAGAAATTTATCACAAGACTTAGAATCCTGTCAAAGTATCTCAATAGATTTTTTTTTACAAAATTGTAAGTACTTAGATTTGAGAAATATTTTACTTTTTACAGTTCAAATCCGAAACTGATAAAAAAATCCTGCATTGGACTACCCCAAGTGATTATGGTGCTTATCGACTTACATCAAGTATCTGCTGAGTGAGCGCAGTCTGCGTAGGATCGGCCAGACACAGCTGTAGGATGTTGAGTAGTGCTGTGACGGTGCCTAGCTCAGGTCTGATCAGCACCTCTACGTTGCGCTTTACTTTGACACATAGACACAACAGCTTCAGCAGTACTTGTAGCAGTGACCTGGACCTGCTCGTGTCATTGATGTTGGCTAGTCTCTTCAACATCACCTGTCAATACATAGAAGTGATGATTCAGTAGATGGCTTGGCTAAGGAAATGTCTAGGTAGGAAAATAGAAAACAAACCTAAATTGTTTTTGTCCCGAGTGTAGACGAGGAGAGTTTTGGAATAAATGGTAAGATAACAAAAAGGCAAATCACATTTTAGAACAAAAAACATTCTTCAAACAGGACAGCTGACTAATGTTGAAAATTTATTGATAATTAAATCAAGATAATATCTGAATTTTTTATGCCTTTCCTTCAGGGGCACTAAGCTATAGCCCAGATTATATCAGCAAGTCACTTCACGCTAGGCCTAGAGGGTGGTATCACATAACTAATAGCCATAGGTGATTCACAGGATTTGAACCCGAGACCTTGGGGACTGAAGCCCGATGCACGAGAGACCACTTGCTCCTCAGGATGTCCCAACTGGTAAGTTTCAAGTGTTTCAAACAACTATTGTTGCAAACTAATAGACAAACCTGCAATCCCCCACAGTCAGCCATAACATTGGCCATCTTGTAGACCTCCTCGTTGTCCACTTCTTGCTCACTCTTGGCTGTCAATGTTTCCACAAACTCCTCTGTTGCATCTCCCAGCAGACCTCTCATACGGTAGACAACTCTCATCACCTCACCTTCTCCTCCCTCCGCCACCCACACCTTCTTGTACACCTGTAAACAATAGTTTGTGTTCTAGTCCAAATGTTAAAGGCACAGTGAGTTTGTTAAAGGATAAAAGTTATTCAGTTTGTTTAAGATGAAACAAAATAAATTTTAACTTGTAGGCTTGGATAGGGTTGGTTGACCAGGTTAAATTCCGCTTTCAACCAAAGCTTCCAATAAGTTTTCTTCTGTCCATGGTTTTCTCTAATAATTGTTTTGCCTTTTTGTCACAGCTTCATCTCTACTTCTTATTTCATATCCAGCTCATACCAGCTGTCTTACTTTAGTTTCAGCAACCACAAGACTTCACAAACCATTTTCACCAAAGAGTCTCAGGCATCTCTACCTCCTTCCTTCAGATCCATATAGGAGAGTTGGTCCTATTACAACTTTGTAAATCAACATTACATTACAACAAGTTAGTCAACATGAAAGTGGTATGCGTTTACGCTGCTTACCTCTCTGACTGGCAAGTCTAGACTGATGATCTTGTTGTTGACCAGCAACTCCATACCGTTGTCATCCTCTAGCAAGGCCACCAGCTCACAGTCCTGACAGATCTTGTTCTTCACATCTCTCATCAGAGGTCCTAAGCCAGGCTCATTGCTGCTGTAAGGGTTGCCCAACATTCGGCCCTGTAACAAATCAGAAATTGTAGACACAATGTTTCACAATACTTTGTCAGTTATGCAAGTCAAAAAAATTATAAAATCACCTGAAGGAAAATATTTAAAGGAGAGGAAAGATGGAATCAGATGGCCTGCTTTTGTGTAAATGGTCTCAAACTCTTGTTCATTTATGCTCATTTTACACTTGAAAGTTTACCTAGACAGTGGTAACGTAACAAGAATTTAAGACCCAACAAAACCTCAAAAGGAATCATGAGAGTCAAAACTATGAGAGCCGGAAATCAAAATACAGAGGGTTTTGTGGAGGGAAATCTCAAGTACAGAATCTTTGCCTCCATGCTATAATTGACATGCAACATACAGCTTTGATTACAATATTATTATATGTATTACCATTAATGATTGATTTGAACCAAGCTTGCAGAACAGTAATCTTGTGCTCTAACCACAACGCGAACCGAAAACCCAAATCAGTTAATCAACATTTTAGAAACAAAATCTACAACCGCTTAACTTCCAAATTAGAGTTCAAATCTTGGATTAACTTCTCTTTAGAGTTCCTAGAAATCCTCGATAATACACAAACTATTTTGAACTATTGACAATGGTCTGTAGGACATTAATTTCCTTATAATTACCTGCAAGAAGTCTTCCTGTTGAGGATCCTTCTCCAGAGTCAGGTAGAACTCTCCCACGTCATTCTCTTCTGGGTAGATGATGGAGCAGAGCCTCTCAAACACAAACACCGGAGTCCTCACATCGTCCTGGCTGCATTTCTCCACCGTCTCTATGCAGATGGCCATGAACGCTTTGGTCTCAGCCTCTGTACCTGCACATTAATAACTTGCTTGAATCAGACTTCATTGAATAATATGAGTTAGAATAACATGTTTGACAAGAAGGATGACCTAACAGGATTTCTAGGTGGATAAAAAAGTAGTGGAGGTAGTGTGGCTACTCCCTTACAGACATGTATCTGAGTCCAAGTGAGGTAGTGTAAGGTCAACTTGAAGTTCAAGTTTTTAAAACAAAGACGTTTCACAGAATTTCCTAAAATTTCTAGAACTGGCTGTAGGTAGTGACAGAAAGGCTTGGATACAAGCACTGCAATCAACATATGGAATCCCAGAAAAGCTCAATAGGGACGTATTCCAAAATTAATGTGATGGAGAACTGGCTTCTCACCTGTAGTCATCTCCTCCAACAGTTCCAACAGTTTCTCCTGTGTCTCGTCAATGAGTCTGGTCCGTTGCACCACTAGTCTCCGCAGAGACAGGTAGCCGTTGAGCACTGCTCCCACCAGCCGTCCCTTGTACAGCTGCTTGATACTGTCCTGCTCCAGGAACGAGGCCATCAGCTCAGTCAGCATCTTCAAGGCATAGCCTACACAAACAAAGAATAGTTAAACTAAATATTTAAAATCTTGTAAAAATGTCCAAATTAAGTTTGAATATCAGTTTTCTTCAGAGACATCCTTAGCAAAAAGCAAAAACAAATCATCCTACAAAAAAATTTGAAGATTGACCAAACTTTGAAATCCTCTCCCATCTTTACAATTACACTGCATCATTTCTGTCCTAAAAAATCGCCATATTACGGAAATTCCAAAAATAATCCCAGATTTGTTGGACTTAAAATATCTTTTTTTCTTACTCAAAGATTGTAATGGAGCTAGAAAACAGCAGGCGTAACTAAATATGAGATTCAATTCTTACATAGATAAAATAAAAAAACAAAAATTAAAATATTTTTTGAGATCATTATTTTTGCCTACTACAAAAAATCATTCCTTGGCAAGGTATTTTTTTCCTACAAGAAGACTGACCTTGAGCCAAATCTGAGGTGAGTGTTGTCTCCTCTAGCCTGTGAAGTTCCTGAATCTCTCTGGTCAGTAGCTCAGCGAGGTACATCAGCACCCCCTTGACAGCCAGATACTGTTTCCACGGGGATTGTTGCACCAGGCTCTGGTACAGGGAAAGAAACTCTGCAGCACTCTCACCAGCCACTCCTAGCTCTGCCAGGAATCCAGTCAACAGGTCTAGCATCTGGAATGCAAGGAGAATAAAGTAAAGAGTGCTCACATGGGAGGATCTTCAATCGATTCTACCTTTCCCTATCTTATGGGAGAGTTGTACTGTAAACATTACCTACTGGAAAAAATCTTAATTATTGTCATGCAGATTGTGCCAACTGGTTTTGCAACCTTCATGAAGGCGCTATAGTACAGATGACTTTTTTTAGATTCAGAATTAATATTTTGTCTTAATGATGTCCTGATGTTTTTGGAATAGTTACCGTTTGTTGAGTGAGACTAAGCTAAAATACATAGCTTTGGCCCCTACGTAATGCATGGTCAGGGCCGCGTTAAGGGTCAGTGGCGCCCTGGGCAAACCCAAAAGCAGCGCCCCCTTATATATATATATAACTATACAGGTTTTGACCACAGCAGTGTAGGGAGGGGAAGAGGGAAGGGGGGTTGACTCATCAGTTCGCCGAAATTCATAGCAGGTGGGTTGGGGGTTGGGGTGAGTGCAATGAACTTGACAGTAGTTGCTATTAAAAATGCCTCTTGCCCTACGCCAGTAGCTTATTGCACTACGCAGTGATTTGATTACTGTTCAGTAAGTTACAGTACAATATGTGCAGTTTATTGCATTACACATGTATTGAATGAGATTCCACTAAGGGAGTATGTTTTTTCCATGGTTCTACTATAGGCCTATACATTTATATATTAGCGTGTATTTTACCAGTTTTGTTTCGGGAGGGAGTTTTCAATTCCGTATCAGTGGAAATGCTGGTTAATACATTTCACTTTCTTTAAAACTGCTTCTTGAGTTTGTTTTCTTTGATCCAACCGCTTGCGGCTCTCGGCTCCACTAGGTTCTTTATGCATATTTCACTGTTTATAGGCCTACTTGTATCAACACTTCTCTATTTATTTATTACTGGTTCACTAACTGCAGTGTGAGTGTCAACACTGACTAGTGACTGTCACAGTTTAGGTTGTGTTGTGACTGATTTGACGACTGTGCAGCAGTCACAACACGAACGAACACAACCTACTGACTAGTGACTACTGAGGAGTACTGGACTACTGGACTACTGGACTGGACTGGCGCCGCGCGGTAGTTGGTAGTTAAGTTGTGACTTGTGGGGATGGGGGTGGGACTGGGAGGGAGAGGAGGGGCAAGTCAACCGTATATGCCCGTAGACTACAGCTGCCCTACGTGCTATTCCCGTAATTTGCTGACGTCACCCAAATTGCAAACAAAAAATCAGCAGATGTATTGCCATATAAGTATATATTTGTTTTGATTTGATTGTTATTGCTTTTACAATTTTTCTCAATCGTAAAATAGTGTTTGCAATCTGAGTGACGTCAGCATATGATGGGAATAGCATACCATGCATTTTCCTTCCACCATGCAGGCCTCCCTGCCTCTGATAGTATAGTGAGTGCGCCCGGTTCACACTGCTGCCTGCCTTTCCCTGACTACACGAGGTATATAACCTGAAAGTCGAGTATTTTCAATTTTGTTGTAATTATTTACTTTTGCAATAAGGAAAATTCACTTAACTACAAGTTGAAATCACCCATTTTGTTTTTGAAATCCCGGCTGATAAAACCCAATTTTTCCTAATGCGGGCGGTGGTTTAGGGCGCCCCTCGGGCGCCCCCCAACCACTGGCGCCCCTGGGCATATGCCCAGTCTGCCCGTTTATAAAAGTGGGCCTGTGCATGGTGTTAGTGGAATGTAGTATAATGAGCAAAGATCAATTAATTGTTGACGTTGATCAATTTTATTGTTTGATTTATTGACATTTGTAATTAGGGATGGACGGGATTGAATTTTTAGTTCGGGACGGGACGGGACGGGATTTTTATTTCCTTCCCGATTTTCGGGACGGGACGGGACGGGATTTTTTTCTGTGCATAAAAAGAAAGTACTGTATTGCAGTTACCAAAAAAGACATAAGAAATCAATTTTTACCATTTGTGGCACTGATCTATAAAAACCAAAAAATGGGTAACAATTTACAGGTACCTATAGAAACTTGTGACTCGCGGGTCACGGGGTGATCGTCTGTATGACTCGCGGTCACGGCGCGATCGTAGTCATGACTCGCGGTCACGGCGCGATCGTCGGTATGACATCGCGGTCACGGGGTTATCGTCGGTATGACTCCACGGTCACGGCGCGATCATCGTCATGACTCGCGGTCACGGCACGATCGTCGGTATGACTCGCGGTCACGGCGCGATCGTCGGTATGACTCCACGGTCACGGGGTTATTGTCGGTATGACTCCACGGTCACGGCGCGATCGTCGGTATGACTCGCGGTCACGGCGCGATCGTCAGCATGACTCGCGGTCACGGCGCGATCGTCGTCATGACTCACGGTCACGGCGCGATCGTCGTCATGACTCGCGGTCACGGCGCTATCGTCGTCATGACTCGCGGTCACGGCGCGATCGTCGTCATGACTCGCGGTCACGGGGTTATCGTCGGTATGATTCCACGGTCACGGCGCGATCGTCGGTATGACTCGCGGTCACGGCGCGATCGTCGGTATGACTTGCGGTCACGGCGCGATCGTCGGTATGACTCCGCGGTCACGGGGTTATCGTCGGTATGACTCGCGGTCACGGCATGATCGTCGGTATGACTCGCGATCACGGCTCGATCGTCAGCATGACTCCGCCATCACGGCATGATCGTCAGTATGACTCCGCGGTCACGGCGCGATCGTCGGTAGGACTCCGCGGTCACGGCGCGATCGTCGGTATGACTTGCGGTCACGGCGCGATCGTCGGTATGACTCCGCGGTCACGGGGTTATCGTCGGTATGACTCGCGGTCACGACGCGATCGTCGGTATGACTCGCGGTCACGGCGCGATCGTCGGTAGGACTCCGCGGTCACGGCGCGATCGTCGGTAGGACTCAACGGTCACGGCGCGATCGTCGGTATGACTCGCGGTCACGGCGCGGTCGTCGGTAGGACTCCGCGGTCACGGCATAATCGTCGAAATGACTTCGTCTCCTGCGTTCGCGGACCTATCGCTCGCAATAACGGCGTTATCGGCACTCGCGAAGCGGAAAAATCGCCGACGATCGGACCAAATCCCGTCCCGAAAAATTCCCGAGTCAAATGTAATCCCGTCCCGATAATCGGGAATATTTTTTTCCCGAAAAATTCCCGAAATTTCGGGACCCGTCCATCCCTATTTGTAATGCAATGTACTTTGTCGACTGCAATAAAAGAACTATTATTATTGTTGTGCAGAGGTAAATGTGTCCAAAGGTGTTCAGCCAGTTTTTTTGGGATGAAAAATTTTTCTATGACAAATTTGTTGACAAATACTTGATGCTGCAAATTGTTCTGCTTTTGTTAAAAACACAAATGGTGGAATCAGAGAGGCAGGATCACAGCTCCCACTAGTTTCAATTCTGGTACCTCAAACTCAAGAACTCAAGCACTGCCTAAACCTATATATTATGATGTAACAATTACTTGTGAATTATTCTGAGTTTGATTGAGGTCAATCAGCTTGGAAATACCTTCAAAATTTTATGTACCCCACTCAGCCGCAGCCTGATTAGTGTTAAAACAACCAACCTAGACAATAAGTTAAACATGGCAGCAGGACAAACCTCTTTCTTGCGCACAGGAACTTGGCAGATGCTCTCAAGCATGTTACATGCGACCTGCCTTGCTAGCCGAGAGCTGGAGTTGAACAGAACACTCTTGAGCCACGCCGAGTCAGTGAGACTCAGTGGCTGCACAGGACTGATGGTGCGCTCTCTCCACCGCTTGGCGTACTTCTCCATCATGTAGTGCGCTCGCACCTCCTCCTGTGACAGATACCATGATCAAAATTTACCGATTAAAATAAGTAATATTAATTATTAGTACCATCCACTTCATTAAAAAGCTTTCAAAGAAGATAAATTAACTCAACTTCTAGAAAAAGAACCTAGGCTATACAAAAATTGTTGTACTATATTGCGTATTGGTGATTACACCGTAATTCTATCCCAAGATTGTAACTTTCTTACTTTACATTACAAAGTTAAAAAACAATTATGTAACACTGTCAATAAACAGACATTTGCCAAAAGGATATTGGCAATTTTCCCACAAATCCCAGTCTTGTACATAATTCTACTTCACTTCAAAGACTTTTTCCCAGTCATAAAAATTCACATATAATTTGCTATTGCACTTGTACTGTTACTAACCTTAGAGGTGGGTTTGGCAGGAGGTATTTCTGCATCCTTGGAGTACATTCTCCTTCTCCAAGCATCAAAGGTGTGGTTCGGGTCTCTCTCTAACCATTTGTTGCGGTCAATGTGAACTCCTTCCGTAGGTCTCAATGTGGCTAAAGCATCCAATGTCTTATCCTGTGAGATAGATGGATTATTAAATTATGGTTTATTTTCAAAGTAAACAAATAATGAATAAAATGTTTATTTTTTTATGCACATACAAGACTAGAACTGTTTTGGCCTTACTACAAAGATATTGTTAAAAAAGGATGCAATCCTTAGTTAAAATATGAGACACAAATGTTTCTCAAGTTTGAACAACAGTCGTTTTCAATTGACTGAAAGACCTAAATTATTATCAGTTATTATAATTAGTTAACAACCCTCAAGAAAGATTTCTGGTCCTATCTAATATTACATTAACGTTTTTTAGTGTCCATTATAATAGAGTATTCACAAAAAACTATTGAAGTGAGTTTAAAAATATAAATATATTTATTTGACTTTTGAGATACTTCCTTTATATATACAAATATAAATACTATTCTATAGCAACTATTTGTAGTTTGAGACGTAAAAAAAGGATTTTTGGAATACTCTCCATTTATTAAACCCGACTCTTCTATTACCTTGTTCTTCTTGGAGCCAGGTTGGTCTGGCTTGATCAGACTCTGCAGTATCTTGAGACAAGGCAACAACACAGACTCCATCACTACAGGTGACTTGTTATCTTTGCTGGCCATCAAGAACAGCTGCATCACCGACCTGTTGAACATCAACAACGTTATATTTAAAAAACTGTTTGGCGAATACAAGTTTTTTTTAGGGATAGAGCAAAGCAAAGCTCTATCTCTGGGGGGTCTCTGGGGGGGGGGACTAGCAAAGCTACTGTAGAGAGACTGATACATACACGATAGAGGTAAAGGCTTGTTGCGTTAAAATATCACATTTAGATCTCCCTTGGCACAAACTACAGTGGAACTCCTTTCCTTGTGGACCAGGGCAATATCAACAATGAAGTAGGTTTTGTCAAAGGACACTGCCTTGAGAAGAAAACACACAGAAAGGGTCTCTTTGTAGGTGTAAATACGGTCTTCAGGATGAGACTGCTGAACGTCTGCAATTTCATTGTAAAAAGATAGAGTCATTAACGGCTTACTCTTTTGGCAAGATGACTTATGAACAGGCAATCCCTTAGGCCCGGTTCACACGAACGACAAACCTAGCAGACTAGGCTTGGACTAGGTAAGCACTAGGTAAGCACGACTGGGTAGCGGACCACAGGACCAAATGGAGCCGTTCACACGAGCCTAGGACGCCGACTAGCTAGTCGTGTTCAAGCTTGATGTCCCAAAACCTAGTCGGGCCCCGCTTCCCAGTCCGTCGTGGCAACTACCCAGTCGCCCAGTCGAACTGCGTAGCAGTACATGTAGCCTTATGGGAGCGTTCACACGAGCGATCAGGTAGTCGAGCTGCAGCTCGCATTCTTACCTTTGTTCTCATTGTGCACCAGTGATGGAACCGAGTGGTTTTGATCTCGATATTTTCACCTAGTCCGTGGACTTGTCGCTCGTGTGAACCGGTGTGATCCTGAGGTCCGCTACCCAGTCGTGCTTACCTAGTCCAAGCCTAGTCTGCTAGGTGTGTCGTTCGTGTGAACCGGGCCTTAGGAAGCTCCATCTACGCTATCCATTATGCCAGCTGATATTGCGTAGAGATTCTAGAGGCTTTTCAGAAGAGTGCAAAAAGCCCTAATGATAGATGATGAAGATGTTGGTGATGATGGTGATATACTAACCTCAGCTTGAGCTCCCAGCAAGAGTCCTCCTTCTGTATGAGAGCTGCCAGTAGAGCTATCTCAGGTCTCACAGAGTAGCCCAGGTCCACTGTGCCATGACCTCTCATAGTCACTGATATACGCTCCATGATGAGGGAACACAGGGACTCTGTCGCCTCAGGGTTGTCTCTGGTCACCATGCACAGTAGCTGACGGACCTCCTCCTGCACCTGCACCAACGAATATTATTACAAGTTTGTAAATTAACAGTTCCCTTAAACCTAAAACTCGTCACAATCATATGTATATTTTTTCAACGTTTATATCTGTCAGGGAACTTAGGTCGGGTAGAAGCAGAATTGCAACAGCAGTCGTGGCAGACCTTGAGACAAATTGATCAGTAAAAAGGATGAGCAATGGTAGCGACACCACAGTTCACAGCTAACCGATTGGATGTGATTCAGATTCCAGACCAGAAGATTTATATTACAGTATTAACAGAACCATTTTGAAAAGTAAAATGAATGATTGAATCATAAAAAATGAGTATCAGTGGATTAAAAAATTAACTGAATAAACTAAGAAGTTAATGACCATAAAACTTGGGAAATTAAATTATATTGTTGTTTTTAAGATTTATGATAGTTTCGGCGTTTTTGTATCAAGATGGGAATCTCATGATACTAAATCAATTGTGAAAGATGATGCATAGCCTATGTTTAGCTTTAAATCAACTAATGTAGTTTGAAAGTAGGTCTCCTAGGTGAAGAGAATGTTGTCCATCTCACTTTATAATTACCAAAACCATCCTTTTAATATACTCAGCAGTTATCATCAAGTCTATAACCAATTTTGATATCCCTACATTATTTTGATTTGATATTCCCTCATCTATTAAAACCTTATTGAGAGTGTATTATTGTGGGGATGAAAAAGTTGTAGCTTAGTCTGCAGTATAACAGACTGTGAAACTAAGGCAGTAATGTTATGAGATCGCATCCCAATAAAACCATTAAAATTTCTTTAGTGCAATTAATTCTTCACTAACACACTTGTTTTGCTCGATATGTTACACATGGTATGGACGGATAAATGCAAGGTCAACCTGCATCAAAATCCACCACCAAACAACAATGGCCACAACAATGTTGGCCTTGCAGCCTGATAAGACAACTTCAATTTCCTAAGTATCTTACTTAACCAACCATTTACCACCTATCTTTTAAACCGTCAACTTGAAATACTTTCCCCAACCTGAACGGTTCCCTTGCGCAAGTTGAACTCCACCAGCTCCTGTATCAGTCCCTGGGCACACAATATCTTGCGACTGCTGGGCGTTACTGCGAGGGCTCGCAACAGAGTGAGGCAGTGTTCAGTAGCGGCACTGGCACATCCGTAGCAGCGACCTGCGGCTGTCGTGGTGGCCGCACTGTCGTGACGGCTCCCACTGGCTCCACTGCCACCACTACGACCTCCACGTGACTGCTCCAGCTGCTGCCGGTCGTACGCTACCAGCTCTCGTCTGCAGGCGTGTACTCGCTAAGAAGGATAAAACATTGATTGAGAAACAGGGGAGTTTGAATACAAATTTTTCTATTGAAGAATTAACAAGACTTTGCTTTCAGTCAATCACTGAGAAGAGATTCTCTGTTTCCACCTCAGGATTTTTATTGACCCTCTGAACATCAAGGTTTGATTGATAGTGGGTATCTCATCTTATCTCAGTCAAGTCTGATGTGCAACTCATGTTGAGTGGTACAGCTTGGTACAAGAGCTCCACCTAAAATTAACTGACAGAATGAGTAAAAGTTAACACGATGGGTAGATTCTCTGTAGCTTGCACCAACAGGAATTTTTCTACTCTTACTTGACCATACTCTGTACAAATGTCCACCACAAACTTGGTTTTTAACTTTGTCTTTTCAAGCTGTTTTACCGTTTGTCAACATGTTAAAAATAAGCGTGAATAAATAAATAAAACATAAAAATCCAAGGGGTCCAAAGGGTGAGGCTCAACTTTGTTTAAACTGCACATTACTAACATATAAATGTTTAATAACCAAAAATAAAGATCCTTAAATTTCAATTTTGGTGAAGGTAATTTGATAATATCAAGGATTATTGCAAACATCTTCCATCACTATTCCACGTTACAAAACCTTGTGAAACCTTTCCTTTGTACAAATCGTGATGGAATATGTCCCCAATAATCCCTCAAATAACATTTCCAACAACTGACCTGTATGATCCTGCTGAGCTCATCAAATGAGTTCTTGCAGTCACCGCAGTAGCGCTGGGCCAGCAGCTGTATGGCTCTGTTCACCTGGTTGACTACAGCTGTAGAGTTGCCTGTTTGTGTGTTGGCCTCGTCACTGCTTCTCTCTAGTCTGTGCTCACTGATCTTCACCAGCAGCATCTGTGGACAGCTCATCAAATGAGTTCTTAGATATTCTTCAAACAGTTTGTGAATGCTGCAACAATGTTCATCAACCAAGAAGACATTGTGATCATTTGCAATGATTCTAGTGACATCTTGATCATTTAAAATTATAACAGTAACATTACGATCATCTATAATATCCTCCCATGTTAACTTTACATTACGTTGAACAAATCTGGATATTGTTCTGATCAATTAACCAACCTCAAGCGTTGGTTTATTCCCAACAAGCTGTTTGTACACTCTGTCAGCCTTCTCCAAGTGACTGTTGATGGTAGCAATGGCCTTCTTGCGATCCTCATCATTCTCTATGGGGTCAACGGCACAACACGGTCGGCCAGTCAGAGTGTAGTCAAACTTGGCGTACTTGCAGAACCCACAGGCGTGGCACAGGAACGGGTCCTTCTCATCATAATTTATAGCTCTGTAAAAAAATTCCAACATTACACAAGGTTTATTTATAATTTAGAAAATGGATACTCCAAATTTGACTAAAAGTTTTGTTTAAAGAAATTGGCTGACTCTTTTAACCTTAACTTTGCCCATCCACGAGGGCCTAAAGACATTTCTTCTAGGAAGCAAGTTGGTCGCATGGCCAGGATGGAAAATGGATGATGAAGAAAAATGTATTTAGTTAAGGTTGCCATGAAGAGGAAAAGAAGAGAAGACCGAACAACTCCAGCAGCCATTGGAAAAGCCTACACTAAAAATGCAGACCACCAATAGGCATCTTATTGGCAGTTTTACGCCTTTCTTCGTAAAGGAAAGAAAAAATCATACACTTACCGACACTTGTGACACTGGAACACGTTCTCGCCGCAGTTTGCACACACTCCGGGGTTGGCTGGCACAGAGCTGCTGCACCTGGGGCACTGCAGACTCTCCGATGAGGCTTGCAGGTTCTCGTAGAAGTCCGCATACTCTATCATCAGGTTGCAGGCGACTATCGGCAGCGGAAACTCAATCTTCACCTCTGTCTGGCCGCTTACCACAGACACTTTCTTGGCCTTGTGCCACATTGCTGCAAAACAGTGAGGTTGAGAGGTAAATAGCCTACTTTTTCAGCACACAATTTAATTTGTAGCCTACAAGAAATATAGTGAAAACTAAATATAGAGTAAACAAGTCTTTAATTTACTGAACTAGATTTTATGTGATGCAACCTGGAAATACAGTTTAAAACTACTATCCTTAGACTTTTGGTTAATCAGGGCGTCTAATTCTATAGACAGTTATGTCTGTTTAATAGCCAAGTGGTGTAAGATTGTCTTATTAGATAGTCAGTAGCTTTTTGATGGTTCAAAACTGGACCCAGCTGTTCCTGATCATTGGGCTTTAAATAAATGATCCTGGCTAATGAAACAGCTGATCTTAGTCAGTAACAAAGCTACACAGATCATCTCACACCATTCTACACTCATCCTTCACTCATATTTGGGTTAAAATACGCACCTAAGTGGCGTCCCCATCTTAATGATTGATGATTGATGATTGATAATTGATAATTGTCTCTCTGACCAGAAGACAACACCACAGATGGAGGGTTTAAATCTTTTCTCACTCTGGTTTGGTATCAAATCATGAGGATTTTACCTGTCTAGTGTCTGTAGAGATAAAACTTATCTAGAACAAAGTTGGCTTAAAACTGTGAAACTTTTGTGAGTCGTATCCTCATATCAGGCATTTTCTACTTTTCCTCATTACTTTAAAGACCACATACCAAACCACTATTTCCACTAACCTGGTTTGTTCTTGAGCTCGACCACTGCCTGGACAGTCCTGTTGTTGTAGTAAATGTTGATCGTCCGAACCATCTTGGTGCGCTTCAGGTCTCCGATGCGGAGTGTGATCTTGCTGATTGTGTGGCTTCCCACTAGCTTCACTATCTGGGTGGTCGTAGTAAACTTGGAGTCAATCTAGAAACCAACACGATTATTGAGCAAACCAACATGAATATTGAGCAAAGTGCTAATATGTCCTCAAATTGAAACGTGCTGCTGTTGTTACTGCTATTGTTTTGTCATTGCCATTTTGCTTGAAACTGATTCAAGTGCTATTAAGATAAAACAATAGTTTGTGAGAACGCTGGGAATTGAACTCCTATACTGAAAAATTTAACACTAGACAACACACCCAACCCCCATGCCCATGAAATCTCTCTTTCCAATTCAAATCATCGTTTATGTTGCAAAAATAATTCTAATAAGAAACCAAAAAGCATGGTGGGATTTAAAAGGGGTCTCAAAACATTTCTCATCAACAAGGTATTGTATTCCCTTGATGAACTTTTAAAATTTTAGAAGGAGCGTTAATTTTTAATTTGTATAAACTTATGTTAGATTTTAAGAACTTTGTACCTATCTATAGAATGTAAGAATATTGTAATGTAAAAACATGTAGGAGAGTGACACTATTCAAGTACTTTGTGCTTTAATGAATAAAGAAATATTGAATTGAATTGAATTGAATTGAATAAACCAAAATCTGTTAGTTAGGTATTCAAACATACCATGGATATATTTAAATTAAGTAAAAACTCGTAAAAGAATTTGAAATTAATATAGCTTAAGTATTTGCAAATGAAAAACAATAAAATAGTGAGCAAACACTTATAATTTTTTTAATTGGAGAGAAGAAAATATTTTTTATGTTTTCCAAAATTTGTGGGAGAGATTCGATCTACGTCGTTAAACTCATTAACTATCACAATGATAGGCGGCACGATGCAATCATGCCAACAAGCTGGCCAGGCATGATTGTAAGCTACTCCAGCGATAGTAACAAAAACTTTTTTACAAATTGTGAGTATATGCAAAATTCCCATCACACTCCCATCCTCTAAAACTATGATTTTTCACTTAGAGCTCACCTTGGGTATGTGAGCTCGATTAGTTCAGACTTTACAACAAAAAAAAAAACATAACAGCTTGAACACTTCTGTAATCGTTGTCCATGTACCTTGATGCTGGACAGTTTGATGCTAGAGAACGGCACCTCAGGGTTGTTACACACCAGGCACGGCTCACTCTCCAGATAGAACCCGTCCAGCTCCACGTACTGCGCTAGGTGAGTGTACAGGTTGGCGTTGGGGTGATGGGACAACAGCTGGTTCTGATTGTGCAGCACGCCGACCGCTTGCTCTATATACTCGTTCATCTGAACAGAATCACCAGTTAGAGGTAGAACCTAGCAATCTACAGGTGGATCAATAGGATTGCTACAAAACTTGTATTGGGTAGAATATAAGTTAGTTCGAGAAGTGAGATATTTAGGACTATTCAGTGCAAAACAAGAAGGTGAGGATGAAGTACTCAGAAGAGAAGTTAGCTGAAGGTGGTTTAATAGAATAGAAAAAGTAAGACTAAGATGGTTTGGACAAGGTGAGATTTGCTAGGACAATGGAGTTGATGAAGATAGGAGAAGAGTTAAAGAGCAGATGTCAAGGAAGAAGTTTTACACTAAGTAATTTATATTGTGAACTAAAGAAATTCAAAATAAAATCATAACTGTTAATGCGTTAAAACTAGATGATATAAACATAATGAGAACAATTTAGAAAATGAACTAAATTTTTGGAATCTGCTGGTCCCTGATACATTTTGGGTCTTGTCACACCAAAAGAACCCTGAGAGGGGGTTCGGGCAAGAAATAATTTTCTGCCATGCTCGGGTTGGGTCAAAAGAAACAAAGCTCTTATCTTATAAATCGCAGAAAGTGAACCAAAACGGTATCTTTCCACAATCGAGATGATAAAGATATTGCGGTGGCCGCAGAAAATGTGCTTCATTAATGATTTTTCCGTAAACCCGGAAGACCATTATAGCGCCCCTTTCATTTTAACGCGATCACAAAAGACGATCCGGATTTTGACATGACTGTGAAAGATCTTTTGATTAACATTTTTTTATAATCAATACTTTCCACAGCGTATCGATTTTGACCAGTAACCCAAGGGCCAAAATTCTTGACCCAAACCGACTCAAAGATAAATAGTCTGGCCTGCAGACCCCTATTAAATTTTTAAATAATTCAAATTCTTCTGTCACTTGGATATCCAAAACTTCTTTTCTTTTAACCTAATTATTTGACAGACTTAAGTCATAGCTAGGTTACCTTGGCTGAGACACTGGTACACTTGATGGAGAAGTAGCCCAGCAGATCTACGAACTGTACAGCCTTGCGACCGTAGGTGGACAGGTTGGGCCACAGCGACCACATCAAGTCCAGCACTGTCTCCTGCTCTGCCTTGTCTGAGTTTCTACCACACAAAAAACCAATGATGGTTAGGTGAATTACTCTGGTACAACTTAGTCCCCATATAAAGACAAAGAGAGGATTACAAAATGATACTTGGGGAACATTGCTTAACGATAAAAGATTATTGTTAAGAATACACTGGATTATTTTGAAATGAAATGATATGTCTTTATTTGCTTTTAACATGAAAAACATGCATTGCAATCTAGCTGACCATTGAGTCCATTGAGATTTTAAGAGCTTGGCAGACTTGACGAGCTTGACGAGTAGTCGTGCCACAGAGAAACAAACCTACAACTTCCCTGCCTCAGTCCCTCAACCTGTTGAGACACTGATTCACCAAGACTGTAGTTTTATTCCGATCAATTGTACTGGAGTTTCACAAATATAAATTGAGAGCCATCATAACAAGATCTTCCTACCAGCTCGGAAGTATTTTAGTTTCAAATTTGCTTACTAAAACTGACAAATAAGCAGACATTACTCACACCTTTTTTACCAATGCTGCTGACTTTTATCGGTGTTTTTAATTTGGTCATTGGGCTAGCTATCTGACCACACACAACATTCAACCTTAACAACAGTCTTAGCATTTCACTCACTTGTATATAGCCACGACCAATGCATGAGCCTGCCAGCGGATGTTGGTGTTGTTGGTGTCCAGCAGGAACGTACGGATGAACCTTGTCAGCAGATCTCTCTCCACACACTTGTTAAGCTGTTTGACCAGAGCTGCACAGTTGGTGGTTTCTTCACTTGTCTCTGTGGTAGCCTCCTTCTCTGTCTTGCTGCCTCCTCCGCTTCCACTGCCACTACCATTGCCACTGCCACTGCCACTGCTGCCTGTAGTGTTGCCGTTCTTGGCTGACTTATCACTCTGAGAGGATTGGAAAGGTTAGATTAGGCGAGGGAATCGATTGACTAATCCACCCCTAATGCATCAACCACATATTGACTTTTGGGGTTCCCATTGGTGCCTCAGGCATTGTCAAACTTTAAGGGGTTGATGAACTTCAGAGTGTAGTTCAAGTTCTATATAAAGACGTTTTGTTACAGTAAAAGTAAGCTTGGAATTGAAAATGTTAAACCAAATCTAAAATTTCCAGGTTAACAATATGTCTTTAATCTGATGTAGTTAATACAACGCCGCAAAACAAAAAAATATTGAGATTGGCAGTATGATTTTGAAAACACAATATTAAACAAATTTAAGAAAAATTTGTAAGAAAATTAGTATAAAGTATAACACCAAAAATTGTTCAGGGCAGAATAAATATAAGCGCACAATGAGAGAAACGATACAAGGGAACATTGCTGACAGACGACCATCTTCATTGGACACAAACTTGTGAAACATTTAACCTACATGGACAAACATTTACCAAACACAAATTAATCTACACTTCAAAGGGTTAGGGATTTAAAAATACAATATACAATACTTGACAAATTAACATTTAGGAATGCAACTATTGCTTAACTTTATCTGAAAACTCAGTGAGTCAAACGGTCTTACCTCCCATTATTTCAGTTAAGCAGGGTTTTAATGTACACATTTTGGACAACAATGATTTTAAACTCAGTTTAAAGTGTAAGAGTTTTAGTAAGAGGCTACAGTCTGTTTACCTGGCTAGCCTGAGGTATTACTGGACAGATGGCACACTGGAGCAGTTGTAGGATGGTTTGAGCCACAACCTCGTCCAACAGACAGCTTACCTGCACAAAAAAACAATACAACTCAATAATCAGTTAGGCAGAACGTGATATGAGGAAACAACGAATAGTAAAATTGTTTTGAAAATCAAGTCAAGAATCAATAAAACTCTGGCACAGAATTATCGGCCAAATTTAATAGTTCCTTTCTTCTCTGAAGTCTTTGAGTCCCTCCTGCATGTCTAGATTAATTATTAATTCAAAATAAAACTACCTATTTAGTTTCAGGTATAAAACCAGTTTCAGTTTTGATATACAATACTACAAACATTTTACTGAAAAAAACTTGTTCTTTTCCCCGAAGCAGCAAATCTTAGTACTCTTAAGATATAATAATGTTATTTAGATGGGGAATAAATCTGACATGTTCAGGGAAATATTTGAGTTAAAATCCAATCAGGAAAATGGAAATTTGCAATTTAGCATAGTCTGCTGGTTTGCTGTGCCGGAGGTTATTTTTCTCTGTGCCTTTGATAGTGAAATTTGTAGATAGAATTACAAACACTTTTAAAGGAAAGCAAACCAAACCCATCAATTAAGTCAATTCTTAAATTCCAGTTTACATCAAACAACATACCTGCAGCAGGAACGACAGGATGGTTTCGTGTCTCAGACAGTAGAGTTGCCAGTTGATGATGCGTGAGGACGCTACCTCCACACAGGCCTTGAGGTGTTCTATCAGCTCTACTAGGGCATCATAGGACAAGCTGAGACTGAACGGATGACTCCCTCCAACAGAGAACCCTCCGTTGTCACAACACTGCTGTACAGCCTGCAATACAACAGTACAATACAGTAGAGTATTCATTAAACACAATAACTCATATGATAATTCGGTGATTGAAATATAGTACAAATCAGCATGGCTGCAGAATTCAAGGAAAAAGATTTGAGCAATTTTCCTGGTAGCAATCCCTGGTTTTACAGTCACCAGATCTACTTTTTATTTCAACAGTCACCATTATTATTTGAATAAACATGATCCAAAGGCCAAAAATGTGCAAACGTTGTTGTTTTATTTTAGTTGTTTTGAACATTAGTAGAGTAGAGGTGAATTACCTTGATATGAGAGCCAAGGGAGTGCAGGTCTCTGAGTTGTCGATACTTCTCCTTGGTGCCACAGATGAACAGAAGCAGTTTGCGAACGTGTCGTCTTATAAACGGAGCCTGCTGGGTCATCATGTACTCGCACAAAAAGTAGAACCAGGCCTGCCACAACAACAACATTACATTTTGACGTTTTAAAAAGTTCTAGTTTCAATAATCTGGGGGTAAATACTATTAATTGATGATCCTTTGATCTGTGTTGTTGAGTTTGTCAGTCTTGTTTGAGTGACTAAATGTGATATCACTTCAGTTTAGGGGTGTGCGATGCATTGAAAATGCATCAAAATTTTGATTCGATTTGATTCTATGCATCGAATCACGATTAGATTCAGCATGCATCGAAATCACAATGCATCGATTTGGCCTCGATGCATCGAAAAAGACCGATGCATCGATTAAGTCCCGATGCAACGATTACGTCCCAATGCATATTTAAAACTAATTTAGGACTCCAAAATGAGTTTTAGATAGGGAAGTGTCAATTATCGCTACCACCAATACTCGGACATTGCCGATTCTAGGAATATCGGTATCAAGAATCGATTGCCAAATGTCGATTTCGCCTGATTCCGCCGATACCGACACCCGACAGAAGAAGAAGAATTAAAGACAAACATAAGCATTGAATATTGACACATCTTGACTGCAAATACTACACCACAATTACACAAGCTACGATTCCTGAACTCCAGCACTGACCTGTTCGAATGTGATGAGTGAGCAGGAGTGTTTCTGCACCTGGTAGGGCAGCCTCAGCGCCATCTCAGTCAGTAGCTGGGGGTAGTCTTTGAACACATCGTTGCTGTGGCCCTTGACATACTGCTTGAGGAAGAACGGGGACATGTCAGGCGGAGACATGTTCAGGTGAGGCTTCAACACTCCCCCGCCTACAGTGCCTGACGACTCCTCACCTCCACTCCTGCCGGAGAACACTTGTTTGTTAAATGTTGTTTGACAATCAGAAGTGTTATGCTACAACTACAGTTGACACTACCAAGCCCCATGAATAAGGACATTGTTTAACCTGGACAACCATTTGATGGGGGTTTATAGAAATGCTACACAGCTAAGTTAAATTTGCTGTGTAAAAACTAAACACAAAGGTCCTATAAACCTGAACCTAACATCTGTAAATCACTTTGACAGGCTCAGAAAACATCGTAGAACAACAGAATACTAACAGGCCTTTCAAAAACTCAAGGCACAACTTACGCCTTCCAGAAGGAAAGGAACTGCTTGAGCAGCTGTAGACAGTAGTCGATGACTCCAGCCTGTTGTAACATCCTGGCTGTCACTTGAGAGATGAAGCCACAGTTGTCTGTGTTGAACTTGCTGCTGGACTTGGATCTGGACATTAGAACACCTGCAGAACAAAACCCCAGGTGAGCAATAGAGTAACAACAGCGTAGCTTGGATAATGTGAACACCAAGTAATTAAACTTAAACTATACAAACTTTGGAATTAGATAAGTTTTGTGATAAAGCTGAAAATGGAAAAGTTACACTTTTGATTGCACGACTGTTAGAAACACATATATTCAGTAAATTAAAAGGGTATCGATCTCTGCTATTTTCCGCCACAATAACCAAAGATAAGATTTGTTAGACGTTGTATTTTAGATTGATTTTTCAGTGTGAACCATGCCTAAAAAAAAACAAATAAAAAATTCTAAAAAACACCAAACTCATATGACTTGTAAGTGGTACACAAATAATCAACTGATGGACCTTGGTAGTACTATAAAAACAAAGGTTGGTAGGTAAAAGAACACATGTGAAGGCAAGTGTAGCGAGGGAGTATGGAAGAAAAAGCTGGCAATGACCTTGACAAGGTAATGTGCTACAGGAGTAGGTCTTGAACCAAAACTGTGCAGTGTTTTGTTTCCATCTCATTGAACTTGTTATACTCCAGCTGTTCTTAATGTAAAAAAATTGAATTAATCGTCAAAAAAGTATTCAAATAACCCATGTATTTCACACTGATTATATATGGTAGTTCAAAGGATGGGATAAAAGAATAATAAAGATATTGAATGATAGAAGTTAGAATTAAGCACACTCAACTGTACCAAGCAGAATCAATTCACACTGCAACAAAATTTTTGTGAAAAAAAAGTTTCTGCTATCAACATTTGCAAAAAATAAAAAATTAAACAATTCAAAATAAAAACTAAATATTTCCATGTCAAATTTGCAAGCATCCCTTTAACACAATTCAACATGGTAAATAACACACTGGTTGGCACTCACTGATCAGTCGCATGATGACCAGGTGCACCTCTCTCTGAGGCGTTCTCTTGCAGACGTCGGACATGTCAGGACTACGCATGGACAGTTCACCAATCACAGCTGTCAACAGGTTCTCTAGACATGCACGATCACGCTCCTCGTTACCATCCAGGTCTGACGTCAACATCAGCACAACCTGCGAGCCAACAATAGTATTAGTTTCATCATCGGAACAACTTTGAAAATGTTAGCGTAGTGTTTAAATGTGAATTCTGAAGAATATGAAAGGGTGGTGAGGATTACTTCACCCGTCTATGGGGTTCAAAATTGCGGACTAAATGAGTTAACTTATGCAACTAGTTTTTCTCTTAAAGCGAATGCTGATCAGGTAATCAACAGGTAGCCGGTTAAATCCTGACTAAATCCATTAGTTTTTTATGGTTCTTGTCTGGATCCAGCTGTCATCAAAGCTGGATCAGCTAGATCATTGAACTTTGAGTAAAAAAGCTATCATCTCATTCAGTCAACGTCCTTTACTAATCTTGACTTTCAAATACTTATCCTAATAACAGCATCATATCTGTTAGAAGACCTTAAAAAACAATAATGAACAAATGGCAACTTGAGAAAACATATAGGGAAACCTTTAAATTTACTATTGTGGTTCAATGAATAGGGGTGTGTTACTAGCCTAAAGGTTAACATCTCTGGCCTCAGTGCGAGAGGAATAGGTTCAATCCCCGGCATATCCAAAAAATGAGATGGCATTTTACACCCTCATTTGAAAAAAAACAATTGCTAAGCTAGACAGTTAGAAAACATCAAATATATTGACTAAACATACCTGCATGAAGGGTATTGCTCTGACGCCGCCCACTTCAGTCAGCTTGGGTACAAACTGTATCAGCTTCTCCAGGATGCTGAGTCTGAGGTCATGCAGCTTGATGCCTCCCTCCGTCTCTACCTCAGCTTCCACCTCAGTGCCATCTGGCTCTTGGTTCTGCAACAGAGAAAACTACATTGCAGGTAATTACGAAGGTGGAATATTTGTAGTTGGGGGATTATTTGGAAATATGGGTTGGGTAGATATTTGCAAGGATACCTCAAATGTTAGGTTTGAAGATGATCTTGAACCTAGTTTATGCTTTACGTTTACAGTGGGAATGGAAGGGAATGGTGGGTTTTCTTAACGGGTAAATGTGACAAGATGATTTGTATGGAAATTGTAAGGAAGCGTAACAAAATAAATTTAAGAAATATTTACAAATTTCATTTTTATATAGAAATCAAGTGGAAATTGGTTAGTTCTGGTCTTAACAATAAGGCAACAATAATTATAATAAAACAGAGTTCTATAATAAGGAGTTTGTTTTCTAGAAACTAAGGTGATTTACTACAACTATAGATAAAACATACTCCCTTAGTAGATTTCTCATCCTAATGGAACAGCTGAAGACAATTTTATTGTTAGTTCTGTACGGTTTATGTAGAGGTCGTGTTTTGTTTACAATTTGTTTCCCGTTATTATAGCCATTTAAAACATCGTTTAACCAAATAATACGATCTAATCATAAACAATAACTTGTCCCCTAGTTATATAACCAAACAGTAAAGCACAAATCAAGAAATTAACCCTAAATTAATAGAAAGAAAGTTTTTTTGACACTAGCGCCCAGTGTCACGTACATGAACTAGACACGAAAAACGTGCTTCAAAATTTACAATGGGATGAGAAGTCTACTTGTGTTGGTTGGTCTATGCTACAATGCAATGGGAACTATGAAACGTCTTCAACCCTCAAAGAATCTGTTTACCAATAGATAAAATATGTTAACCCTTTGAACCCCAGGGATCGTTAATTAATTATGCCTCAATACCTTTTTTAGACCAGTGATAACAGATGCTGTCTGTATTGAGGTGAAAGGTTTAACCTTGAAAATCATGACTCATACCCAGTTGTGTGATTTTTTTTATAAAAAAAATTATCTTGTCAACTTATGTTTTGATTTATTTTTTTTTACTAATGAATGTTAGAGCCCCACCTGGAAGCCAGCAGGAGCGCCCAAAGAGCTCGTTTCACTCCTAGCCCCCACCAGGTTCTCTTGTATGTTGTCTCCGTAGGCTGAGCTGCGACCGGACATGCTGTAGTTGTGTTCTCCAGTGATGCTGTCTACACCACTGCCACCACTCTCACTGCCTCCCTGATATACAATACAATCATCAATCATGCTGACTAGTGTTGTTTTTATTTGAATAACATTTTCACACATAATGCAAAATCACTCGTCACCGGAGGCTGGATCAAAAGGGAGAAGTAGTCTTTACACATTTCATTTTAATTAGGCATGGACAGGTAAAAATAATTGGTTGATCACACAGTGCTTCTAATTTTCCTATAAAATAACTGTTTCAAAAACTGAAAACAAAGAGTCCAAACAAAAACTTCTGCCATTGAAACTCTTCATTTGCAACCCATGTCAATTGTCAATTGTTGTTGTGTTGTTGTTGTGTTGTGTTTCATGTCAATTGTTGGTAAGTAACTAATAAAAATACACAACAATAAATATTCAAAGTTACAACCTATTCTTCTGTTATTTGCTAACCTGTTCAGCAGGAGAAGTGCGTAGTGTGCTACCATCAGTCGCTGCTGTAGAGCCCTCATCATCACTAGCACCTGCGCTGGCCGTGGTGTCACTGTAGTGGCCGGCCTCCTGACTGGTGCCTGCAGGGTTTGGTACCTGGGCTAGGCCCTGAGTGGCCAGCACCTGCAAAAGCAGAGTAGACTATACTGCTCTACTGCTACTCTACTAATTTCTTCTTAAGATAAAAATAGAAGCAAAATATCGAATCAAATGTGATTGTTTTTTGGACTGTCCACGGCCTAAAACTCTTTTCTTGGGTGAGTTCATTGTGTATTCCTTTCCTAACCCTTAATTTATTTCTAAGCCAAGTGATATTTTTTTCAAAAACTAATATTGACTGCAGAGAATTAAGGTACACTTAAGTGATGTCTAGCACTAGTAATGGTGTCCAGGACAAAGCCCAACACCACCCCCTCTCCCCTTGCATGTACTACAACGCTCATGGTGGAGGAAGACCCTACACCCTGTGTGATAGGAATTTCTGCGCAGTGCTCGCTGCTAGGGCTGTTCATTGCTTGTCACAAGTATATTTCCAGAACAACATACTAGAGCTAAAAGCACATGGTTGTCCCATAAGCGAGTTTTCTGTGCATTAACTAATCTTTACTACCGTACTTATCACCTATCTGATGAAGCAGTGCCTGCCTACCTCTAGTGCAGGCCCCGCCAGGTTATGCAGGTTTGCTAACCCATGTGTGATACTCTGCAGATTGGCCGCACCCTCATGGTCCTGTAGACTCAGAGCTATAGCCAGCTCTACCATGGTCTCGTCGTCCGCATCAGGAGGGATATCAAGCAAAGGAGCGAACCCTGCAGCTCCCAACAGCACCTGCATGTTGACCGGCACACTACCTCCAGCTACTGCACAGGCAATTGACATTTTTTAATGAAATACACTTTTTAAATTTTAAGGCGGATTCAGATTGAGCAAAACAAACATTGAATCTGAATCTTTTCAAAGGATTCTGTATTCAGATTGGGCACTCTACTGATGCTAAGATGGAATGACTTACCAGCGCCTCCGCCCAGCAGCACCATGGGCTCCACAGCATCCACCTCAAAGTGTGCCTGGTCCGCCTCCGAGGACTCTTGTGACGGTTGAGACACAGGACCTGCCTTCTCTGACTCTGCAGCTCCTGTACATAGAGACAAGGTTCACACGATTCTTTTGTAATTTGTATATTCTCTCTTGTAATTTGATTTAACATTACTTTTAAGAAATATTCATGGATGGATTGGATTGGATTGGATTTGGATTTAATGCTTTTGACTACGTTTATCAGACAATTATATCAAATACTTTTTAAAATATCTGTAGAATTCGAAATACTTCTCTTGACACATTTCATGTCCAAAATACTTTCAAAACCTTTGTTACAAGTAGTGTAGACAAATTTACAAACACTTGATTCTTTACTCCAAAAACCAACTTAAACTCCACAAAAACCAAAACTAGGAGTGCGGCTCGGTACATTACCGAGCTGACCTGGCGTGCTGCAGTGTGGTGGGGAGGGGATGAACACCCTGCGTCGCTTGAGTCTCGGCCGCAATACTCGTATGAACGCCTGCTTGGCGCTGAAGCTGACTGTCGTGTCTGGACACAACAGCAGTGCTAGGTATAGCTTGACGGCCAGTGAGACAGTGCTGTCACTTCCGTCTACTAGAGTGTATGAGTGGATCATCTCTACGATGCAGTGTATAGTGGCCTCCACGTGGGTCAGACCTGTTGGAAGATAGATGTTAGTTGTTAAGTATTGTTAAGCTTAAGAAAAAAAATACAATGTTTATTTCATTGGTCATTCACATCAGACTACAAAACTAAAAAAACTACTTACAAAACAAAAAAAACACTGTTAAGCAATCTAACTTCAGTAGACAAATGTTGCTTTGTATGACAATTAATTGTAGACAAAAAGGTCTATCTACATCACCTGGTATACAGACAGACGCAAGTGCAGGGTTTGCAGGTCTCACTGCATGTAGCTTCCACATAATCTCTGTCAACTGGTGCAGCAGCTCTTTGGAGTTCTCTGGTCCTTTGTTTTGAGAGTCTACAACAAAAATACACAGTAGAGTAAAACAACTAACAAATGTTTAGTCTACCAGCATCCAATGAGAAAAGCTATAAATGATTAAAAATAAACATGAAGAGAGATGTAAAAAATAACCTACATAAAGGCACAAAGCCATGAAGCCCTGCCTTACAAATTCTATGCAAATTGCAAACCGAATAATTTGTCTTTGTTCATTCCTGTGCCTGCAGCACTTTACTTTGTAAACGAATCACAAACACTTAGAGGGTAAACAAACTAAACCCATGAAACTTTTGTGGAAATGCCAAAGATTGAACCCATACCATTCCACCGATGTCCAAGACGGGTACCACTAGGTTAGCAACAAATCCAATTCTCCAGGAAATGTTGCACACCTCTCAATAACTGTGTTGTTATCCTGCATATTGTTTGTGTATTTATAAGCCCCAGGAACCTTGAATTAATTTCCTCAGATAAACTAGCTGATCTATTTCCAAAGGCAACTCTTTTGTTCCTTGAGCCACTATGGGGCGTACGAAATTAATTTTAACACAACTTTTAGTTTACAAAATATCTAAATAACTAGTGTAAATGTTGTTCTACTAAATACATAAAACAGCACAAGTAAATGTGGACAATGTTATCTACGGTGCAGTATTGTTGTTCCAGCACCAACAGTTAGCCATTCTGGTGCCACTCCCAGATATCACCACTGACCTGATGAACTCTCGTACGTAGCGTTCTTGGCCAGATTCTGAGGTCTGGTGACAGCAATTGCTCTGGTCATAAGCACCAGGCGGTAGAACGCCTCAGCGTCCAGGTCCTTGGCGTTCTCTACCTGACGCAGCTGTGCCAGCGACTTGGATATGAAACTAAGTAACACCTGGTCCTGCAGACAAATTTGTAAAATTGTTAATTATGAATCAACAATCAACATTATTACTTGTTGAATTGAAACTTTGATACACATTTCCTACAATTCTTCAGTTACATTACAAGATTTTATTGATTGATTGATTGATTACCGTTACATTGGTTTAGGATATTGTTCTTTTGTTTTGTTGACATAGTATATGTACATTTTGTTAGATTTGATTATTTGTGTCTAGTAACAGAACATAAGGAAAAAGTATATTACTAATTATGTGTCTTAATAACCCTAATGGTTAGCGTTTACAAGCTTGATAGAATGTCCCTCTTCTATTAAATTAAATTCTAGTTCTACACAAGGTCAAAAGACTACAAATATTAAAATACATTAGCAAGACATTAGGAAAGGAAAAGAGAATCCCCTCAGTCACAAGTTATTCTTGGTTACATTATGTAAAAAATTTTTTTAAATAGATCACTTTTCAATTTTAAAACCTCTGGTTCTTAATTAGCTAATCGAGGATAAATCACCATAACTTCATCTGATTTTTATATTATAAGCCTAAGCCTATTCTTCTATTAAGGAAATAGAAAGACCTTCATTACCTAATCCAGGTTATTTTAATCTGAACTGTGCTTAATAAAGTACTTTATAAAGTAGCCTGCAACCATGACTGTGCCATTGCAGCCGAGTGGGTGAGAGACAGGGTTTGACCGAAAGTTATGAAGTAGCACATTTATCACTCAGGGCCCCAAATGAGAGTTTACTGTGACCCTCACCTTGTAGTTGTGGTACGACTGTCGTGTGGGATGCAGTGCGGCCAGTACAGACTTGACATGTCGCTGTACACAGGAAGCTGTAGGCAGGATCAGCAAGTAAGACACCAGTGAAGTGAGGGTAGACACTGGCACCTTGCTCTGCTGATCTCCACTCATGAGTAGTATAGTGCTGTCCAACACCTCCAGTATACCACACACCACCCTACAACAAGTAGTTATTGGTCAAAATTTTAAAAGACAAGCTTTAAAAATATACTAGACAAAACTTAGTGGAAATTACTTCTTGTTGAACTGTATCAAAAGAATCGAACATTACCATCAATTTTTGGTCTTAAAATGTTTATTTTTATGGGAATGGAGAAAACCTAGAACCGACCCATCCCTAATTCAACAAACTAGGATAAGTCTAAAAATTTCATGAAATTTTTGTGAGTAATAGGAGCATGATTACATTTAATTTTAATTAGATATTTTCTTGGGGTGGGATTTGTTTCGATTGACAGAGATTTTGTCACAACTGAGAGTGATAATGATGATGTCTTTGAGATTGCAGGAAATGTCCACGATTTTGTTTTTTTTCCTAGAGAATATGTTGATGTCTCTGTGATTGAGGGAGATGTTGAGGGTATGACCGCCATGGGGGTTGACGATGGTGTTGTCCCCAATATTGTGGGATATGTTGAAGATACCGTAACAATGATGTCCCTGTAATTCCAGGAGATAATCGACGTAAAAATTCAATAAAAACTCAAAATTTATTTTGTTTGTCGTTATTATTATTTGCAAGAATTTTTGCTCACAATTTTCAAAACAAACTAAGTTTTTCTTTGTTCAACAGGAAAAAACATTCAGTCCCGTTTCCATCCCAAAAATAAGGAAGGGGGAAAACCTGCCCTATCCTGAACTAAAACTACAATCACGTCAGTCTCTAAGTAAAAAAATATATTGGGGGACTGAGCTGGTCTTAGTGTCCTAAGACAAAAAAGTAAAAAAATATTAAGTTAAATAAAAATGTACACATTACTTGTCAAGAGACGTGATGGTAGGTGGGAAGTTGGTAGCAGTGTCAGTAGTCTCAGCCGAGGTGCCAGCAGTTGCTGGGGTTGGCACTACTGTGTTGCTGGTTACCTCCTCTGTCTCCTCCGGCCAGCCAAACTGGTCCTTGGACTTTCCATAGCTACAAACACAGAAGCATGGAATTATTCTACAGGTCTAAACATGGATACAAGTTTAATATGAATGAGCATACTAAAAAAAATTAGAAAAATTAACTTTGGAATAAAAAGTTTTGCCGATGAATCAAAACATTGAAAAAACCATTTATTTTGCTCAATTCACAGATTTATTATTGAATCCATCAGTTAGGAAATTTAGAAAAAAATTGATCAAATTTAACAGTCAGGTTTGTATAAAAAATGGACATAAAGGAAAACAAATCTATTTTATCACTGTGATACGGATGAGAACAGAAATCTCTATATTTTTATAAAAGTTTGGTAGATAAGCCAACCTTTTCCCTGAGCAAAGGTTAACGAGCGGCAATTGATCCAGGGTTAGTTAAAAGAGGGTCTACTGTAAAGGCAAGCACTACCCTACTAGTGATTTAAAAATCTCACACTTACACTTTAATAGAGTCTACCATTGTGACTCCCTCGGGGTCTTGCGAAGGGCCGAAGGTGACAGTCAGTTTCTTGTCAGCTTGCAAGCTCTCCTCTCGAGTCAAAGGCAAGTCAAACCACCTGTTGCGAGCTACTGCAGTCTGTGTGGTGCGTCCACATACCTGCAATGTGGTATAGTTTAGAATCAACCATCAGTGTAACTACTGAATATTGTTAGTAATTTTTCACTAAGCATGATAAATTTAGGGATTACTTCTTAATTATTTGTGTATCCAATGGACTACTGCATGTGGAGTTTCGGATAAGTTTCTTTTTGGAAATCAGATTAGATTGGATTTTTAAAAGTACCGCTACACCAGGCGGGTATTTTAAAGGGGAGATTAGTGAACAATGAGTGTTGAATTAATGAGATGACAGCTTTGTTACTGACTAAAATCAGCAGGGTCTCTAGCCTAGATCATGTATTAAAAGCCCAGAGATCAACTGGATCCAGTTTTGAACCATAAAATTTTTTTTTACATTTCTCAGAATCGAACTGGAAACCTTCTGATTACCAGGGGAGCACTAACCACCTGGCTGGAGCTAGGTTGTATAGGAGTATGAATAGGAAACCATTCATTGGGAGGGAGCTTTCTTAAAACCAAGAAAACTACTGTGAGATAGTAATGTGTCTAAAATTTAAGACCATTACTACATTCAACTTCTTAGAAAGTTTAGTGCTCCTTTCCTGGAACTCCACTATTTTATTACGGTTGATATCCTACCAAAAGGATCAATCAAAGAGGTTATTGGTCATTAAGAAACTATGGCTAAGAAAATACACAGTGTAAAAAGGAGGAATAAATATAAATGTTTATCGAGTAGGCTATTGAGACATGAACCAGCCTAACCTCAATATATCCTGGAACTCGTTGAACATCTTGGTTGCCGAGCAGAACTCTAATGCCAGTGATGACCTGCGTCCCGTCATTGTTGGTGATTTCAATGTTGAAACCAGTGGACTTTGTTGACACAACATACATGCCTGAAAAATATTCAGATAAGAATACCGGTACACTCTTGTCAATGAAATTTATTTCTAAAGTAAAATTTGGCCATATCCTAACTTAATTTAAGTATAACATTATGTTTTGAACTTAAAGGAAAGAAATGAATGAAGAATGAAAGAGATGAGACAGTTTCTCAACAAACTATAAATATTACCTGTAGTATTGAGTCTATTCTTGATCTGTTGAGCGTTGTATATCTGGAGAAGATCGTTTCCTCCATACTCTACGTCATTGAGCAAAGTACTGTGCTCAAAAAAGTCCACGGGAAAAGTGACTGCGCCTACAAACAGGAAAGTTGGAAAACAAGGTCAATAACAAAAGGGTTCTTTATTGTTTTAAATATACATATTTCCTAATAGATTTTGTACCATCATAGATCAGCTGAACACAATTTTAAAGAATGTTTAATTGCGGTAAAAGTAATGTTTCAATGTATTATACTTATTTATTTTCTTATTAGCCAATTTCGCCCAACACATTATCTTTGGTAATATAAATTGTACTATTTCATTGCTTTCGTGTAATTAATTATCTTTATTTCTTATCATCTAAATAAAATGTATGTGACTTCATTACAACACCTGAAAAGACCTCATTACACTAATAGTCAAAAGATAGTTATCGTTACCTGGAGATTTGTTCACTTTAGGTGTTTTCTTCTTCTTAGAAGATTTTAGATTAGACATAGTGCTGATGGGTTGAATTGCAGGAGACAGCCAGTATCCTATAACAATGCATGTTGGTTAGTAATAGTGATGTGTTGGTAGCTGAAGACAATTCTTAAGCTGAAATCTTAAACGTCTCCGTGGTCAAGGCAAAATCAAGAAAATCTTGCCAGGTTACAGAAACAAATCAACATTTTCCATTAGGACATTTTTGCAATAGTCAAAAAAAGCTTATTTCGGTTTGACCTGACCCGAGCTTGCGCCAAAAATTACTTCCTGCTCAAACCATCCTCTTAAGCCAACTGTTGGCCCAATTTTACCCAAAAATATCATGCACCAAGTGACCACTAACCGAAACTCACAACCGCCGTAACATTGAAAAAGCGATCATAAAAACATACCATACTGACAAATAATATTTGTTATGCCATCTAAAACTACAATGTTCTACACAGCATCTTGCAGTGTACCTGTGTGGTCCATGGCGGCCATGTATATGCGCAGACTGCCGTCCTCACACAGCAGTATGAGCGTGGTGCGATGGTCAGACCCTGATGACGGGTGTCTGATGGCCACAGTGTCCATGATCTTTGCCTTCACTGGCACTACCTTGATCTCCTGTATCAACACTGTGTCTGGCTTCACCATCAGTATCACAGGGTTGTTGCCTGTACATCACATAATTGAATATCATCTCTGGAGAATTAATGAAAGAGAAACTTATCAAAACAGATTTACCAGAGTAAGATAACAAAGAGAAGATAATGCTCAAATATGATCAAAAAAGTATTATCATGTAGCAACTGTGCATCTACTCGAGTCTTCAATTTATTTATTTGAAAAAAAAACCAACTGTTTTGTTATGGTTTAGATGAATGGATAAGTTACATTGCAGTAACTGTGCAGTTTAATTACAGTGAAAACAACATTATATGATTGCTGGTGGAACAATTGATAGACAGTAATTAGAAGAGCTTCCTTTTTCAAAAATGCTTTGTTTCAAACTACGTCAGTGACAATTAAATGTTTATTTTTTTGTGTGGTGTAAAGTTGCTGTTTCTTGTGCCTGGATGGACTCTTTTCATCAAGGTAGAGCAAGACTTAAAGCTATAGAAGAAAGATTTTTACAGTAGCACAAACTGTTGGTGGTTCATTTGATTTAGTGTGTACAGCTGGTGGATACAGAAGATATTTCCACTTACAGTATTCAAAAGGCAATGGTCTCTGATCATTGGTCTACACAAAGAATGATCCAGGAGTTTTCTCACAAACTATCAAATCCTAATCTGCTTTTCAATTAGATTTAATCCCCGACAATTTTATCATCTAATAAATCACACAGCTCTACTCACTAGTCTGCATGACGGAGCACACCAGCCCCGGATGGTTAGGCACCTCGCTCCACTGACACAGAGGCTGCGGCTGTCCGGATGTTGCGTTGTTGGCTTTCCCTGACGGCGTCGTGGTGGCTGGCCTGCTGAGCTGTATGTGAAACACAGGCCCCAGCGCGCTGTCCCGGGCCTTGACTGGGGCGATGAAGCTCTTGCCCTGCACGTAGCTGAAGAACAACAGCTGCAGCGTGTGGGAGTAGTAGACGGACACTCCGCCCGCACACACACTGCCGTTCACATCCTGTCAGCGGAACAAGGTGATGGGTAAGATGTGTAAAGAGAGTAAATACACTACAGAGGCATAAACAGAGACTACGGTGTGTACTAAGTTCACTACTAAAAATTTGTTTTTAAAAAGGTGAGAGGAACATTTTATTTTGGAAAGATGACTACAATAAAGTAAATTATATGAACTAAGAACATGCAAAATATTCAACAGTACAGGTAAGCGAATATTTCCTACCTTGATCTCTGGATGCGACACATCCAAAGTGTTGGTCACATAGAAAGGTCCATGCTTGGCTGAGCTGTCATCGTCCATGTCCTGACTGTAGATGTACCCAGTAGACGACATCAGCAACATTGTGGGCTTCTCATCCTTTAAAAGGCAATACACATGAGAAAAATATACATAGCCTATTTTTAAATTGCTCAATTGAAGTTTTAACTTTCTGCAAATTTACTTGTGTATTTTTTAGGGGTCTGCGGTACAGAAAAATTAAGGTCGGTACGGTATAATATTTTGTACCTTGGTTCTCGGTACAAAATTGGTACGCAACGCAGCTACCAGTAATTTTGTGGTTTTCTCCTCAGAATTGTATTAAAACCATTATTTTAAATTTTAATGTTGACATTACTATGAAAATGTATAGTAACTTATCCTACATTCATGGATTTCTAACAACAATTACTGTTCCACACATTATTAAAACCTTTTACTTCCAACAGTCTTCAACCGAGGCTAGAGCAAAAACGAACGTATACAAAAGGCATTGCCGAGCGTTCCCGATCGAGTATGGACGCAGAACCAAAAACATTTTTATGAATAAAAAAATGAATACCTGAGGGCAGATGAAGGTGACGTCTCGTATCTTGCCTGTGGGCACCAGGAAGTAGTACTGGGGACTGAGCACATCCTTGCCCAGGTCATAGATCTTGACAAAGTCAGCAGTGACTAGCGCCAGCACGGTCTGTGCGCCAGGCAGCCAGATGGCACGGATGATGAAGTTGCCCGTCTCTAGCTGAGGGTGGAGTACCAGGTGTTCTCCCACTGAGCCACACGGATGGAACGTCAGTACATGGCAGTCCTGAGGAATGAAGTATTTGTGTTGTAAAATTATGTAATGTAAACAAATTTCACCAACACAGCCCTTAGTATTATCTGGTTGAAACAACCGTTGCAAACCCATAAAAAAAATGAGATACAAATGCATACACACAGACAAAGGTGTACTGAATATTAAAAGAATACTCAATATGAAATATCCAAGAGAGGAAAAATTTATTCTCAACTTTAATGTTTTTAAGAGGCCAAATGGCTGATTAAATAAGTTTTTTAGGTAATAGTTCATATAGGAAAAATATGCAGAAACATAGATTTTTGGAACATTTTACAAAAATTTTATTTGGACCCACTGAAGAGGATGATTAAATGAATGTCTTCTAATACAATATATGAGACTACAGGTAATTTACGTTAAAAAAATGTCCTTGTCCTTTTAAACAAGAAGGACTATCCCTTCCCATTTAACCCTTTCAGTGCTATGCAACGATATATTGCTGTGTGTCCTTGCACTCAGTGACGATATATCGTGCCGGCGCGACTTTCGATCATGTGGGTTTAAATAAGAATATCGGTTGACTCAGTTCTAGTTTAGAAACAGCGATGGTTTCTTTCCATTCCTCATACGATCGAGGCCCAATATATCCTTCCTTAGCCATTTTGAGAAGAAAAATTGTATTTTTACAGATTTTTTTCCCACACTAGACTTTGCCCCCGTGGCAAGCCTAGCACTTTTCGGACGAAATAAGTAAATAACTATTAGCACTTTTTGGAAAATTACAAAAAATATTCTAGTATCGAAAGGGTTAAGAGAAATTATTCATCCTTACCCAACTAGAAGTAAAGTCATACCTGTATATCAATACCTAAAATATCAGTATTGCGAAAAATCTCTAGGCACCTACACTTAATAATTGGCTGAACTCAATACTTTACCAAGACACTCCTTGAACTCCAAAAGGATTTTGACAAACATACTACTGTAAACAGCTTTTGAATCTCGTACCCTTAGTCCACACACTGCCAGGAAGTCCTCATTCCACGGGTTGCCTGTGAGACTCAGTACTGTGAATGGTATTGGTGCTGATGCGAGCCTGGTGAGAGTCAACTTGCGCTTAGATGAGTCGGCCTGCTTCAGCAAAGCACTCAATTGCAACACGGTGATCTTGCCCTTCTCATGAGATACTGCTGCACACACAACGACTATGTTAGGGCAGTAAAGGATTCAACCATGCTAAACTGTACTGGATGAATACCACTTTGTTGTAAATTTATTTATTTATTATCATCACGTTACATTAATGATTGACATGTGATTTGTCAAGAAAAATCTATTGTAACAACAACCAAAATATTGAATACTAAAAAATAATATACATTTGTTAGGAAATCTTCCTGTGAACAAAATGCCTTCTCCAGAAGCCATATCTTAAGGGTTTTTTTTTATTTTTTTATTTTGATGTGCAATCAATTTCTTTCATTGTTGAAGGCAGCTTATTATACATTTTGGGTCTCATATTGTAGGGATAAATGTAATAATTTTAGTCTATGTTGTATTGGTTTTATTACATTTTGAGAGGGCTGACTCTCCAGTGTATCTAAGTTACTAAACCATCAGAGAAATGTCATAAATATAAGAGCTGTAAAAAGTGAGAATTTTAAATTGACTGATATATTCTTGGCAATGTGTATCTGGAGTAATATTGGCTATAATTATGTCTAATCGCCCTTTTTTGAAAAATAAAAACTTTTTGCTTTAACTACATGATCCCCATAAAATAATTCCATAATTCATGATTAAAGCGAAATAAGTATGATGTACTGCAATTTGTGTATCAAAATTTGTTGTTCTCTAATTAAACTTCCAAAAACAAACATAGCTTAAGTAAGTCTTTTTGATAAATTTGTAATGTGAGTTTTCCAATTTAAATATGAGTCTATTTTTATTCCTAAATAATCAACTGAATTTTGAGAAACTATCAAATTTGAGTTTAAATTTAGGGTGATCTTTTAATAGAGCGGCGATCTTTTTAGTCCCACAGCAAAAACAGCATTTTTCAACACATGCAGGTCTACAGTGGTTCTTTTCATCCTTAAGGTTAAAATAATTAGCTGGGGTCAATGATGTTAGCTCAAGTACTTTTTGCTTTATCTGCATCAAAGAGTGCATAACAAGGGTATTTATCGATTGCTATTAAAATTATTTTAATTAATTGTTGCATTGCTTCTTGTATTTTGTGTTTCCAACCCATTCAAGTTTTTTGCGGATTTTGTAATGGAATGGTCCATGCCTTGTTATTTTGTTATATGACCTCATTAATTAATTAACCCAATGAATGAGAAGTTAGTGGCATCTGAGGGCAGGATCAATACGACAATCGTACCAGCAACCTTCTTTAAATTTGAAAGTGTGCTCTATAACCAATCGGTTACCCTGACAATTAGAGGTGTGCGGATAGTGAAATTTCATTTCGGATCGGATTCGGATCGGATAGTTGAGGCTCGGTTCGGATCGGATCGGATATTGGGAGGTTCGGATTCGGATATTTTCGGATTCGGATAGTTCGGCGCGGTTAATAATAAGCTGCATATGTATTTTTAACCTACAAAACAATGTAAAGCTGTGTAAATAAACTTAAATGACGATTTTGAACTATAGAATTTCAAATTAGCCAAGTCCACAGTTTTCTCTCTCTTGAAAATCACAATTCACAACATTTATTTTCAAAAGTTGGTTGCTTGAATTAAGTACACTAGCAGCCGAAATCTTCACAAACACCTTAGCTCAGCAGGACTGGTGTCAAACGTTTGGGCTTGTTTACTTGAGGTTATGATTTATCTTGTTTCCTGGTTCTCACAAGCCAAGGAGTTCGATCTCAAGTTTATTTTCACATTGTATTTCCTTACGTTTTTGGAACGGATTATTGGGCTTAAATGGCATTTTGTGGGTTTGCCAAGTGTAGAATCACTAATGCACTAAATTGGCTCTAGCTCACGATTTGATGTTGGGCAATTAGACTTTATAACTGTGTAAAAGGTGTGTATCCCTGAATTTATAAATTGCATTCTACACATATTCACTGCCAAACATAATTCAGTAGAACCTTGATGAACCGAGAATTACACTAGCCTAGACATAACTTCATTACCCCAAGTAAAATACCAAGATAATCTTTATAATTGTATTTGAATCGTATAATCTTAGTTTGTTAAAAATGGATTGTATGTTCAACAATAATTGCAGTCCATTATTGTTAAGCAGTATGGTCCCAAATTATTGTTTTTGATTTTGAAACATCACAGTTCATTTGACAAAATTATAATTGAAGCAGCCCAATGTCAAGTCACGCGCGCTTGTGCAATAGTTTGTTTACAAGCTTTCTCCAGACCACGGGGGAGGGGAGGGGAGGGTCTGATAAGCCGTCTATTGTTCACCCCCAAGAAGGTCCGACCCTCATTAGTGCCGCTCGGCTGCACTCAGTGTTTTACCCCCTGCTGTGCGCTATGTCATAAAAGCTGATGACGTTGAATGCGTGATAAGGGAAACCCAAGAAATAGAAGAACAAAGAGAAAGAATAATGACGTTGTTATCTTTATTCCCTTTTTACAATTTCCGTTATTTTTTGTTATCTTTATGTAAGATTTTATGATTTTGTTTTATAGGTTTATAAAATAATTCTTTTTAACTACGGGAATATCAATTTATAATTTATCAACGTGCTTCTCTTCTGAAACAGCAATACCGGATGCATAATAAAGGTCAATGACCTAAAATATCACGATTGTGCAATATTGTATTTTGATGTTGAAATTAAAATCACGACAAAAGTTTGTATATATCCATGGTCCCTATCGTTTAATCATTTAATATGTACACAATAAATGCTAAATAATCGTGGTTAGTTCTAAATTTATTTTTTATTATTCAAAGTTTCTACACAGTAAGACAATCCAAAGTCAAACCGGGCAATGAATACCCAAAAAACAACGTATCTTGTTCTGTGATTGGAATACCACTCGCCGGCCAGTCCTTTCGGTTTAGGGAAGTAGTGCAAGTCTATATATAGCTTCAAGGTCTTACCCACCCCTTCCCCCTCCGGTCCTACTTGACTCACTACCCGCGCTCCTTTCGAGGTTATTGCCCAACCCCTCCCACCCTTCTATTGTGTTGCCTTTCTATTGTTTCTATTCTGACTTTTTTTCGGGAAACATTTAATCTATTGTTTACGTAACATCACAGTAGTAGGCTAGATTTTTCTACTTTGAAACAGTACTGTAAAAAAACTATTACGCAGCGCCCCTAGTTAGTATCAGGAGCAAGACAAGCACGAGTTGACTTTCATTTGACCATGGTAGTTCTTTTCTGCTTTATGTCTGTTCGTTCCAGACGAATCTAATCGTAAAGCAAAACAGCCGATAACGACTAAACTAGTTATCAGTATTGCATCATACGGCTTCTTTGCCGTTTGCTGTTAGGTCGTTGGAAACGTATTGCTGTATTTTGTCCTGGGAAACTAATGGTGGTTATGGAGGTTTTCTGTCTGTTCTGAACCGAATCCGACCCGATTTTTCGGATATCCGCACACCTCTACTGACAATTTTTGTCTGCTGTTCCATATGATTATACTTATAATCAGTCTACAGTACACTAACACAATCATGGTAAGTCAGTAAGTCAAATACTTAGAGAACAATACTTTTGTAATGATTGATAATTGATAAACCGTAGCAAAACAAGTTGGTAGTGAATTTTAGAGCTTGTAGTAAACAATATAAATATTTTTGTTTTAAGAATTATTTAGTTTAAAGAACTGACAAAAAGTTGCAATTAGTAATAAAGCATAATTGAATCAAAGTAGTACAGCCAACATACCCAAGTGTTGACGCTTGCCGTAGGGAGACGACAGGCAGCACATGGCCACTCTTCTGATCATATGAGCTGACAACAGCTGTCTGATAGTCTGTCCTTGGTCCCCGGTGTAGTTCATTTTGACATTCTCAAATGCACCTTCTTGTGAGCCTAGTGTTGGCACCTGTAATATAACATGTATGAGATGACCTTACCTATTGATTGTTACTTGAAACTTGACTACTTTGCAACGGGGATCAGACTCAGAATTAACTTAAAGGGGAATCTCCTTGGGATGCTGGGGCAAAATATTACATTAATTTTGTAAACATGTTGTATATGAACTGTTTGGAACTCTTTTAAAAAGGTTATCTATCTATGTCTTTCTAGGCGTCGTCATTATCCCGTATTGGGACGAAACAAAGATAGTGAATAAGGGAAATAAGGCTGAGCTGGTAAGGCGATTCTCAGTTTTTCATCTTGGCTGCCTAGCTTTAGCACTAAACGTAACCCACCATGAGTTGATCCGTGGTCTCAAACTTCTTGTCCAGTGAGTGTAGCTGTTCTAATGCAGATTGTGCTCTATGGTAGCACCCTACAGGTGATTGTCTGGTGCACGCAGCCTCCACAGCAGGCATGAGACTCTGCAGCAGCTCCAGCAGTGGGCTGATGATGCTGCCCTCCTTCCATATCATACTGGTCAGTGTCTCGGAGAACACATCTACAACATCAATATAGTTGTGTAACATGTCAGGACTGTTTTAAGTCTTAGGCTGGATGCTTAATCGTAGAATACCAACCGAGTATTGCACAATCATAAATGCTGTTCCGTTTAGAAAACATTGGAAATGTATTATGGACCAACAAAATAAGATGAGGAATCCCAGATTCCAGAAGGGGCTCACAGTCAAAAAGAGCAATACAAATTTTGAACAAAAAGAGAACTTTTATGTGTGTCCGGATGTGTTCAGCTCTGGACGTGCATGTGTTCAGCTCTAAGTTAAGAAAACGGTTGGAATTATTAGGAAAGGCAACCATAATGCCAACAACAATAAAAGAAATGTGTATTTATTACTACTAATATCTTTTAAATTTACGTTTTAAAAAATTAATAAGTTTTCAAAACCAGAAAACTTTCGCTTGCCTCTCCTAGAACCAATTCCTAGAACTGCTTAACACATTAGCTCAAACTAATTCTATCAGGTTGCTGGACCGTATTACCACATAGCCATGTTACTGACACAATATGTTTCTCCTAGAAGAACTCTGACCACAAGACCAGCTACACTCATGGTAATTTACCATGAATCTCAACTTGTAACTATACAGAAAAGTCTATAACGAGTCAGTCTTTTCACCGAATAAACTAAATTAAATACAGACCAGAGAAACTTAAATTTGTATACTATGGAATGCTTGCTGTACTCACCCAGCTGCTTGGCCAGTGTAGCTATCCTGTGTTTGTCTCTAGGTAGACTACGAGGCTCTCCCCCTCTCTCAGGCAAGGTAGGGGAGGAAGGTCTGCGCCTCAGAGAGCTAGTCAGCTCCATGCCCATGTTGCCGGTGTTGGTGGTGGAAGAAGTCTGGCCAGGCAGATTATCTTGCTGCAGTTGTGGGCTTCGCTTCACTAAAGCCTAAAATTTTATCTAATGTGAAATCAAACAATATGGATTTCCTGGTCATATGCATTGACAATATCCAATAAATAACATATAAAAATGGTATAAAATGGGGTAAAAGATCCTCCATTTTAAGGGTATTTGTTAGGATAGGATGTTTGTCTTAATGGGAAAACCCCGTATGGAAAAAGTAGCCCAAAAACAATAAACACAGAAAAATCATGGTGCAAAAAACTATATTTAAATGTTGCTTATAAAATTATCTATCTAGGAAGGTTTGAGGATACGAAAAATAAAACATCTTCCAAATTTAGAAATGAACAAAATTAGTTTGCATTATCAACAGTTCATTTTCAGTTATCGTATTACAACAGTATCAAGGTATTCAATTACAGAAGAAAATGCAAATGTCATTAATTATGAAATGTGTTGGATGATCAATCATTTTACTGCAAAAGATGTGTATAGTGCATGAAAGGAGTATTATTGAACAGAATAAAGACAGTAAAATCCTCAAATAAACACCTCATTGATCACACCTCAATCAATCAATCAATCACACTAACCTGACAAGAGCTGTTCTCCTTGGCACCGCAGTCGCAGAAGAAGTTGCCGTACTTGGCGTAGGTGACGTCGTGGTTGCGATGACACACTCTAGCACACACAGTGCACACACCAACACTGTCCACCATCTTGCACGTGTGACAGTGGTACCAGTGTTGGTTCATGAACTCCTTCTGGGTGATGGTGAATGTGCACAACTTGTTGCATAGACTGTCCTCATCCTACAACAATAATGGGTAGGAAATGTTGGATAGAATTTTTTTAAATTGCTTTATTTTAATACATTGAGTATGGGAATAAATCTGCAGAAATGAAAATTTAAAAAGATATTAAGAGTAAAACAAAGTGGGATAGAGTTGGGGAAGAAAAAATCAGAAGAGGGGGAGTAGAAAAAACAAACCAAGTTGGACACTTGAGAAGAGATGATTCTTCAGAAAAAAGAGTAGGCTAGATAGTGCAAGTGGGAAAAAGTCAGAGGGAACCTATACAAAGGTGGATAGATGAGGTGGAGAAGAGAGGAGTAAGATGACAGACGGTGGAAGAAGAGGAACTGTAAAGGACATAGGAAAAGATTAAGAGGTTCCAGGAAGGATCCTTTATAGGACATATTTATAATCCTTATGTTATGTTAATCCTTTATGTTGAGAAAGTTTCAATTCTACATACTTACAATTATAGAGATTGTATTACATCTCCCACTAAGTTCTAATATTTTGGGGAAGGTAAAATAAACACGCTATTTTGCTAAGACAATCTTTTAGACAATCTCTTCTTCATTAAGATTTCAGCAATGTCCTTCTTAATCTTTCTGTATTCAAGAGCTTAAAACAAAATATTCCGCTCTAAACTGTGACACTCACCGAATCATCTCCGCCACTCTCCTCATCATCATCGTGTCCCAACTCGTCCATCCAGTCAGTGTCCAGGTCAGAGGGAGGGAGAGTGTCCCCGTCCCAGGGGGGTGAGGAGGCCCGACCGCCAGCCGTGGGACACAACGCGCTGATCACATCACTAGTGTAGTTGACTATGTAGCAGGTAGCCTCGACCATGGAGCCTGCAGCCACTGAGCTAGCCTCCAGCTGGGTCAGTACATCCTTGTTGCACAGGTTCTGCTTGCTGTTGTACAAATGGAGTTGTTAATAGGATAAGAAGTGATTTTGTTTGCAAAACAACATTAATTTGCTCAAGTTGTTTTGAACAGAAGCCAAGAGGCTGACTAATTTGTACAGGAATGAATTTTAGGATATTTTAACTTAGTAGGCCTATGGTTTTTTTTTCGAGAATAGTTTAGTGAAGAAATTACGAATTTCCAAATTTGGTTGGAAAAAAATTGAACTAAAGTACAAAACCAAGATTGTAATCTAAGTAAAAGATGTAGGTAGTTATGGTTCAAAACTTGATATGTCTGAATCACAAAAAAAGTTACCCTGAGGATTCTTGCCACTGTTCTAGATAAACACTACATAGATCACCTAATAGGAAAAAATTCAAACTTAATAAAAAAATTAGGCCTAAACTACCATAATTACATATCTTCTTCCTAACAATGTCTGAAAATATGACAAGGAAACACTCTTCACACAATGTACTTGTGAAATAACATAGAGTATAAAAGCCTATGTAATGTGTTAAGGTTTTATTTTAGGACAGCAGGTTTACAGGCTTATCCCAGAATGGGGCAGACTTTCTGACCACCAATGGACCTGAACATATCTTTCATTCGACTCAACCCTTTCTCGGGTTGAAAATGGTAAAGTTGCTAGTGAAATATTCTAATATTTGTGTAAAATGTTCCTTAACTCCCAAGTGATTTTAAAATGTAGTATAGGCAGTAGGCACTAGTGTATTTTTTTTACAAAAATAATGTGAAATCTTCTCCAAGCCTACTTAAGGAACGGTAGATAAGGTAATGTAGACCAGTTACGTCTCAACCACACTAGGCTTTGACATTATAGCGCTGTTTGATTAGTGATGTTCAAACGGCAAATAAAAACAAAAGTTTTTGTGTTTCTTGTTCCAGAGTGGACTGTTCCACTAATCGAAACACAAGTCCTTAAAACAATTTACAATTGGCAATTCCTTTATGTTTTCATTCCCACCATCAGATAGTGTAAACTCACCAAATGTCGAGCCATTGCACAGCAGCCATAAACAGCTGTAGATGTCCTCGACCAGAGCCTGCATCTGCCAGTGTTGCCATGACAACCATCAACTCCTTGAACCCGACACCCTCGGCTGTGGACAGCAACTGAGAGCCAATGGGGATCAGAGCTTCTAGCAGAGTCACTGCTACATCTTCTTTGGCATCGTTCTCACTGGTGGAATTCAATATTGTTAGAGGTATTATATTATTAATGTGGAGGGTGGAGGGTATATTTTTAATATTTTAAAGTTGGGAGAGAATTTGTGAAGGATGTCTCTAAAATCAAAAGAAATAAAAGGAATGACTTTTACAGGATAGAGTGAATTCGCTTGAAAACTTTAATGGTAGTGGTAATGTACCAGTAAAAAAAAAGGTACCGTCAATGAATGATTGGGACTAAATTTGTGACGGGTAAAATGGGCGCTCGCCTCACAAATGCTTATCTATTGCTACATTTTGTTTGGATTGTTATTTCCAAAAGCAGGACAGTGACAAACAGTTTTGGTTTTTAAAAATATGAGTGATTACTGATTACTTCTCTAAGCCTTATTAATGATTTTTTTTTTTTTTTACAGATCAGGGTAAAATATTTTAACTTTCAATGTGGTCGATAAAATAAGATTTGTCTAATGGTTGGAATGTTTGAAAAACACTCCATAGTATTAAATAATTTTCAGAATAAATCTCTCCCGATTTTTTTTTAATTTACAATCGAAAAAGGACTAGTGGAAGCTAAACAAGAATAATGGGTTCAATAGTTGTCCTAACTGTTAGTTAAAAACTTGTTTACCTACAGTAACACGAATTTCACAGTTTCCAACAAAATAAAAAATAACACACAGACATAACAGTGCAAAAATCCAAAAAATATATAACATCTTGTATACCTATTCTCACTGATGATATACAAGGTAAGATACTGCAGTAACAGCTGATTCTCCTGCAGCAGTCTAGGAGCAGCCTGTTCTGTCTTGGTCTTCTCCGCAGTCTTGGCAGGGGCGGGAGCCGGGGCTGGGACTGGGGCTGGGAAAGCTTCAGAGCTGCTGCTAGATGACGGCGGGGCCTCTACTGTGGGGGTCGGGGGTTTAGCGGAACCCAGTATGACGTGTCGCAGCCAGTTACGCAGCAGGTTGGACTCCACTGTGGCCAGGTTGAGTACCGAGGCACGCAGTCGCTCTAGGGCGACGTCACCTGCGTTCTTCTCAGCTGGAATGTAGGAATGGATTGATTAATCAAATTCCTCTTTCATTCAACAATACAACATCTCAGACTTAGCATCAGACCACACTGACACCCTTTCTGAGAAATTACTCAGGATTCATTTCAGGGAGTCGTGTTTTATGCTCAGGGGGAACACAAAAGAAGACAGGTCACAATCAGCCTTTGAACAATTCAATAACTCCACCCCATACCGTTAGTTTTGAAACTCACCAGCATTGAAGAGTTTGTTGAAGAACTGCAGCACTTTGGTGCTGTACATGGTGGATTTACAAGTGCGAGGAGACGCGATGGACAACAGGATCTGCATCAGGTCGTGTTTGGAGTTGTCAAAGAACTGGTCCAACGCCTGACGACCGCTCGGCTTGTCCAACAAGCCTTCCATCCAGGACAAACACTCCTGCAGCAGCTTCTCGTTGACAGCGTCACTACAACAGTCAGTCAAACTGACAACATGGCCACTTGAATGGTGGTGATTGTGTTAGTGACAACATTGTTGGGTATGTTATGGGGAGAATTGCAACACAAGATCTAATATTAACAAAGATGATACATAAGGGGGAAGGAAAGGAAAGACAACTAACTCACTCACTTGAGAAAAGAATTGTAGAGTGTTAAAAACAAGTGTTTCAAAAGTGTTAAATTGATATTTCCACTCTACTCCAGAAATATAATTATTAACAGAAGCAGTATAACTGTTTTATACACCCTTTTATTAAAAAGCCTTCAAGAAGTTGCAAATATCAATTTAATTGTGTTGTGAACATTTTTTATGCTTCAGTTGCAAACTATTCTTCTTGGGTAGATTATTTGTGTAACTTATCTATTTTCCAACTGACTTTATAACCAAGCAGAAATGCTTTTTTCTCTAAACATTTTTTAAATAACAGTTGTCTTTTGATAGTTTAATTATTTTACTTAAAATGGCGACCAAACAAAGGTAGGTTATTTAAGCCAAGTATGAATGGAGATGAGTGTAAAGTAATGAGAGATAACTAATAGGGGGACGGGAAGGTGTCGGATTACTAAATAAATCGGGTTATTAAGGTATGAGTGATTGATATCAAGATAAAGTATGACCATTATTGCTAACGCAGTATTAAACACTACTAAACATTTGGAACGGTATAAAATCACACGATGATGTAAAACAATTAGTACCAAACAGTATGTGTCAATGATCAAAACTATGCTGCACAATGATGGTACATACAATATAGTGAGGACGAGATTCGTGTCTCTTAAAGCTTTTTTTCACCATCGTTTTTCGGCATCGTTAAGACTGCCGGCAGTGGACTACCTGACTGCCGAGTCGATGGATTATAAAATTTCAAATTATCAAGGAAATTTTACCCATTGTTAATATCTACCAGTTTATTGAAAACAACAACTTATTACAAGATCAAGTCAAACTTCGAGTTTTAACCAAATAATTCCTTTAAAATGATGAAATATAGACAGAAATAAAACCTTATTAAGAGACGTTGATAATTTTCTTGATTGATATGATCAACTGCCACACTAACCTGCAGATGGAGGTAGCGTCTGTGTAGTTGATGATGAGTGTGTAAATGTTCTGCAGCACCAGGGTGTAGACACACACTTGATGCGCCTCAGTCTCAGGGTCGCCCACAGTGCGCTCGAGTGTGCGCAACGCAATGTCATGCAGGTATTCTGTGCACGCGTCGAGTGTCAGGGGTGCTAACACCTGCACTGCCTGCTGTCTCACCACGTTGGTCTCGTCACATTTCCTGTGAGGACAACGGATAAGTGATTTACTCACCTAGATAGGTCTAATTCTATCTGATTAAGCGCAATAGCTACATTACACTTCTGTGAAGTACAGTAGACTCCCTCTTATCCGGACACCTTTTAACCGGACATCAGTTTAACATGACTACACTCGGTGGAAATGACATCTCTTTAACCAGATATTTGTATCAACACATCGGTTTAACAGGACCAGATCGGCAGGAAGTGGGCGGTACTGAAACAACCGTTCTCGTGGGAAAGATTTTAGACCAGTGTTCACGTGTCTCAATATAATGCTCTCCTAAATTTGAGTCAAATACATAGTTAAACGGTCCGTTTTTACGGTCCGTTCAGATAGTTTTTGTGGACGTTGGTTTAACCAGAAAAACCATTATCCGGACTGACCTAGGTTCCGAGGAGTCCAGATAAGAGGGAGTCTACTGTAGATATTACTTTCACACAAAGTAAAAAAGTTTCACATAAAGTTGTGGCAAGTTTCATAATAAAAACTAACTCCATATTTTCTTTTAACGATTGTTTTAAGTATCAATAACTAAAAGGATGCATTTTGGAAACTTGATCTTTTATTTTTATGCTTTATCATAGAGTAAAAAACAGAAAACAAAAAAAAAACTTTGCATGTAATCAAAAACAAAAAGCCAATGCATTTTTGTGCAACCTTTTTAATGGCTAATTTTGACTAGCCTACTCCAACCATAGTTAATTTATCTTTATGCTAAATAAAAATTAATTATTCTAAGCTCAAAATACACCTTATTGAAAACTATAGCATTTTAGCATTTCCTTATTTTATTTCCCCGCCAACTATTATAGCGTGAAAAACTAAATGAGAAAGTGGATAGTCAATGGGCATGTGACAAGAAAGCCAATCGGGTTTTGTGCAGCTTTTCTATGAAAAAAAAAACTGTATTTCTCATTTGTTGATCTATGTCAGTAACAAACAATCTTGGTAAAGTAAGGAAAATAATTTTCCCTAGCTTCCAGCTGGAATTCTTTTTAAAATAAAGCAATTTTTACTTTTTACCAGGGATGTGTCGATTCTTGATACGACCGATATTTGGACATTAATATAGCTATAGAGAATCGATCGTCAAAGTCGATAAGATACCAACTCGTAAAAATCTAGCCAAATAGTTGGTTAGGAGCACATAAAAGGTTTATCAGATGTTTGTTCAAGCCTTCCTTAATTTATTACTAGGGTAATTGTGCAAACCCAAGTCTAACTCCTCTACAAGCTACAGTTGCTCACATGATATGTTCACTGATGAAGGTGACCAAAGAGTGTAGAAGATGTTTCAAAGACGGATTGATTGTGAATGTCTGCTGACTGGATAGTGAAGAGATGTGTGCGTTGACCACAGCCAACACATAACTCTCTCCTGGGATTATATCATTGGCGTAGGTGTTCTGTAAAAAAGAAGAGTCCATATTATCTAGCCTATCCTATATTTTTTTAATGTTTAAATTTAACAAGGGACTGGGAAAATATTGAAACACTTAGTTATTAAGACTTTTGACATTAAATGTCTATTTAAGCAAATACTAAACACTTACTAATACATTCCAGGTTACAGAGGCCAATCTAGTGCTTACCAGCGTTTACAACTCTTAAAACAAAGGGGCAGTGACAATGTTACTGTTCAAATGAACTATCACAACTTTTTAAATATTTTAATGGTATAAAAATCTGACAACAATGAGTTTATTTGTGTAAAATTACATTTAAAAATCAACAACCACTCACATTAATAAATTTTAGGTATGGATACTAAAGTTTAGAAAGACAAACTAAAACATTCACATCATCTGTAACCTACCGAGGGGAAGTCAGTGACAGCATTAGCGTTCCACTTGTCCAGCGCAGTTCTGACGCTGGTAGGCAGCAGCACGGTCAGCGCCGCGGACAGTGACTGTGTCTTGACACTGCGCGAGGACGAGACAGCCAGAACACAACGGAACACTATGAAGTCTCCCAGGGAGTAGCCTCCGCTGGCCTCTGAGCTCTCGTTGATTTGGTACATCAGACTGGTCCTGATAAAAAACGTTGGTTAATTCACATCAACTAACTCTTTATGAAAAAAATATCCATGAAAATTGATTTGTTTTTACATAAAAACAGAATTGACGGCCTTCAAATGAAGTGATTGATTTGGACTTCAAGGTCGTATACTCGTAATAAAGTTGATCCATGAACCGAAATTACTTACCAAGTACGGCAACCAAGGATTACTCGATGCAGGGTTTTAAACCATTTGACAAAAAAATAGTAGCCTATAATTTACGAGAGGAAGAACACTTGTTTCAATGTAACATCAAGGAAGAAGGAATGGATACTGAACAAGCTTATCAAGAATAAAGTTTCAGGCAGTTAATAGCACACAAAAGTTGATAACAATGATAGAGCCCAACAGAAGGGTACTTCAGTGGAAGGTAGTAGAATAAAAATAAAATTTCTACTACTTCTTTCTGAAGCAGCCTTTCTTTCTGTGAATCCTAATATACACATTTTAGGTGTGAAATCTCAAAATTAATTGTGTTGTATCTATCAAAGGCTTAATAGTAACTTAAGTCTGAATACCATCCACTAACTATATTCAAATGATTGTCTAATCTTCTGTCTTCCAAAGAGTAGACCTGCTTGTACAAATGTGTATTATTGTTATCTACGTCCAAACCCACCTGCTACAGGCCAAAATAACTTCAGTAAGACGGAGAACATGGGGCAGCAAGTCTTGTGCCAACTCAGTGTGAGGACTGGGCTCTACAAAGTCAAAAGACCTAAAACAAACCACACGTCATAAATACATAATATTTTAGCTATGAGATAAAATGTCTGTATACAAATTTTGTTATGAAGCAACTAAACAACATTTTCACAAAAACTTAAGAGTCCTAGACTTTGTTGCAAGAGGGACTGGTTCAATTCCCAGCATATAAAAAAAATTAGAGGTTTGAACCGCATTCCCTTACAAAGCGTCAATTGCTAAAAAAATGTAAAAATTGTTAGGCCTAAAATTTATCAGCAAGACTCTACATAACTTACTTGTTGAGATCAGGAGTTTCGGTGGCAGATGCATGGGCAGGTGTATCATCGGTCAACACTTGCACCTTGGCAATCACAGTGTCCATGAGACAAAGCTCCATTACTGAGGGTAAGTCTCTTTTGGGTACCAGCCATCCTGCAACAACCACACAATGTGATCAACAAGAGAACTATTTAAAAAACAACTTCAGGTTACGCCTACTAAAAGGACAAATTAAGGTATCTAGACTTACAAAGGTGATAGGAAATGTCTTTTTATTACAGTCACCCGATAAAATGGGCTTCCTTGCACAGATTATAGCACAGGAAAGCCTTACTTTGGCGCACACCAGTATTCCAACCAAACAACAAAAAATAGCATGATTTTATTATGCACATAATCAGTGTACGCTTGAAAATAAGTTGGCAACACTGCGATAAATAAGCAAGAAATTGCGACTATGTACTGGTGCAGCGTTTCCCATTTCGTTCAATGTTTGGATTTAACCTAACCTAAAAACGTGTTGTACAGTGGACAGTGTTTGAAAGACTTATTATTTATATGATTTATAGTGACTGTAGGAAAAATATTATGTGTAACACAAGTGCAAACTGCCACTCGAGAAACTTTCCACGTTTGCAGCAAACTGCCACTTCGCCCACTAGTTACACAAATAACTATTGAATATCAGGAGAATTGGGTGGCTTGATAATTTGAGAAGAGAGGAAGATTAAATTATATTATAAGGAGAGCAAATGAGGTGTAAGGAGGGAGTTTACTAGGAAGATCAGGAGATGGAATGGAAGACTTTTTAAAAAGGTGAGGAAGACGTGGAGAAGAAATTGACGAGATGAAATGGAAGACATGTTAAAAAGGTGAGGATAACGTGGGGAAGAAATTGGCAAGGCAGAGGACAGAGGAATCTGTGGTAAACTTGTTGGCTAGGACAAAAATCCACTTGGATTTGAGTGGGCCCCAGATTAAGTAGAGTATTACATGAGAAAAACTTTTCCCGAGGATAACTTTTTTCCTTTCCTTTACATTCTAGGGCCATAGGCTGGCTCTAACACAGAAATGATTTACAAATTACTTCATGCTAGGTTGACTAAATGACTAAATCTATAGGCGATTGGAATGATTTGAACCTGCGACCTCAGGAACTGAAGCCCTGAGCTTTGCCACTCCCCTTATCATCATAGAACTGTCAACTATCACAAAATGTTCTGGTATTCAAAAGGTTCTCGTACTCACGTTAGTTAATTAGCACTACGTTCTACAATAACTGTGTGATTCTTGTTGATTTCTGGTAATAAAGTTAAAAGATGTATTTTAAAATAATTGTGACCAGATGTTATAACTTACCCTCAGTTTGAGTATGAGGCATCAGAGACATGATGCAGTTCTTGGCGAGAGTTACATCATATCTGGGGTTGTTGACTGTGTCTGCCACACTCTTCAGTAGATTCTCTGCGTACTGAGTGTACATGCCTTGCTTTACCAGGTTGTCCTAAATAAAATTTGAGATTATATTATAAATTTAACTTTTGGAATAGCAAATTAATTTTAAATTTATGAGAGCATCTGCCTAACTCTTTAGTAGATCATTTTATGTACCAAGGATACACGCCTTGCTTCAGGTTCTCCTGTGTAAAAATATAAGTAAAGCTTAAATGACAGTTAATGAGATAGTTAATTACAGTTAAATATGACTATTTGGAACTGATAAAAGGTAATTTTAATCAAATAGAAAATAAATGTAGTAAATTTTCCTTTTAATTCATAGTTTCTAGGTTAAAAGATCAGAGGTATTTATACTACCATGTAGTGTCAATTTTATTCTCTTATAAACAACGTGCAATATTTTTAGCAACTGTCATATTACAGTTCTAGGGCTACAACATTGAATTTGAATACATTTATATTGTATTACTTTTTATTAGGGGTCTGCGGTGCACCGAAAAAGTCGGTACGGTACGGTACAAGCTTAATTACCGTCATCGGTTCGGTACAGCATTTTACACGGTACAAATTCGGTTCGGTACAGCCTATTATAATAATAAATTACTTTCAGATTACTATCGTAGTCAACGGCAGTTGGTTCCGAGCACATAAAAGTCTTATCAGATGTTTGTTTACGATCTTCATAATTTATTACTAGCGTGATGATGCAATAAAAAACCCATTAGCAGTCCCAAATCCATTAACATTTTATCACGACAATAATTGTTGTATTGAAGTACTTCCAAGAACTGTTGAGTTTTATCACTTTTATTTCTTTACGACTTTCCCCAATTCTGTTTTATCATAAAAATAATAGTTTTATGATGACTGTTAAATGTTATCTCTAACTTAATCAGTATTTTCGTGAATATTGAATTTGCCGCTGGCCATTGCCTACTGCCACAAAACTGTTTATGGCTACATATTAAACTTGTAACTAATCTACAATCTTATTTTATAAATTAAAATATTTGTTATGGATATTTTATCTTTCTATTTTCGAAACCACAAGCATAGTTGTTGTTGTTCGCATATTTTTTTTCGTTATGCAAGCCTACTCGGTCTCAAATTACCGTCATTGTACTCAAATTGTATGTCATTGCATGTTCTGTATCTTGTCCTATATTGGTAGATGTGGCTGTTTAAGGCTTAAATGTTTTTTAGTTTCCTGTATTTTTTATTGTGTTGAAGGTACTTTATACAATCTAAATCTTATGAACTAGATACTAATGTTTCCCGAAAAAAAAGTCGGAATAGAAACAATAGAAAGGCAACACAATAGAAGGGTGGGAGGGGTTGGGCAATGACCTTGAAAGGAGCGCGGGTAGTGAGTCAAGTAGGACCGGAGGGGGAAGGGGTGGGTAAGACCTTGAAGCTAGACTTGCACTACTTCCCTAAACCTAAAGGACTGGCCGGCGAGTGGTATTCAAATCACAGGACAAGATACGTTGTTTTCTGGGTATTCATTGCCCGGTTTGACTTTGGATTGTCTTACTGTGTAAAAACTTTGAATAATAAAAAATTAAGTTAGAACTAACCACGATTATTTAGCATTGATTGTGTACATATTATATGATTAACGATAGGGACCATGGATATATACAAACTTTTGTCGTGATTTTAATTTCAACATCAAAATACAATATATTGCACAATCGTGATATTTTAGGCCATTGACCTTTATTATGCATCCGGTATTGCTGTTTCAGAAGAGAAGCACGTTGATAAATTATAAATTGATATTCCCGTAGTTAAAAAGAATTATTTTATAAACCTATAAAACAAAATCATAAAATCTTACATAAAGATAACAATAACGGAAATTGTAAAAAGGGTATAAAGATAACAACGTCGTTATTCTTTCTCTTTGTTCTTCTATTTCTTGGGTTTCCCTTCATCACGCATTCAACAAGTTGCCATGGTTACTAATCACCCATGTCGTTATCAGCTTTTGTGACATAGCGCACAGCAGGGGGTAAAACTTGACGAACATCGGTAAATTTTTACCTATTATTTAATTACCAATGAATGTACTACTTTATTGGTATTTGGTATTGTATTAATAATCGGTCCAAATGGCAGTTTTTTTTTCAAATTTTACACCAAATTTATTGAAATTTCAAGGTGAATATTAATAAAACAATTATTACCAAATATTTGTATTCATTTAAAAGATTGATTTGTGGTATTGGGTTCCCCACTGAGTGCAGCCGAGCGTCACTAATGAGGGTCAGACCTTCTTGGGGGTGAACAATAGAGGCTTATCAGACCCTCCCCTCCCCCGTGGTCTGGAGAAAGCATGTAAACAAACTATTGCACAAGCGTGACTTGACATTGAGCTGCTTCAACTATAATTTTGTCAAATGAACTGTGATGTTTCAAAATCAAAAACAATAATTTTGGACCATACTGCTTAACAATAATGGACTGCAATTATTGTTGAACATACAATCCATTTTTAACAAACTAAGATTATACGATTCAAATACAATTATAAAAATTATCTTGGTATTTTACTTGGGGTAATGAAGTTATGTAGGCTAGTGTAATTCTCGGTTCATCAAGGTTCTACTGAATTATGTTTGGCAGTGAATAAGTGTAGAAAGCAATTTATAAATTCAGGGATACACACCTTTTACACAGTTATAAAGTCTAATTGCCCAACATCAAATCTTACTCTATGATAATCCAAATTTTAGTTTCAGAAAAAAACTTTGCAAGAATTGTATCCATCTTATAACTTAACTAGTTTTGAAGCTGATAAAAAAAATGGTCTTTGCCATTACTTCATCATAACCTCCAGTTTTTCATTGTCATCTGCTGTGAACAGCTGGCAAAACTACACCGTCTTCTACTGAATGTTTTTATGTGTTTTTAAAATTAAAAAAAAACAACTAGACATTGTGTTGGTTGGAAATAATTTACCAGTTTTGTGAAATTATCTTCTCAATAAATGTTTCAAAGATGTTTATTCATAAAAACTCTTATCCTATTTTTAAACTATGCACTATATGCACTATTTTCAAAGTATCTCAGAGTAAAATAGGTAAAGCCTTTATCTCAACTGTGATTTTTCTTGACACAATCTTCGTAGTAGTAAAAGGTTTTGTTTTAATAATATGTGGTACAGTAATTAATGTTAGAAAACCATGAATGTAGGATACTATCCATTTTCATAGTAATGTCTATGTATTAAAGTTAAAAATAATGGTTTAGATACAGTTCTGAGAAGAAAACCGCAAAAATACGGGTAGCCGCGTACCGTACCGATTTTGTACCGAGAACCGAGGTACAAAATATTGTACCGTACCGAACCGTACCGACCTTAAATTTTCTGTACCGCAGACCCCTACTTTTTATAAATAGTCTATTGATATTGTCTATGATATCAAATGACGAATCATTATAGAGGATTTTAGAGAATGTAATTCTCCAATAATAGGTAGTCTACGGTACGTTTTTTTCACCTTACTTACATATTCTTTTTTGTTTTGTGAATTACTTGACCTGCAGCTATAAACAACCATAACACGGCATTTATTCATTTTGTACAGAAACATACAAGAATAGTGTGGTAAAATACAAGTAAAAATCTTAAAATAACAATCAAACGAAGAACACAAAGATAATGTATGAATAACTCCAACAAAATATCCTACACATTATTTAACTTCTAAAAGTCTTTAGTGGTTTGATTGAACCTAACCATTAAAACCACTTGAACACTAGACTAGCCATGTCTTAAAAATATAATAACTAAAATCCATAGTCCAAAAACTGTGGGGAATATACAAATAATATGTTCATTATTTACATGAAATTGCGAGTAACATATGTTACCTTCATCCAGCTGGTAAAGAACTTGTGTCCTGCTCTCGGACCCCAGACCAAGGAGTGCAACAGTAGTGGACTGGCAGGCATGGCTTGACCCAGCGCCAGCTTGTCAAAATACGGAGTAGAGGGCGGCAGCTGCAGTAGCAACCTGAAACACCGAGTGGTCAAACCAGAGCTCGATTGGTTTCAGAACACTACAACACCCAAAAACTAGTTATTCGATAAGTAGTTAAGGAAATTTAAAAAAATCTTTCTATCGCTATTTTAACATATTTATAAATATTGGTTAACTAAGCTAGACCTAGTCCCCCCCCCTCTAACCAGTCATCACCATACCTCCAGCAGATGGAGAAGCAGTATTGTGTAGCTGTGAGAGCCGTAAAGCTGATTTTGTTCTCTGTCGACTTGATGCTCGGAATCGTCTGATCTGTGATGTTGAGAATTTCAATGAGAACGTCCATCAGAAGCGGGTACTTCACTTTCTCAGCTGAACCCATGATGAAATTGCAGGCCTACATAAGTTAGAGAAGTTTAATAGCAGTTTGTTTAACGATAAGAAGTAGTTTAAAAAGGTTAAATTATACTGTTGTGTACAAACAAACAGTATATTGCTATAAATATAACTTTACTAGAAAAAGCTATCCCATTAACAGTCAGTAAAGTTTTAAGTGTTTGTAAAACGATTGAAAAATTACAAGAGATTATTTAAAAGCATTGGATGAGGCAACTACAAACTCTGTTCTTAGTCTTCTGGTGGACAAAAAGTTGTTTCCACCTAATTTACGAGTTAAAAATACAAAAAAAAAATGAATATGTAAACTAGTGAAATCACCCACCAGTCCATCCAATTTAGGGTGCTCCTGATTGTTTAGCTCGGCATTGACAATGGTGTAGAACCGTGGCTTCATGGAGAACTCGTCCTGTGGACCCAACTTGCGGTAGTTGGCCTCAATCTCCTTCCATGCACAGAATATCCTGGCAGGTGCTCGCCCTTGCACCGTGTCTCCCACCATGCTGGTGGCGTTGAACAGGTTCCACTGGACCTGAGGGGACGGAATAATGAGGTTAGTCACAAAAGGTGGGAAATTAAAAATATACACTTTAAAAATGTGTAGTCTTTTCAGTTGATTTTGAGGGTTCAGTGACTGATAGAAACCATTGGTTCACAACTAGGCCTACTATTATTCAAAAAAATTAAGTAGGGATGGACGGGTACCAAAATTTAAGTAAAAATGTACTTTCAGTCTTAAGGCAGGATTAAATTTAAATCAGAATTTTCACAAATGGGATTCCTTCTAGCCTTCATTGTTTTAGCTGCGATCAATGATGGTGTCTCTGCGATCGTGGGAGATAAGGATTATGCTACAGTCGTTGACTTTGGTCATAATGGTGTTGGATGTGATAAATTTAGGATTTTTAAAACAAACAACAAAGTAAAATTTCCCTTGGTGCAGAAGTAGAAAAATTCCATCCCACTCCAGTCCCCAAAAAATAGAAAGGAAATCAAAATTCTTTTACATCCCACTAAAACTAAAAGTACCATTCCGTCCATCCGTGAATTGAACCCAACCCACCTGTTCGAGCAGGACTGGTGGAGCGTCATACAGGTGTTTCATCATGTACTCAAACAGCAGCAGCAGCCTAGACAGACACAACAGTTGTGTCTCCCTCATCAGACCTCTGACAGAGCTTTCCCCCACCCTGATGATCCCACTGGCACAAGCCAGCAAAACAGACTTCTTCTGCATCAAGTTCAGAGAGTGGAACAGGAAGAGCAGCAGTTGGGCATGCTCCACGTTCATGTCTGCGAAATTTAGTTGAGATTAATACATTTTAAAGACCTCCTTGGTGGCTTATTGCGATTTTTTAATGGACTGAATTCAATTAGCTTACCTAAAAAGATACAGTTGCCAGACTAGATACTCAAAATAAAGTAAAAAACCATAACACTGATTATTTTCTTATATAGGACATCTGAGTGTAAATTCAAGAGAGAATAAAAAAGAAAGAAAACTTCAAAGATGAACAGGTCCTGAAATTTTGAGAAATTTTCGTGTAAAATATATTCCTAATCATTTGTCAGGATTACATTTTATTCAAGATTTTCTTGCAAAGGGGTTTGTTTAAAGTGTCACCGATTTTCCCTTAGTTGTTAGTGGTGATGATGATGTCTCAGGGATGGCACAACATAATATTGATTGCGCAGCTAGTGCGGGATATGATGAAGATGATGATGATGATGACTCCGCGATTGTCAAAGATTTTCAACAATTTGCTGGGATTGCGGGAGATGTTCACGATTTTGACAGTTAGTGGTTGGCAATGATGATGTCTCGGTGACTGCAAGGTTTCCATGAAATCATTGTTATTTGAAAGAAATTTGAGCTAAATTTTATTTAAAAAATTAAGTTCCCCTCTGAACTCCCAGAAAGCCCTTGTTCCATTCCTGTCCCAAAATGCATGAAGGATATAATTATCATGTCCCTTAGAGGACTAGTTCTTGAAACACAGGGTGGTAATAATATACTCATAAATCAAAGCTGAATCTCAAACATATTGAATCTCAAGAAAAGAACAAAAGATACAGTTTACAGATTTAATCAATTGGATTTGAGACTTAGTTACACCCCCGTTTGCCTCTACAATCCACTACAATCTGCTATGTATCAGTTCAAGACAGTACATTCTCACCTTCATTGTCAGCATCATATGCTTGATTGTAGTTGGTAATGTTCTCTACCAAAGTATGGATGAGACGATTCCAAATATTGATGATAGAAGTTTCTTTCTCTGTTTGAGGCTTCAGCAACAAAATCTGTAAAATCGTTTAAATTTATGTTTCTATTTATTACTTTCATAACTAAAAGATATAAAAAACAGAACTTCCTCAATTGTGGTTTGAGTAGAATGGAAATGAAATGAGTTAAGTTAAAAGTGTGTTAAGTTATAAATGTGTGCTATCTGCCAAGCTCAATACGTTAAAAAGCAAGTTATCTGCAAAACAGTGGAGCGTAGTACGTAATGAATGTACTACGAGACGTGATCGACAAACACTCTGTGCACAGAGACACTGTGCGCTGATTTTTGTAGAATATACTAGCTTTTGAAGAAGGTCAAACTTAATTGACAACTTATACTAAACTATAGCATCTGGCTTAACACAAGAACTAAAGGAGAAAACATTTAGACTTTACCACACTCTGTGAGCAGATCATTCAGCTATGTTCTATTTGAGGGTAAAACGTAGCTACAGCTGTTCTATACAGATGTTAAGTCTACTTCAGTATCCATGAGTTAATGGTTCAGTATTGATTGGTTTTGCAAACATAATGGGTGGTTATGTAATGTATGTATACTTCTGATGATATCCCTTTAACAAATTGGTTAGCCCACCTGTGCCAGAACTGCCAGTGTGCGAGGGTACACCTGCAGAGGCCAGGCGTTGTTGTTAGTATCAGCTGTTTGTACAGGACTGATGCCCAGGTGGTGCAACAGCGTCGTCTGCAGACTGTCTGACAACAAAGTGCGAGCCAGCAAGTTGTGTGTGTAACGAGTCAGGGCTTGTGAGAACTCACTGTACAACACGCCCAGCACCGCTCCAAAGTAAACGGAGATTGTACCTGCAAAATCCAGAATTTGGGGTCAAAAATTTTTTGTTTAACGACAAAGAAATCAGTAATGGCCAAAAACAAGAGAAATTTATATAAAATAAATTTGGAATATGCAATGAAAATCAAGTATAAATGCAGTAGAACCCCTAATATCCGGCCTCGGAATTTCCAGTTCTTGGTTCATCCGGTATTTCCCAAAATAGATACCAAAAATATTTACGGCCGTAAACGTAGTCTCCATGATGCGTTTTCACGGTTAATCTGTTTTATGTTCATACATTTTTATCGGGTTCACTACTACTGGTTGAGCTAGCAGATTCCAAAGAGATTCAAACACTACTTTTAATCAATAAATTTAGTATTACCTTTTTAGTGGTAGGTTGGTTTATTCGGCCAGGGCTCAGTCCCACTTAGGCCGGATATGAGGGATTTTACTATTTACACAAGAACTGTAGCCAACATTTTAGTTATAATTTTCTGCAACTACAATAATAACGCATGTGAGCATCTCTTGCAGTCTTGGTGACACCATTTTATTTTCCTGAAATTGCCATTTTCTTATACCACCCAAAACAACATAAAGAGATCACCATAGAATACCGTTATTTATGGCGACTCAGCCATAGACTATTGGCAATTATTCTAATATCCCCCCCAGTCCCTTACAAACAACATGTATAGTTCAGACATTTGCACCATCATAAATCCACGTAGAATTCTCCGATTTCCGGTTTACTTGTCACCCTGATTGCAACTCTCACCAGTTTCAGTGCGGGCAGTCTCTCTGTCCAGATCCCTGATGATGGCCGCCAGAATCACCATCTGCTGTTCCGCCAGACCTGTCTCCACATAGCGCTGGATGTACGGACTCTCTGAGTTCAACAGGTACTTGTTCATAAACTGGAAAATCTGCGATGCCAAGGAGATGTACTGCAAAAGAAAAAGTAGCACTTTCAATTTCACAATGTACTTACACATTTATACAGGAGCCATGTTAGTTTTAGTTAAGATTTAAAGACAAATTCATGAAGATAATTGAGGTCTTTTTATATAACAATAGAGAGTCAAGCTAAATGCCTGAGATTTACAAGAGCTAAATGATAGACAAAAATAGTCTACAAAATAGTTTAGTAGGTACTGACATTTAATCCAACTCCTTCAAGATAAATTATGAAAATTGTCAGTTAACTAACATTAGGCCTACCAACTCTTAATATCTTGAGTTTTGCCAACAAACTGTTGTATTTTTAGTGTTACCAAAAACTCTTATACACAATAGTGTCGCCAATTACAGCTACCAGACTTTGGCAACACTGAGGACAAACCAGTTTTGAAGTGCAACCAACACTTCTCTCTGAAAGTCATTTACCTACTAAAGAGAAATATCAGGAGGTTAAATAGACCTTATATTTGTTAAGTCCCTGGATTATAAATATTGTTAGTGAACTAGCTGAACATTATCCGTAGAACCAAATAAAGGTGTTTTTTAAAACCACGATCCTTTTTCTAAATACCAATATTAATAGCAGTTGGTTCAAAACCATCACAAACAAAACACAAACTTTTCTCAGGACCAAGCTATTATCAAACATTACTGTAATCACTCACATAGTGATATGATTGTTGTTGTTTATGGCAAAATCAAAATGTTATCAAAACCTCTCGCACACTATTACTGCCAACTTACCCCGTTGGGCTCCCCCTTCTCAGGCACTATGCTGCCTCCAGTCTCGGGGGAAGTGTTGTTTTTTCCTGCAGGGTCCGCCACCTCTGTGCCACTCTGCGTCTGGTGGCTCGTGTCAGGGACTGCGATGGTCTCCTCAAACCACAGCCCCAGCAGCGGTTCGCTGTCGTCGTCTGTAAACAAAGTAAAATAGTTTATTGACACAACAAATGTTGAACAGGGTGTCCAGCAAATGGGCTCGGCCGAATTCCTGCATATTTTCCCAGTAACTACCATTTTCCCCCAAAGCAAATTTATTTATTTATTTTATTTTATTAATTTTTTTTTAAGGGTAAATTTAACAAAAGTTTATTCAATAAAATATATTTTATATGCAATACGAATAAAAAGGGTAAACTAAACACACTCATGCACATCACAAAACCGCTGAAAAACATACTCACATCACCACTTAACAAAAGCCCATCTGTGTAGCAGAAGAGGTAAGGCCTCTAGCTGGGGTATCGGTTAGGTGGCCGTTGGGGAAGGGTGGCCACGAGTGAGAAATGATGAGTTGCGTTAGTGGCTATTAGCCGTAGCGCATAGCGGTTAACCCCGTGAGCGGCGTATGCCAGGCTTGCCAGGTTTTATTATGTCAACATTACACGCAAAACAGATCATGACACGGGAAACTTTAATTAAATCAATGCTGATATTTAAATAAAATATTAACACCATACAATTTTCTCGTTGATATCTCATATTCCATAGAAAATAATAATTAATAATAAATCGATCCAAGAAAAATTTCTGCATATTACAGCCATAATTACAGAATTTCCATAGAATTCCTGCATAGTTCCTGGCGTCATAATATTCCCGTATAATTCCCGCTTTTTACGGTTTTCCTGGTCCCCAGACACCCTGTTGAACGTTTAAGTGATTGAGCCTGCAACTTCAGTATACACTAAAATCAATGGCTTGGATGATATAATTTTTGAAATCCAAAACTGTCTACAGCACTCAACATGAGAATGGGATGTCTACACGGCAGTTTGTAAGTTTAAGCTCATAAACAATCTTCAGTTTAAAAAAGAATATAGCAAGTCCATAGACAAAATATTTTTTATTCTATGAAAGAGTTCAACTGCTGAACTTAATTAAATCTCTGCCTAATGAAATTACAATTGTTTAAATTGGCAAAAAAATTAGGAAAAGTCCTTTTCACAATAACAGTAATTTAAATATAGAAACAAAATTTAATATGGAAGCCAATTTCTTTACTTGACCACAAATAGGAAACAACATTGGAGTGTTTTCTGAGAGAAATTGCACAGTTTTTAATCAAACAAACCTTCATCTGGAGAGCTCTCCTCTGAACAGCTTATGATGTCGTCGTCGTAATACGTGGTTGAGTCAGACGTGCTGAACGTATCACCCTCGGGGGGATGTTTCTGGATGCGCTTCAGGGTACAAGCCTGTAGCAGGACATGTTATGATTGTTAGACAAGTATGTTCTTAAGTATGTTTTTCAATTTCAAATCTGAATCCCATAACAATAAGTATAAAATCTCGAATATTGTACAAAAGAATGGCAGCAATGAAGTGACTATATAAAACAATCACAATAATAGCGCTTGATTCAAATTTTTTAAACGTCTTCATTATCTAACTCCCACCCTAAACACGGAAATGAAGTCAGATACTGTGAAATCAGACAGTTAAAAAGTAGAATAATACAATCCTACTAATCTTTGAAATATTTAAAATAAGGAATTTAACAATTATTACTGACCTTTCTGTAGCTGACCGTGGCCAGATAGAACAGGAACTGGTTGAGCGAGGCAGACGTGAGTATTCTGGCAGCTCTCTGCAGAGCAGTGGCTGGTGTAAGAATGTGTAGCTGGGCGGGGGTAGGCTCAGGCCCCGTCCCATCACTACACTCCACCTGTAGGTCGTCAAGCAAGGCAGACATCATTGTCAGGGCCCGACAGGCCAACGCCACTGACAACACTCCAAAACCCTGCTGACTAAAGGACAAGAAACATGATTATGATCATCTAGGCCAAATAGCCTCCTACGGTTGTTTGAATGATTGTGTGGCCAAAGGAATTGGGTAGGCATGAAACAAATAAAGAGTGTAATTACAATTAGATCAACAACAGTAAATAGGGGAGGAATACCAGCAATCATACAATAACCAAATTCACTCAGAATTGTCATCTAATTACCAACCACTAATTAGGTAATTCGGATTACCGGAACAGTTCCATATCACTAATTTGGTTGGGCGAAACTGAAATATTCAACCTCAACAAACCTAAGCCGATTAAAAACAAACCAGAATCCTAGTGTGTTTTTACATGTTGCCGATCAATATTATGTAATCTCCAATTAATGATCCTGTTTGGGTTAAAACAATTCACCAAATGGAATGGAAATAATTAATTATGCTACTCACACTTTCATGAGGTTTATACGGGAGCTGCCGTCCCTAGACTTGCTGGGAGACTTCCCCTTGTCCTCCTTGCTGCCCTTGTCTGTCAGTAAACTGGAGGTAGACAGTTGACTCTGCAGACCAGTCATCAGCAGCCAGACACCCAGCAACAGATGGTTCTGTAGTATCTGTAGACAGACACAAGATTAATAACATGAGGTTCATTCGAGAGCTGCCATCTCTAGACTTGCTGGAAGACTTCCCCTTGTCCTCCTTGCTGCCCTTGTCTGACATTAGACTTGAAGTAGACAGTTGACTCTGCAGCCAGACACCTAGCAACAGATAGTTCTTTAGTATCTGTAGTCAGACACATGTGGTGAATGCCTAGAGCAGGGGTTTCCAGCTTATGGCCTGCGGACCACGTGAGCAGATTTTTTTCTGGCCCAATATTTTTTTTATCTTTATGATAACAAACCCCGGTGATCTTCTCCCACCATCGCAGCAACACTTTATGACAATGGACTATATCAATCAGTCTCGTTGATACTGTGATCATCTCCTGCGACCTCGGAAAAACTTGTGAGAATATCCCCTCAATCTAAACTAACCAATCTCTGGTTTCTGAAAATATTGTTTTTTTATTATTATTAAAATCCAAACAAGGAACACTTACCCCTTGGTAACAGAAATGTTCAACTACATGTTGTTAGCATATACTAATGAACACTTGTTAATAAAACCTAATTTTGCAGGAGGAAATTACCAACCACAAAATAAGACTTACATGACCGCCAGCGCGAGTAGAATTCTTGAACACATTAGATATGAGGTTGAATATTTCCAGTGACTTCTCTACTACAGACACAGCCAGGGCGTCTAGGTTGCATTCTTCTTCTCCTGGCTTGGCTGGGATGGGAGCTGAAACAAACATATGAGATATTCAGTTATCATTCCCTGATTAGCACTAAAACAAGCAGCTAAAACCTTAGTTGCAGATTTAATGGTTTTCTGAGTGTTATGTATGATTGTTTAGGCAGGTTGTAAAGTCTGTGTAGCTCTGTTGTGTGTTGTAGCTCCGTGGATAGAGATAAACACTTCATCAGTTACCGAACTGCAAACAGGTATTGTATAATACATATTAGTCAAAATTACATTATATTTCAAAAGAAATGGAAACGGTTGGTTAGGATTTGTTTAGAAAAGGGAAATAGTTGCAGCTACCTTAATTATACCTATATACTATAGTAAGAAAGTGTATTAACCCTGAAACCACGGTGCTCATCTACCGTGCTAGAACTAAATCCCTTTTCAAAAAATCCATATTAATCAATATGGCGATGAATTAAAAAATCATTAAAACTGGCGAGTTTACCTGTAGTATTGCTGGACATGGCAGTTTTGGGCGAGATGGCAGATGAAATGCCCAGTATGCTGTTAGCCGTAGCTATAGACACAGCGGCATACAGGCAAGACATGGTGATGGTGGACAGTTTCTCCATCTTGGTATCCGTAAGTGGCTCCAGCACAGGCAGTGACAACGCATTCCATACCATGTTGATGTCGTTCACCAACACTTGCAAGCTGTGAACAAAATGAATTGAATATCTAGTAGCTTGTAGCCATAATTACAAAATAACCTAGTTACTAACGTTTACCGACTTCAAAGTTCATACATAAGTTGTGATTACTAAAACTCAGTAATAATTTATCCGGTAGACAAAAAAGTCAGAACACATTATTACACATAACAAACATTTCACGTAGCCTATATTAAACATTTAGATCATGTGTTGGCAATACACTCACTTAAGTTTAGAAATGTAAAATTTTCAAAAATTATCGTATCCAAACCTGACGAAGCTATATGCTTCAAAATGTACAAAGTCATCAACGGCAAATGTTTGATCAATCTGTGACGATGGAAAATCTTTCCAGTTGCAGTGTCCATTTCCATTCAGAAGTCCTATCAGTTTTTAGTGATGATTATTGGGTAGAATAAGTACATTACCTGTTTCCTTTGATTTTTAGTCAAATAAACCCAAGTATCTTACTTATTAGATTTCAAAAATATCTAATGCAGGTGAGTTTGGAGTCTAGGTTAGGCCTATACTAAATCAAAGTTTAATGTATTGAATTTTATTATGTGATTGATATTCTTCTGATTGATTTGAAAACCAAAAAGACAAAAAGTATGCAATTAAACTTTGGTTTGTAGGTTAAAATTGGTAAAATTGTTTACTTCCGACTTTTTGGTAATCAAATGATCTCACGGTTCCATAAGTGTCGGATTATCAACATGCAACTGGGTGTGAACAGTTTCGTACCTGTGTCGTACTAGCAGAGCTTCAGCATGAGTCGAGGGAAGGCTGAAGCCTTTCTTGTTGATGGCCGATGTGAACTTGTTCCGGTAGCGCATCAACTGTGGTAGGTTCATGCACATTTCTACCAGGATATCACCTGCATTCAGGGACTGCAGGCAAGCTGTGCTCTTCTGTGTGAAAATCAGCTGAACAAGACAATAAACCAAGTATGTTAATATTGTATTGAGTTTAATTCAGCAAGAGCAATCCATGTATTATACTGTTCAATGTATATCAAACAAATTTTTAGTAAAACAGCATTCGCACATCTACAACAAATATTTAGGTTACTAGCATAGTATTTGACTCTTGTCAAATCCAAATTCATATGTACTAACACATATTTTAAGTTACAAAGGTAGTTCCTCATTACATTCAATCTGCGAGTTTGTTCTTGGTGAATGTGCCTACCTGATGTACTGGGATGAAATTTTACTCAAAGGTAGGTCACAAACTCGGCCTACACAGATTATATATGCAAGCACTCTGGACGTCCACGTTGTGAGGTGGTGTTTTGAAAGTTAATGATAAAGAAAAATTACAATGATTATACCCGCTCGATTTATGTCTTTAATGTTTATTCGCTCTAATAACTTCATTTTATGATAAAGTAATTTTTTTCTGCAAAACAGCTGATTGAATCAAACAGAACATAATTTTTTTAAACTAGCAAGCACATTTATTTGAGTTTTGTTTTCTATAATCAATTGTCTTTATAAATGTTTTCTACAGTAAATTTGAACAACAACTTACACTATTCTTTCATTCATCCTCAACCTGTTGTGGAACACGGGTAAAGCAACTAGAATAATATGAACACACTTAGATCCATTGGCAAATATTATTGTAAACTTTTTATCTGTCCCTACCTCAGTGTCTTGATGGGTCTCGGTCGTGTTTGAGTCGGAAGTCTTAGTCTCAGCTGACTCGGCAGCGATGACCTTTTGCGGTGCAAAGTCATGCAGTGGAGTCATCAGCTGTTCAGCAATCATCGCCGACAAATCTGATCTGGACTTGCTCTTGCTTTCCTTCAAGGTCGCTGCTTCCTTATCACCTGGGGAATGTCAATTTATTTCAATCAAGCCAGTTGTAATCACTCAAAGTGGTAGGCCATTTAGTAATACCCCTGAAATGATAAATGTCTGGGTAACAGATTGGTTATAGTGCTCACCTTCAAATCTGAAGGTTGCTGGCCACTGGCTGAAGATCATTTCCAGACCTAGATGTTATTTGTCATTGGGCAATGAATTTAGCATGCTATCTAACAAAAAGATTGACATTACATAGTAACAAGATCAGGGTTTGGCACAAGGGTTTCCTTTCAAAACGTAAAAAGATGCCATTGCCCTAAAATAATACATAAGATAAAATAAAAAATATTTGAATAAAATATTAGAATAGTGACTTAACCATGATAAACACTTTTAGAAAACATAGTTGTACATTAAAAATTTGCAATTCTTTTTATCTTAAAAAAAATTATTCTAAGTTATATAGGAGAAATTAGTTAATATGACCACCAAGAATATTAACAAAATGAATAAATTTTACCACAAACTAAAAAAACATATATCCGTAGACCAATGAAGCTACAAATAAATGTATTTAAATAATAAGAGCTTCCCTACTATTGACGTTTGAGATAAGTCTCTTGAATGTCAAAGAGTCATTAAGTAAGAGTACAATTGGTAATTAAAATAAGTGACACCAGCAAGACTGACATTTCATATTAGTTAATGAAACATTAATTATTACATTATCCAAATTGTATATGCTTTTCCTGACAAGTGACAATGAAACCTCTTTGTTTCATTGAGTCAATTGTATCTGTCACTTTTTGCTGGTTCAAGACCAAGTTAGCACTTTCTATTTACAGTAGAGTGATACGGAGGTAATCATGACGCCTGATAGTACAAAACAGAAAAGCGATTGCAGAAAAATCATGCTAGACTTTATCCGACCGTACATTGTATTCCTTAATGTTCTGGGGTGTTCTCCATTCATCATCAGGAGACAAACGTTACGAGAAATACGAGCAAGCCAATTCCAAACATGTTACTCAATTTTCATCCTGACTTTATTTATTTTTGAACATCTCTACCTGATCATTTACAAAGAGGTAATGCTCCAAACCCACTTTGACATTGTCAACCTGACCCATCTTTTTCACCTTTTCTCCGAAAACATCATCAGTTGTCTTTCGATCTTCAACTCCATAATACTTTCAAAAACCGGGTTTGACAATGTACAATCCGCCATGAGAGCAGAGCAACTCATGTCCACGCTTGGACTTTTTGATGACAGTTCTAAACAATGTCAAATAAACATTCTAAACTACTTCTTTTCATATTTTTCTTTTGTCCAAGCCATCTTCATGGCCGATTACTATTTCCTCTTCAAAATCAACAACCGTGACTATTTCACATTCCGATCCTGGATTTTCCTCGTGATCCATGTGTCCTACAATGTTTTCTCCCTCGTAAGAGAGTTTCTCTCGCTCAAATTAATCAGTCAACGCTTCTCCCTTTTGAATCGTGCGATGAAGGAACTGAACAATATCAACGTACAGAACATTCTGACAGAGATCAATGTTTTGAACACACAAAAAGCAATGCCCAATCTGACACTGAAAGAGCGAGTGCGGATGATTAAGGAGGCTCATGATCGGTATTATCGCATCCTCGCCAAAGGCTGGTCAGCTGCTAACCAACTCGCTCTGCTGGAGATCGTCACGTGTGGCATTCTCATCACCTCGTACATGTACACTGTCATTGGTATGGTGATTGACGAGCAGTACGACTACCCGCTCTTGCTACACTGCTGTGTCTGGACTGTATACGGGACTTTGGTGATCATCCTTCTAGTTCTGACCAACGCTGGAGTGTGTTATCAGGTGACTCAAAGCTTGGTTAGAACTCAATGAATGAATGAATAGTATTTATTGGTACATAAGTACACATGATGTATGTACAAGTGCTTTGTCACAAGCAAGAATGCCCTTAGAACAGTCCTCTCTACATTCAATTCAATTAAAAAAGTTTTTAACTCAAATTTATTTTCACAAACTCAATGTAGATACAAGGAAACCTCAGTTAAGCTGGTTAAGCATATTTGAAAGACCTACAAATTACAAAATCATATATTTGTTGTATCCATGGGAGTGTTTTCAGAATAGAGGTTCATTGAAATGTTTTCAAATTCTTATGATATTCGCTCATGTCAATCCAGCACTTGACAACTACTTACTAAAAGATTTCTTTTTGAAACGAAATGACATTTCACATCCAAATTTATTGTTTAAAATAGCAGCAAGTTTGTAAAACTTTAGCTTAGCTCTTTGATGCAGGCCTGATATTATTTTTGTGGAGATTGTTTGGACAGAGTACCACAATAAATAGGCCTTTTACTTTCTTCGTATGTTCTAGTGCAACCATATGGCGATTGTAATCCATGATTTACTTAATCGAGGAGAAGCTGGTGAAGTTTACATCCAGGTAGTAATATCTATCTATCTAATAAATATTTCATGACAATTTTTCTGCAAACTTTAGGTTTTAGATTTAGGAGATAAAAATCGCAACTCATTACTTCTACCAAGCCATAAAAGGGAATTTTAAGGAAGAAGGTTGTACACAATCTTCCAATTAGGATTTCTCACATGCTTTAAAAAATTAGATACCCATATTTGGAATTTATTTAACTATAATATTGGCCAATATGTAGACAAAGTATTGGAAATTTGTTGTACAAATAGATTATTATAGATTTCGTATTATTTAGTTATATTATGGCTTATCTTACTATTGATTAATTGTGTAAAGAGAAAACATATTGTTTAGGTTTATTATTTTTGCTACTACAGTTATCGCTTTCTTTCTCAACTCTTTATCGTCACTTATTGTAAAAATCCATGTAGGCCCTAAGTTTGCTTATTGAAAGATGTTTCGGACTTTCACACTTAATGAACCATATCTTACATTTACAGACCAGCCTTGTTCAATTTTTTTAATTATGCAATATTCAGTGCGGATCCAAACATGGATTTTGTCATTTAATAAATAAGTTAATAATTTTAATCATGTTTCAGTTAGGAAAGAGAATTAACTTAGCTTTAACTCTATGATAAACCATTTGTTTATCTAAAATAAATCATATATGGCTCAAAGTAAAATAAAGAATCAATGTTTAATTGAAATAATTTTAGAGGAAAGCAGCAACAATTTATATGTTTTAAACCATCAAATCTTCAATAAAAAAATATACTTTTTCAGTTGAAAAACTTTTCCCTGCAACGGCTTCACCAAAAATTGAAAATCATGGCTTGTGGACTGTTTGCAATAGACTTCACACTGCTGTTTGAGGTAGGTTTAGTATTCAATTAACACACTCTAGAGCAACACTGAAAATTGTCACTTATTTCTAAAAATCTTATTTCTAATCTTAATTGGACATTTAATATGTCATGGCACATAATTTTACTGTATCAATCAAAATTCGTTCACTGTTTCACCCAGATAAGTTGTTAAAACAATATTTGGATAGTAATAAAGTAGATAAAATGACTGAAGACCTAGTTAATAAGAAAATAGACTAGTTTTACTGTAGTTAAAAATGGTTAAAATATTTCTTGCCGAATCCTCATTGATTTCACACAAAACCTACAAGTGATTGTTAAACACTTCAGTAAAATCCCATAAAAATTTTATTTTAGACGAAGAATTTTGCACCTATTGTCAGAAACCATTTATTTATTTTTGTTATCAATTGACAGATTAAATGCACTCGCCTGACTGAGAAGTGGCATATTCAGCAAATTCAGGCAAAATTCAGCCTAGTAACTGAAAAAGCCAACTAGATTGAAACTAAACTCGTGGATGTTAGATTAATAATTGACTTTAACATTATTCATTTCATTTCAGGTTGCTGGTAGTATTACGACTCATCTAGTCATTCTAATTCAATTCAAGATGTTGGGAGACTCTAACAAGCCTCAAGGAACAAACACCAAGGGTTAAACTCTAACGTGTTGACAAGATCTAATCTATTGGAAGAGTAAGAAGTTTATTGGAAAAGGATAGAGTACAGTTAGATATTCTGAGAAAATGTTGTAGCCAAGAAGCTTATTTGTACAAAAAATACAGAAAAGAAAATTAAATCTTTTTGTTTCAAAACATTTAATTAGGGACATGGGTTCTTCTCAAATCATAAACGATTGAATAAATAGTCTACTGTCATCTATTTATGTCCTCTTTACTTAACACATTAACTAACAAGTGATATAAGGCCTTGTATACAGTGTGTGATGTCTGGTAGAAAACGTGTAGGGTAAACACAATGACTATCAGGCTTGTCGCACACTACGGCAGACCAGCTCAGGCAGATCAGGTCAGACCGCTCAGGTCCGGCAGTTTTCCCACACACTACGTCCGGTCAGTCCGCTCAGCTCAGGCGTTTTTTGAGTGCCAACCTCAGTCTCGCTCAGTCAGTAGTCGACAGACAGCGGCATTGGCTGCATGTATGCTTTGTGTCTTCTTGTTCAGTGCGATGCGATTGTGCGATGGGTTCTAGTAGTAGTGATGAAGAAACTGCTATAGTAGCATTAGCACTTGCTGCGGAAGAGGACGAGAAGGCCCAAAAAACCAGGAGAAAAAGGAGGAAATTTTGGGTGCACAGTATTAATGTCGCATCTTGAACTACTCATCTTGAACTACTGCTTGAACTAATCACAGCAACTAATCACAGAACTGTGTACCGCACGAGCTATTGCACAACACTGGTTCACTGGCCGCGGGCCGGCGTCTCGCTCCGGCAGCTCCGGCAAAAATCGCTCGCTGACCGAAAAGTGCCGGAGACGGTCTGACCGGACTGAACTGAGCGGTCTGACCTGACGTAGTGTGCGGCTCTACATTTGAATACATGGCTTCCGAATTTTGCCGGAACGGTCTGACCTGATCTGCCTGAGCTGGTCTGCCGTAGTGTGCGACAAGCCTCAAGTGACACAAGGAGAGCATACAGGAGAGCAGGAAACATGTTAATATTCTTGCTAAGTAATTTAGGTACAGGTACTAAAATATTTTCCCCTGGCCTGATAGTGCAAAAACAGTTTTCTTCATATAACTAATTTGTGATGTAGGCGTTTGTTGAGATAAGGACAACTCTACAGTATTTTGGAATTTTCTACTAGCTTATCTTCAGTTTAAAGTTCAATATAAGCCTATCAGTAATAATGATTCACTTAATTATATTTTTATTGTTATCTTATGATAACGAGGCAAGAAGCATTGGAGGATTAATTCATGTATTAAGTTATGTTTAAACATCAATAAGGAGGATAGCAGCTAGCTTACCTTGAAAGTGTAGGTAGGCCATAGAACATGTAGAAAAACACTGTGCACACAATATTTCGTCTCCTGAAAGACTTTTTCAAGTGTAGAGAAAGAGTTTATAAATTGTATAACTTTAAATTATATAACTATAAATTGTATAACAATTTATAAACTCTTTCTCTACACTTGAAAAAGTCCTTCAGGAGACGAAATATTGTGTGCACAGTGTTTTTCCTACATGTTCTATGGCCTTACTACACTTTCAAGGTAAGCTAGCTGCTATCCTCCTTTTTCTACAATTCAAAATCCTGGCCTAGAGCCTTTCCTTGAACAAAATTAAACATCAATAAGTTTATTCTATTAGTTAGGAAATAGGTTGACAAATTTAGTGAGAGGGGTACTTTGGTATTATAACGGAGGCCGCCCTTATACAGCGCGCTGTGGCGGTTATGTTAGGTTGGGTTATCATAAATAGAAAGTATGACTCATCCGGTATCGTTCGATTCATAATGAAACGAGGAAAGTCCTACAAACATATTTATGATAGCAGCGCGATGTAAAATAAGTGGCCTCCGTATAATACTAAAGTACCGTGAAAGGACTATCTATTTTGAATCAAAACAATATTAAAAGAGACAATTGTTTGATTAAATTACACACCTAATTCTAAAAAAACAAACTAATTTTTAAATGTTAGAGTTAAAAATCTAAAGAAAGTAACTAATTCATAGGTTGACAAATTTAGTGAGAGGGGTACTTTGGTATTATAACAGAGGCCGCCCTTATACAGCGCGCTGTGGCGGTTATGTCAGGTTGGGTTATCATAAATAGAAAGTACGACTCATCTAGTATTGTTTGATTCATAACGAAACGAGGAAAGTCCTACAAACATATTTATGATAGCAGCGCGATGTAAAATAAGTTGCCTCCGTATAATATCAAAGTACCGTGAGAGGACCATTTATTGCGCTCCAAAACAATATTTAAAAAGAGACAATTGTTTGATAAAATTACACACCTAATTCTGAAAAAACTAACTAATTTCTATATGTTAAGAGTTAAAATCTAAAGAAAATAAAAATAACTAATTCATCATTTGTCAAATTTCATGATTCAAGTCAGGCTGATAAAAATCCTTATTTTTTTATAATACAAGTTAGTTGACAAATCTTTAACAATTTGTTCGTACAAGGCCAGTTCTAGACATTATTTTCTAGTGTTGTAAGCAAACAACATTAAGGAGCCCTCCCCCCTTCCTGAAAATCTTATATTGTTGTAAGTATTATCTCAGGATACAGTTTAAAATATGATTAAGTATAAACATTACAGAACGTACGAATTTGCAAAATATGAAAAAACATAGATAGGTACCTACTTAATTACCAGCATGTGTTAACCCTTTCTCTTTCAGTGCTATGCAACAATATATTGTTTTTTTTTTTTTTTTTAATCTCTAAGGGATATAGAGAGGAAGGTTATTTTAACAAAAAGTAGCAAAACAGCCATTGGTGACCTGCATGTTCATAGTAGGCCTATACACTAACAACCACTTAGCTAAAAGATTCGCCCAAACCGATGATCCGAGGTGTATGTCTAAACCAAGGATTATGAACACCTCACTATGCCCCAGTGGTTTTAGTATATAGCAACAAACTCACAGGTCACCAATTATTTGCCACACAGGATGGGAATCGAACCCGAGCAGACGAATGCCACTGGCCAAGTGACACATAATAGCCATCTTGGCTAGAGTCAAAAACCGGTATTTAAGCTTATGCCAGTAAAATTCAGTATTCTTGATAATTACTGATAAAACACATCGCTACTCCTAAAATTTGGCGATTTTAATCAACTTCCAACCTCTGAATTCCTATTTACCTTCTTCAATGTTAAATATTGGAGAGCGCTAAGGCGGGACCCCTTTTGCTTGGCGCTCTACACAACCCGTACTTTGCTTACCCCTTAAACCAGCCCTGTGTTAGTAAACAACAGTGGTTTAATTTGGGCTGTTGTAGTAGTTTTAAGAAAACTTCCCTCATCGTGGAAAAAATGTATAATATTGGAAAAGGTGAGTGCAGTAGACCCTATATAATTCGGCAGTGTGTCACTTCGGCACTCCAGTAATCCAGAGTCTTTAGACAGGGTGTTGTCTTCCGCGATCACAGCGAAATTCTGATTGTCTCCCACGATCATGGAAACGTCATTGTCGTCTTCCGCCATCAAAATTCCCCTTATCTTCCACAGCCGTATAGACATAATCGTAGACTCCCGCAGTCACAGAAACGTCATCGACGTCTTGCACGATCACAGCCAAATCATGATCATCTCCTGTGGTCGTGTGGACATTATTGTTGCCCTCCGCGATTGCGGCGAAATTCTGATCATCTCCTACGGTCGTATGGACATTATCATCATCGTCTCCAGCAGTGACGGAAACGTCATCATCGTCACACGCGATTGCGGCAATAGCGGTTTCCGATAACGCGACCTTCGCAGACGTGTTTTCTTCATTCAAGTATTTTTATTGATAATATTCCAGTAATCCGGCAGTATCACAATCCTATATCTGCCGGATTACTGGGAGTCTACTGAACATGTTGACTTTGAATGGTAACAAGACCGCTTTTAAGCTACCGTGTTTGGTAATTAAAGCACCTAGTTTGGTGATCACGTAATCAGCAATATCAAATTCTGGATCTCATTTTCCTGATACATCGACTCATTGCGACATTTGAATCATCGTTAAAAACTGCTCATTCGAAATGAACAGCAGGAACTTATGACCTAAATTTTAAAGTTTACAAAGAAAATCACCATGTTTCACTTTGACTTTAGCCCCCTTACCTGGCAGTGAGGTCTTGATATGAGGAGGAAGTTTAGCGTTCTTCATCAGGTTGGTCAGAACTATCTGCTCGTTGCGGCACAACTGGCCCGAGGCAGTGCACAGTGCCTTGATGGGCAGTAGCAGGTGTTTGGCTGTGATAGTGTTGGGAGCAGCTGGCTCGTAGTTGACATGGGACTGCAGACGGCCCAGTAGATACTGCAGTAGCACTCGGGCCGCCGAACACACTAGACCAAGCTGGCCCTTGCATACTACAACAGACATTAACACGAATTCAGAAATAATAACTTTTGGTTTTGGGACGTAATTTGGCTTTGGGATTAATTTAAGAAAAGGTAACAGATGTATATGACTAATCTAGGCCTACAAGGGGAGTTCAATTATTATAAATTTTTTAAGACGGGGATGCCACTATGTGTGTTTTTAACTCAAATATGAGTGAAGAATGAGTGTAAGGTGAGTGGCTTGATCTTGTAGTATTTTTTAGTGACTAAGGCCGACATATTTCTTAGACACAGCTGTTAATTAGTAGCCCAAACAGCTCAGATATCATAATGCATGTTTTATCTGAACAACAATCAAAAGACAATTTATAGGCCTGAATTGGCCTATCTTTGACTATATATTTGAATAAAATACCTACATAGCCTACAAATGGGAAATTGAAAAACAAAAGTAAAATCAATAGACAAATCATTGTCAAATGATAGCCTACAACACTAAAGTATCTACTAAAACGCTACTTGGACTAAAAGGCAACATGACATGTTATTTTTTCGTACAAAATAAAACAGTAGGCCTATATGAATTAATTATAGTACAGGTATCCTATTGATTTTTACCTGAGCTAATGCTGGAACTTATGTAATCCGCAGCCAAGGCAGCAAATGATGTGTAGAATGTTTCATATTGTTCTTCGTGGTTTAACAAATCGGGTTCACTGAAAAATTGTTTTCATGCTTTAATTTTTAAAACACCAGTGCATACATAGGCCTACACTTACATAAAGGCTATTGAACAATTACATGAATTTGTTATGGGATTAGAGTAAATCCCATTTCAAAAGATTTGTAAAATATCACAGATATTGATAACACTCAAACCATTATCAATGTTGTGTTATAATATAGTCGCTGAATTGAGATTGAAGTTTGACGTTATCACTGATAATGAATACAGTAGACTCCCTCTTATCCGGACACCTTTTAACCGGACTACACTCGGTGGAAATGACATCTCTTTAACCGGACAATTTTTATCAGCACATTTTTTTAACTGGACTAGATCGGCAGGAAGTGGGCAGTACTGAAACGTCTGTTCTTGTGAGAAAGATTTTAGACCAGCTATCACGTGTCTTAATACAATGCTCTCCTAAATAAGTCGAATATGACAGTAAACAGTCCGTTTTAACGTCCCGAGGAGTCCGGATAAGAGGGATTCTACTGTAGACCTATCTGAAGATTTGTCATGATGGAACATCGCTTACTCAGTTTTAGACTAGCGTATTGTATTAAACTGAAATGTAATTAGGCTACCTAACTCAATCCTAGGCACTAAATATATATATAAAGAAAATTAGAGCAAAATCAAAAAAAAAGGGCTACAATAATCTACACACCGCACAACATCAAACTCTGATTATCGAAGAGAGCTTGACTCTAACAGTGTTAATGTCCAGGCAACCATTGGATAGAACTTGGTGCACAAGTCTCATGTATCTGTTAAAACGCTGATTTTGTTGCTATTTTAATAATGTCAGCCTTTTGTTAGATGGTGCAGCTTTGATACGACTCCACCAATAAAATCAGATCAAATCAAATCAAATCAAACTTTATTGTCACAAGATTGTTTGCAGGCCTAGGCATACATAGCTTAGCATACGGTAACTTTAAAAACAGGTTCCGACATACAGTATGTCAAATTATAAAATACATACGGTAGGTCAATCACATTCTAAAGTTAAAAATAAAAGGCTGACTTTGATTTTAAAAGTATTTTACAATAAATTTTTATTAATATGGTAGTAGTATTTTTTTCTACCTATTTAAAATCGTTGACAAATCCTTTTTTAATAAAATTGGCTAACTTAGGCCTACCTATATTTTTTCAAACCTAGCCTAGCCTACTGGTAAATTATTGAACAACTTTTTCCCATGTAGGCCTAGGCCTAACTTATGTCGGTGTCTTTTCAATGAGACGCAGACAATGGATTGGTAAACTGAAAATTATTTTTTAACCTTGTGTTATATCTGTGGTCATAGTTGTCAAAAATGTTCAATGATGTCTCTTGCAATGTTAGTCTGTAGGCCTAACTACTTATATTTATGGGGTAAAAATGGGGTGTTCCCATTTATGACCCTAAAAACAAAAACTTTGAAAATTTCTTTTCAAACGGTATTTTAGAGCTTAAAAAAAGAAATAATTTAGTATATTGAAGCATTGTTGTATGCCTAACGGTCACGGAGAGAATTCAAAAATAGTGTAATTTAAAATTCCCATGTTAGGCCTATTCTTATGGAGAAAATGAAAATTGTTGTAGTTTACTTGTTTATGGATATATTGATAAAATTTGGCAAATTTATTTATTTCATCCTACACTATTGAAATTTGATCAAAAACACTTTTTTCCTTCCCTGTAGCAAACGTAAGCACTCATTAAATCTAATGTTATTTAAACAGGGAATAAATAGGGGGGATAAATTATGTCTTATTTATGGAAATATTTTCGCAGAGGATACGCGTCCGGTAACCGGACGTGGATTAGGCGTCCGGCAGTTACTGTCATAACCTAACCTAACCAACCAAACTTGCTGATAATTAGAAAATCAAATGAAGGTTCAATTCTCTTCATAACATAAAATTATAAATGCCAAAAATTCTAACAAAAGATGTACAGTTAAGAAGAAATTACATTCAAAGCAAAATCTGTGACGGTAATTATTTAGATGAGGGTGACCAAGCGTTCTATAGTAAGTTATATATCATTAGAAACTAGATTTTTACCTGAAAATAATGGTGCAAAAATTTTTCTGCTGCCACAAAAACTGAATTTACTACGATTTTTTGAAGTTTATTTTAATGTTTTATATTAGGAACATTGAATCTGCACTGCAATGTTTACACTGTATAATCGAAGTTAATAGCACAATTCACATTTGTATTAATTGATTATATGCCATTTTAATGTAAATATTACCCTCACAACCCACACTTAGAAAGGTAGCCTAAGCTGGCTTAGCTTAGGTTTTGACCATTAACTGTTTTGTCCCATAAGTATTTTGTATTTAGTGTAGTGGCAGTTTTAATAAAATGAATAAACAACAAATTGACACTATTCTAACCTAACCTAACCTAACCAAACTTCTCGTACAGTTTAAAATTTTGTTTATAAGTTGAAAAAGACATGTGAGGTTGGTAGGTTGGATGTTATGTGGACTCGTGACTGTATTAAGTCCTTTGAAGGTAGGTTAGATTAGGGAAGTTAAAGTTTAGGTTATAATGAATCGAGTTGTTGATTTATATTATCTCCAGACTGTTTATGCACTTTGTAAAAAGTACTACAAACACATTAAATAATAATTTCAAAAATGCTGCGCATTTTTGAAATTGTTATTTATTCTGTTAGTAGTACTTTTAACAAAGTGCATAAACAGTCTGGAGATAATATAAATCAACAGCTTGATTCATTATAACCTAAACTTTACCTTCCTAATCTAACCTAACTTCAAAACACTTAATACAGTCACGAGTCCGCATAACACCCAACCTACCCACCTCACATGTCTAAATAAGAACTGAAGTAGTTCATAATCAACGCTCAGTTGAATTTATAAATGCCTCTACCTCCTTGTCCTCTTTGTCAATTCACAGTAAAGTTATGGCGACAGAGACCAGCCAACAAGATGCATTACAGTAATAAACTTTAAAAAATCGTAGTAAATTCAGTTTTTGTGGCAGCAGAAAAATTTTTGCACCATTATTTTCAGGTAAAAATCTAGTTTCCAATGATATATAACTTACTATAGAACGCTTGGTCACCCCCATCTAAACAATTTCCTCTGTGACAAAAAGTTAAAGTAACCGATGGGTTTCGAACCAGGGACCTCTAGGATATCAGCCGATTACTCTATCCACTACACCACGAACAACGCTGACCGAACATCGTATCGTTGTGGTAATGGCATTCCGGGACCCCACAACCCGGTGACGTCACTACCGGACGCCTAATCCACGTCTGGTTACCGGACGCGTATCCTCTGTGAAATATTTTAGTAAAAATTTAATCAGACAAGTTGAAATTCGCTTAGTCTGCAGGTTTCCTGCGGCGGAGGTAGCCTAACTTACTTGTTATATTTAATTATCAGCAAGTTTGGCTGGTTAGGTTAGGTTATGACAGTAACTACCGGACGCCTAAGTTTAAGTTAATCCACGTCCGGTTACCAGACGCGTATCCTCTGCGAAAACAATAACCGCCTAGGTCTCTAGGCTAAATAAGGTTAAGTTTTGAGGTCAAAATGTTTAGGTTTTGGCCTCCTGATCTGATAGGAAAAATACACTGGCTAAGTTATTAACTTACTTAACCCATGCCTTACCTACCTTTTAACAATTGCTTTAACAAGCTCGGTGACATCATTTTTATTGAATGATCCATAAGATGCAGCAAGAATAGGTTTCACAATGGATGCCCATTCAACACCACTACTATCTGCAGTCATGTTGGAGTAGGCTAACTTATTACGCTGAAATTTAAGGGGCCTAAAAATTATCTACACTTATGCTGAATAAGCCTAGTCCAAATTGCACAACGCTAACACCATTACAGGTACTAACAAGAAATAGAAAGAAAACACTGGCCAATCCAAGAAAGAAAATGACACAAGCTTGGGGGTTACCCGAATCGTAATTATGGGTTATTGTAGTTAATAATTCCTTCGTCAACAAAAGGTACACGTAATGTTACTTATATCACACAAATAATGAGCGATTCAATGAAAATTCGTTCTCTTTGCCTACTCAACAATCACATTATCAAAATCACTATCAATATCGTTTAACAATCAATCACTTTGAGTTAGATGAGTCACTTTTCACTTTACTTTTTGTCTTTTTTGCTTTCTTCAACTTAACTTCAAACTTCAATATTTTTATTCTAGATTCTAGTTCCAGTTCCCAGCATTTTCTAAAGGGCACGATGTGGAGAAGTACAGTACGAACTATTTTGGATTGGATTGAACAATAAACGGTGGACCGAGTCAAGGCAAGGCCCACGATTACTAGAAAAATACCGGTATTTTTTTTTTTTTTTTTTTTTTTTAGGGTGAGGAGGGAAAATGCTTTTACGCACACAGGTAGCCAGCCTGTAGTGTGAGACTCCTGAGTTTATCACAGACTACTCACTAAAAAACCCCCTCTACTCTGTTGGACACAGACCTGGAATTGTTTGTCACATTACTTCAAGTCAGGCCAACATGTGACCTAAGCCCACAGGGCTCGCACCGTTTCTGGCATTATTTATTTTTTGACCTACACCGCATCCCGGTCGAGGTCAAGCTTCTTGGCGCGGAGAACACCCTGGATGTAAAGTGACACACAGGTCCAATTGTCCTCACCCTCCATCATCATCGGTATGACCGTGTCCACCGACAGCAGTCCTACGAACTGTTGAGCCTCTAGGCGGGGCCTTTCCCAATGCTGGCAGTGGAAGAAAGTGTGTTCCACGTCATCGGGAATGCCTGGGCAGTATATGCAATCGGGTGACACGGCTTTGCCCATCCTGAACAAGTACGACCGGAAAAAGCCGTGACCCGTCAGAAATTGGGTGAGGTAGAAGTTCACCTCTCCGCACCGCCGATTAACCCAAGGTTGGACCTGTTGTATCAGTCGCCTGGTCCAGAGCCCCCTTGTCTCCTGTTCCCAGCTCTCCTGCCACAGCTGGAAGGTCCGGGTGCGTTCCTCAATACTTGCCTGGTCCTCCCCACGGCGCTGATAAATTGCCTTCCTCTCCGCCGCCAAAAGTTTGACGGGGATGACTCCAGCAACCACCAGGACGGCGGGTTCGGACACTGTTCGATAGGCAGATGCTACCCTTAGTGCTGCCTGACGCTGCACTCGGGCGAGCCGCATCCTATATACCTCCTTATTGAGAGCGTCTGCCCAGACCTCCGCACCGTACAGGAGCACTGACTGGACCGCAGACATCAACAGCCTTCTGCGGCTGGACCGTGGACCTCCGACATTGGCCATTAACCGACTAAGGGAAGAAACCATTTTAGCGGCCTTGTCCGCCGTACGGGTGATCTGGTCTCGCCAGCTGAGCTTGCTGTCCACCATGACCCCAAGGTACTTTGCGGCACGAGTGGTTTGGACTTCAACGTTCCCCACCATCAAAGGCACGATGGTGTCAATCCTCTTTTTAGTCAGAATGACAATCTCAGTTTTGCTCAGAGCGAGCGAGAGACCATGTTCTGCCATCCATGCGTTAATGGTTCGCATGACTCGATTTAGTTTCAGCTGGGCAAGCTCAATGCTACGTGCAGCTATTAAAGCCGCAACGTCATCTGCATACCCAACTAGGACGGTTTCCTCAGGCATCTCGGATCTCAAGAGGCTGTCGTAGGCGACGTTCCAGAGGTCCGGGCCCAGTATGGATCCTTGAGCAGCACCAGAAGTTACATCCATCGTCCTGGAGCCTTCTGTAGTGTCGTAAATGATGAGGCGGTACCGGAGGTAGTCCTCTATCATGCGCATGAGGTATGCCGGGACGTGGAAAGTGTTCTCCAGTGCGTCGAGCATATCGCACCACCTCGCGGAATTAAATGCGTTTCGCACATCAAGTGTTACAAGCAGCACAACCCGACGAGAATAGTTGTTAAACTCCTCAGCTCTCATTACGGCTCGCTTTACCTCCTCAATAGCGTCAACCGTTGACCGTCCCTTCCTGAAACCGTACTGACGAGGGGATAGATTCCCTGCAGCAACCACGGCTGAATTCAGTCGGGAACGGATCAACTTTTCCAAGACTTTCCCAGCAGTGTCCAACATACAGAGAGGTCTGTAAGAGGAGGGTAGGTCTGGGTTTCCTTTTCCCTTCCCCACGAGCACAAGCCTAGCTGTTTTCCAGCAGAAGGGAAACTTCCCCTCGGCCAGACAGGCATTGTACGTGCTCAAAAGGATTTGTGGGTTTATTGAAAAGACTTTCTTCAGGGCCTCACCAGGTACCCCATCCGGTCCAGGAGCCTTGTTGTTCTTCAGGGACAGAACGGCCGCCTCCAACTCCTCGAGACTGAAAAGCGGTACGTCGTCCACCCTTCCGAACTCCCGCAATGGACGCAGTGTGTGAGTCGGGAAAAGGGACTTTACGATCCTCTCCATAGAGGCCCCGTCCATAACGGAAGGTGGAGAGCGGGTGCCAAGCTTCTTGGTTACTATCTTGTAACCAAGGCCCCACGGATCGGAATCGACATCGTCCCTTAATTTCTCCCAGCAACTGCGTTTGCTCCGGTTAATGGCCCGGCGAAGAGACTTCCTTGCCACCTTGTAAGCGTCAGACTTAAGACGTCTATCTTCAGGTTCTCTAGCCCTGGTAGCAAGACGTCTGGCTCTCAATGCTGCCCGTCGTAGTTCTGCGATCTCGGTTGTCCACCAGTACACAGGTCGCTTATCGCACCGGGATATCCTGCGAGGCATTGACTCTTCGCAGGCCGAGACTATCAGCCTCATCAATGATGTAACTGATGTCTCTGCGTGAGCCACGCCGGATGCAGCAGGTACCACTGGCTCTCCCCGTAGTATGACTTCGGTGAATTTGGCCACGTCCAGCTTTTTGGTGTTCCACCGAACGGGCACCTGCCGAGACACGGTAGCTTGTCTCTGATGACTATCCATGACATCAAAAATGATGTACTGGTGGTCACTGGCCGTATAATCCTCTAGGACTCTCCAGGCTCGTATCCTCGGCAAGAGGGACTCAGATGCAAGCGTGATGTCTGGGATCGTTCCCCTCATTCCGGGACGCTGGAAAGTTGGCGTGTTGCCCTCGTTTATGACAACAAGTCCAGCCCTGGCAGCAAAGTCCAGGATGTACTTCCCCCGGGAATTAGTGAGAGTCATTCCCCACTCGACAGCCCTAGCATTGAAATCCCCCGCCACGACAACGTGCCCGGCGGTATCGCGCACGCTCTCTTCCAGGCGGTCTATCTTTCCACGAAAGTCACGGATAGCCTCGTTGGGGGTGAGGTATACACTAAAGTAAGTGACATCCCCGCACCGGACCCAAACGAATCCTCGGCCCTTCGCGTGACTCCTTACCTGCACTTTAGCTGTATTACGAACCCAGAACGCAGCAGTACCAAGTGTATCGGGAAACCAAAGAGATGGGTCCCTGTCCCGGTACTGGTACTGTTCGCTGACCAAGAGCGCGTCAACACCGTGTTCGAGGGCAAGCTGACTGAGAAGCGCGTCAGCCGTCCTGGATCGATCTACATTGCACTGGAGGATCCTTATCTTCGTGGTTGGGCTTTCGCTTGTTGTAGTGCGCCTTTAAATGCACTGCACTGCCCAGACCCAGCTATATGTTTAGCGTTTTTATCATTGAGGCCTTTCTCCTTACAGAGGAAACAGGTCTCAACTTTACAGTCCCTACGAGTGTGACCCACCTCCCCGCATCGAAGGCAGTTCTTGCCTCGGTCGGGCCCTTCGCAGTTTCGGGAGGAATGGCCGAAATCAAGGCATTTAAAACACCTCGTTACTTCCACCCTCCGTCTCAACCTGCAATTAACCCATCCAACCCTCAAATGCTGGAGTGCCAAAACCTTACTGGCGTTTGCGTCTGCCATTTCGGTATGGATCATAAACATAAACAAATGATGTTTTTGGCCCGAAAATAAACATTATTTAACATTGCTTAAATGGATCTACCAAAACATATGTTCAATGATATTAGTATAGGATTCGGACCAACAACGTCATTTGTTTATGTTTGTGATCCATACCGGTATTTTTCTAGTAATCGTGGCAAGGCCCCTGTCTCTTCTATAGGTCGGCCGCTTAGAAAACGACCTGCGCGAAATTTTTAGCGCATGTAGGGGAGGTAACGGCGAGGGAGGGTATCTTCCCCTTCTCCGCGAATGGCCGCTTTCACACTGCATGACACGACACTGACACGGCGCCGCCCCGGTGTCGTGGGAGCTGGAATCCTGTGTTACCAATGGAACTGCTTAAGCTACGGTTCCACAGACTGCGGAACTTCCGCCGTGCGGTGCGCAATTTTCCGCTGCGGAAAATTACGCAGCGCAAATCTGGAGGGGTGGTTCCACTGGCTGCGGAAATAACGTTGCGGAAATTCAGTTATGTCCTGTCCAAACTAGCGACGAGTATTGAACTCAAATATAATCAATCATTTCAGCCTCTGGATTGCTTATATAATCAAATAGATAACGTAAACTCTTGCCTTATCAATCCTTATTATGGTTGTCCGATATTAATTTCGAACCCGTAGGTCCATCTTCAGTCGGAAGTTTAGGTAGACCAAATGCTTATTATAAGATCCACCCGATGGGCTTCGTAGAAATGTTGACATTTAACACGAACACGATACACATTACAGTTGACATAAATAATATACAGAGTTTAGGGATAAAAACCATGGTTTTATAAACAGTGGGATAACCTCACTTCAGTCAAGGAACACACGCTGCCGGCAGAACTCAATATATTATTTATGTCAACTGTAATGTGTATCGTGTTCGTGTTAAATGTCAACATTTCTACGAAGCCCATCAGGTGGATCTTATAATAAGCATTTGGTCTACCTAAACTTCCGACTGAAGATGGACCTACGGGTTCGAAATTAATATCGGACAACCATAATAAGGATTGCTAAGGTAAGAGTTTACGTCAAATATAATACCATAAAATAATATTAGAGGTAATATTCAGACTTAACTATTTTTAATTTTGGTTACTTTTATTGTACACTGATGTTAGACATAGTTCTTACAAATCACCTTATTAATTTTTATAAGGATGGTGATAGTAAACATAATAAAATAACAATTTGAACTTAAATTGTAGTTTTATTGATACACGAA